AAAAAAAAAAAATAATAAAAAAACAAAAAAAAAAAAAAAAAAAAAAAAAGGCTGCACTTAAAATGTCAGAGAAAAACTCGATGTCATCTCCATTACGAGCCATACCATATTATGTTTATGTAGTTTGTTTCATTTATTCCCCTTTTATGAATATTATGGAAGCTACACAAGTATTGATCAGTGCACACCAGAACCACGGTGGCAGAGGTTCTCCCGCTAAACATGACGCGCCAGCCAATCATAATTTTGTACATTTAAGAAATTGTGATCGTAATAATAGTTATACACAATATTGAAGAATATAAGGAGGTCATCGGTGTATTTAAAACACACTCAGAACACAATTATTATTTTATTCTATTAATATTATACAGAGCTCAGGCCAGTAGAGTAGTAGATAGGCCTACGTCCTTATACGTATATGCCATACAAATGTGCAACTCCGCTAAGCCCTGAGCCCGCAGAGCCCCTCACGCCCGACTCTGGGGTAGTCGCCGATACGAAAGCCCGATGCTCGCTCACACTTCACACTCACTGTGTCTGGATTTTTGTCACGTGGTATGGTGTAGAAATCGCACACACTTGCTCACACACTGTTTACTGCGGACTGGACTTTTCAAACCGAGGCAGTGCATTAGCGATGTAATATATATATAATGATTATAAATAAAGCTATATTTTGTGTAGTGTTGGCCTTCTTGTAAAAGAATAACAATTACAAAGTCTTAGTCGTATCAATTGCATTTAAATTCTTTTTTTTAAAAATGTGTTTATAAGCGGAGAGGAGTATGATTAATTTGAAATCATCCAGGAGCTTGTAAAATCTAATGTAAATAATCCAAAATCAAAGGAAAATGTAAGTATTTCAAGTGAAACTGTAAAGACGTGACGTTGTATTTGTGTTGTGTTTTTTGTTTTGTTTATATAATATTATAGAATAAAACCAATATTAGGCCAAGACTAGGTTGGTAGGCTAGGCAGTAGGCTAGACTTGTCCTCAATAGCCTAATTACAATTCAATACTAATAGCTGGGCGTACAGAGAACATATGGCTCCCGTGTATGGGCCATGGAAAAACACTGAATGAGCGCAATGCCACCTATAATTTGATATTATATCGTATAGTTATCCTTAGTAATTAAGATTTGAAAACGAAAAGTCAACTATATCAATAGTAAGCTATCCATGTAAATGTTACACTTGAAGATAAAGAGGGGCAATAGCCGATAGAAGAGTGGGGGAAACATATAATATAGACGGTAGATGGGTGGGGCAACATAGCTGGTTGAAGAATGTGGGGGGGGGGGGGAGAGGCGTAGGGTGGGGGGGGCAGGGGGGGGGCGGATGTCCCCGGGCGGCAGCTAGTTAGGGGCGCCAAAATGGGCTTTGATATTTGGGGGGGGGGGGGGGGGGGGGGGGGGGGGCGGGGGGGGGACAGATGTCCCCGGGCGCCAGCTAGTTAGGGGCGCCAAAATGTGCTTTGATATTATTTTATTGATGAAAATAATGGGTTTGAGAGTTGAAAAAAAGAAAAAGGGGCGCTTTAAAATGAATCTTGTCCCCGGGCGCCAAACACCCTCGCTACGCCACTGGGGGGGGGCACACAATATAAAGACTGTGCACGTGTATAAAGCACATAGGCCTATATATTGTGAAGGAGGTGGGGTGGTTTAATGTTTCGTTGTATGGGGAGGGCGGGTGGAGATTGATAGATAGATAGCAATGTTATTTTTTATATATGAAGATTATTTTTTTCTAAATAAGGCTTTAGCCTGCTTTTACCTCAGTAGGCCTACACCTCTGCCTAATTGTAAAAATAATTTGAGCCTAGCCTTCTAATAAATAGCATAGGCCAATCTAATATAGTATTAGTATTAGTATTAGGCCTGCTACTACTAGTTTAGTATAATTAGTGAACAGGCTGACTGATTAATAATATATCTAAATGCCTAGACTTAGAACTTTATTTAGTTTATTTAGACAGATAATTTTTGTTTTCAACATTAGCTTAGGCCAGAGGTTTTGTTTTGGGAGTTTCAGGCTGGCAGGGAAGGGGTTTGTTTGTAAATCATAAATGGCACTATTATATATTTGTAAAAAAACAAAAATATACATAAAAATTCAATCCTGAAAAGAGCCACATATCCCATGTAGGCCTATTCATTTAATTAGCCGCAGGCAGCTCTGAAGCCACAGGTTGCTGACAACTATCCTGGGCCTCATTAAATAAAATTCATAGGCTTATCAGCTGCATGGGCCTACAAATTATATTTTAAGTGAAAGACTAAGTAATCAAAAGAAGGAACACTGTACAAAAATGTGCCTTTTCTATAGACCTACTAATTACTATACTGACTTTAGGAGTAAGCTTAGTTATAATACATCAAAAATACAGGAGCAGCTAATGTAAAAAAAATATATATTATTGCTGAAGTAACCTTCTTTGTTGTTAGGGACCACCCATAAATGACTTCATGCTATTTTTGTACACCATAAATCTTCACACATTGTACCAAGTGTGTGACCTCTCCCTCAGTGTGTGAAGTCAATTATGGATGTCCTATTAATTAACCGTAGACCTATAAAATAAGTTAAATTGCTTAAAATGGTTAGTCCAGTTTATATCAAGCTAGAAGATGATGCCTGTTAGTGTTGTTACCCAGGTAATAATGTGAAGCATGTAGCACTACAATGTATCTGTTATTGTAAGGAAATAAGAGCATAGGGTAAAAAATGTAATACTTGATGTTGAAAGAAGACAGCACAAGGCAACAAAGGTGTCAGGGAAAAAGAAGTCAACTGTTTAAGAGGAAACGGCAAGATAAAAATAATTAAAAAATGTTTACCTGAACTCTGGATTTAAACTCTTAGGTAGCAAGTCAGTTTCAAAGGATGTTAAGCTAAATGTTTACATTTGAAAAGCTCCCGCACTGGTGCTAATCATGTGCAAAACATGATGTAATACCTACATGTAATACCAGAGAAAACTTAATTCTGAAGGAGAAGAGGATTTTAACTATGTGGAATTTTGTTCCTAAAGGTTTCCATTTACATTTTCTTGTACTGGAATTAGTCATTTTTATTTTAAATAGTAAGGGGCAAAATGATTTAGTGCACTAAAGCTTTTTCCCCTTACTATTCAAAATAAAAATTACTAATTCAAGTACAAGAAAATGTAAATGGAAACCTTTTAATTAACATTTACATTATAAGAAAAGCACAATTTTAAAATGTCAGAAGATAGCCTTATTTACAAAACAACTGTTTGATCAGTTTCGTATCTAGGCTTACCATTTTTTTGTCCAGCTTTATCAGCCTTGTCCTGGGTGGTTTGAATTTTGTCCCAGTTTCAATCTCAGTTTGGTAAAAAAAAATAATGTTGTTTGCCTATCTTAGATAATCTTATACACATTGTTAATTTAAGAACTTGGTTACTAATGAATTCTATACAGAATGTGTTGAATTTTAATATGGTACATTTAAACATATTTTAAATTATATTTTCAGGATTAAATGAACAGTAGTGCCATTGAAAATGAAGTTGTTCATAATATGGTCTGTCTTTGTCCTTGTGTATTGCCTTGGAACAAATGCTACTGATCAGGTAAATAATAATTTCAGAATATATGTATTTTTAAATACTTTATATTATCTTTGCTTTTGTTTGTGGCTGGCTGACTAACTGGCTGGGTGGCAAAATCCTTGGACGGCTAATTGGCCCCTTTCCTATCAAGCTATTGAGCTGAAACCTGGCACATAGATTTGATGCAGATGACAACACATTCTTTCAAATTTTCAGTCCTGGTCCCTAACCTCAGTGGAAGATGAAGGAAATATCAGATTCTTTTTTTTTTAATATCGCAAGTGCGTTTGATGTGTAATATTTTCTCATGTTTTCCTAAAATTGTCAGTGAAATAAAATCTGCAGTGTAAAATTGAATCATTAGAATAGTAATATAGTTCAGTGGTGTGAAAAAAGAGTGGTTGTGAGGGGGGGGGGGGGGCGGCAAAAATGGGGGGGGGGGGGGGGCAGCACAAATTGTGATTCTTATAAAGTGTGTTATTTGAATGCATTTTTTGTCAAATTTTCAAACCCACCCCTCATTGCTCAATATTACATTTTGTAAAGGATTTATATGAAAAACTAGGATTTTAGGGGTTGTTTAATTTGGTTTGTAAAGTTAACTAGTTCAGTAAAAAGTTAAATATAATTTTTATTGTTAGAGTGCACAGTAATGTAAATGGCCACTGGATCTGAATGATGATGATGATGTTGTTTAAGAATTAAATTTTTTAAGATCAGTTGTTCTTTGAAACAAAAATATTTCAAGCAAATTTTAAAAAAACACTTTGTATATTTATACGAAAGCCTGAATAAATTACATTTTATATTTTGACTGTTTCATTGTTTGAAAATTACACTTTTTTTCTCTTAAAGGTCATCACCATTGGAGCATCTTTAAGCTCTGAGAAAATGGAATATGAGTTCAAGCAAGCTGTAAATAATTTAAATAAAAATGCCATCCGCAACCATATAAGATTTAATGCTGCAACCATACTCATGGATAGTAATCCTATTCGCTCAGCACTGGATATCTGTGACAAGCTGTTGGCGCAACATGTTTTTACAGTGGTTGCATCTCATCCAAATTCAACTGACCACTCACCTATTTCAGTGTCTTACACATGTGGCTACTATAAAATACCAGTTGTTGGAATATCTGCTCGAGATTCAGCATTCTCAGACACGGTAAAAAAAAACAACTAAACTCATTGTTAGCAAGATTTGAAATTTTGTCTACCGTATTTTGCTGCTTAAAAGACACTTTTGTTTCCTATAAAATATCACCCAAAACCATTCTGCCTCCTATTAACCAAAGATAAGTGACAGTAATTGTATTTGGGTGAGGGGTCAGGTTACCAGTTACATCCGATTCTACACAAACCATTAAATCAAACTTAACCTTTTTATTTGATCCAAATTTACATAAAATTAAACTTACAATTACTTAAAATTAAATTTACATTAAATCAAACTTAACCTTTTTATTTGATCCAAATTTACATAAAATTTCAGGTAAAATGAGTGCACCATCCTGCATTGGACATGATTAGTTGGCTTTTTATGCTGAAATATGGTGTTCAGTAAAATTGGGGATAGTGGGTAGGGCTATGAAATATATATTGAAACATTTTTTTTCTTATTGAATGCATCAGGGTCTAATAAGCAGAGGCGTAGTGAGGGTGTTAGGTGCCCGGGGACGAGATTCGCGCCGGGGGATAAGATCCATTTTAAAGCGCCCCCTTTTCTTTTTTTCAACTCTCAAACCCATTATTTTCATGAATAAAATAATATCAAAACACATTTTTGCGCCCCTAACTAAGCTTGTGCCCGGGGACATCTGTCCCCCCCCCCTGCCCCCCCCCTCACTATGCTTCTGCTAATAAGCCACAAAATATGGTATATTATTATTGAAAATTGAACTTATTGAACATTATTAATCTTTTCTAAGTAGTATATATTCTACAGCCCCACCATTCCTTTTTTGGCCACCTTTAAGTTTCATTTTTAATTGCATTTGAAAAAAACCTGTTAGATAGCTGAACACAATTGTAAAAAAGTTTTTTATTGCATTTTAACAGGGCTGTTTAGCTTACAATGATTTCCGCTACATATTTTATTTGTTAAAACCATTTTGGTTTCTTATGAAGATGATGATTCTCACCTTCAAGGGCTACATTATAAGTGGGATATCTGAAGTTTGAATTCATTATAGTTGTTTGATTTACAATGACAGATAACCATGTTATAAATTCCCTTATTCTGTATTCTATTCCTAGAATGTACATACAATGTTTCTGCGCACAGTTCCACCATATTCCCATCAAGCTGACGTTTGGGTGCAACTGCTTGTTAAACTTAACTGGCACAGAGTCATATTTTTATATAGTGCTGATGAAGAGGGCAGAGCTATTCTCAGTCGTTTCCAAACCCTTGCTGAGGAGTTTAACATTAAGGTAAGTTGTAATTAATTTTAATCCATTTGTTTCATATTTATTGTATTAATAAGTAACTTTTTATCTTAACTCTTATATGTAGTAGATTGGTGGTTGTTTAGGGTTGACTTAGGTGACAACGCCAAAACACTGTAGTAGTGTAAATTGACCCTGCTCGCAGCGCCAAAAACTGTAGCCGAGTGGATGACGTTTAGCTTACAGTTTTATAAATAAGATCAAAATCAAAATGAAACAATCAGGTCTTGAGGACTATAGCTTTTTAATTAATGCTCTCCTATGATGAAAACAAGAAAAATGAAACAATCAGGTCTTGAGGACTATAGCTTTTTAATTAATGCTCTCCTATGATGAAAACAAGAAAAAGGACACTATGAACTATGGAGAAGAAGCCTATGAAGAAAAAGGCTTCTATGAAGAAAAAGGCTTCTATGAAGAAAAAGGCTTCTATGAAGAAAAAGGACAATATCTGAAAATAAACAAATAGTACAGGTCAACAATGTCCTGACTAACATAGCTAAAAATAAACATGTTACATAACCACGTAATTACAGGTGGCGACAACATATACTTAATTAGAAAGCATGATAAATGATACGTACGTAGTATTGTTTTATACACATGGCAAAGATAATTATCTTGTACTACGTGCAGTGTTTAATTTGAAACACGTGCACAGTGTTAATGCTACACACAGAACCAGAGTGCGATGTGAGGGCTAACATAAACCAGAGTGCGATGTGAGGGCTAACATAAACTTTAAAGATCTTGAAGTTATTATAGTATGCCATCCAGGTATGGTGTCTATGTAAGAAGCACCCATAGCAGGACAGTACATACAATGGTATAAAGTATGACCACCGTTGGCTTGATACTTGTATCTGCCCATCGCTGTGTCTTGTTAAGACAACAGCAGATTGCAGAATGAATCATTATATGGAATATGATCCTCACACATGCACCATTTCCTATGTGAGAATTTAGCACACGGCAGGAAAGTTATCCTATTACACATATTTGACGGACACTCGCTGGTTGTATACTGTTGTATCAATAGCTTATTTTATAAGCGCACTGCAGTATGTGTACCCAGAACGATATGCAGTTGTTTGTTACGCTCACACACCCTGGTCACTGGTATCTAATTTATTAATCCTATTAAAGAATTTATTTACCGGTTGTATGTTAACCTTTAAAATAGCCTGAGCATAAGTCTACACGCTGTAGGTTATTCTACACTATATCCTGGCTATAAGTCTGAACAGAAATCTTCTAATGCTAACACTCAACAAGTTCCTACTAACCACAAAGAAATAAAATGGCGTATTTGCCTCTACTTACAGAGCGTTCCAATGGGCCGCACTGAACAAAGGCACACTGCAGGGATGCCGACCAATCTCGAATGACCCCCCAATTTAGTGTGCTCCCCCTTTTAAAGCCTTGCGCGGACATATGAGAGAGCCCCTCCGTCAGACTTAACCAAGTCGGTTTACGTTTTGCCTTCTGGCCAGTTTCCTGGGATAAAATGCCTAACTCTGGGGACTAATCCCGAGTAATAATTAAAATCTCTGACCAAAGCCCTAACGACTTATATGTGATCTGTGCAGTTTTATCTCAGCTATCTAAGATACTATTTTATATTTTTATTAGTTAAATAGTTCTTGAGATATTTTAACTAGAAGGGGTGGGGACCACTATAAATGAAGGCGAAAACTCCTTTAATGACTAAATGTTAAAATATTCTCCAACGATGGAAACTTGTAAATATGCTAAGGTATAGTGAATAAAATCCCCTTTCTAACTAGATATAATTTATAACTTAATACGTTAGGGTTCCCGAGAAATAAATTATTGATTTTCTAACTAAAGCGCACATCGTGGTATTCTATTATTTCCCCCCTATGGGCAGCAGGAGAAGCCGGCCGTATAGAGACCGCCGGGTGGGGTGAAAGGGATACCTGAGTTCAACATTCCGATCCAGTGCTAGGCGAGGTCACACCGCGCGACCTCGCGTTGGGCGCCAAACATGGTTGTACTAATAACGGTTGTCTCAAAATAACGGGCTAACGGGGCATACACTGCCACATATATTTAACTTGGCATGAATGAATGCTTATATATATGTTTCAACTTCTTTGAATTCATTTTTAATTGACTGAATTGAGAGAGCTTTGATTTGATACACTTTGTCTACCAAGATTTGAAGGATTTTGAATTAATATTTTCAGCAATGTAAATTTGTTTCCATGTGTAATTATTTATTTTATCTATAAGATATACTAGATTGAAACAAGTTGAGGGCAAAGATAGTCTTGATTTGTTCACTATCCAAGAAAAGGCTTGATAACTATGCCTAAGGAATGTGAAATAAACATGTGTGCATGCTGCTAATGTTGCCTTAAATATTTAACTGACATAAGATACCATTTGTTCAATTATGCAATTTTTTGCACAGCATCGGAATCCATTTTATCTAAAGAAATGACACTTTTTGACTGTATATCAATTTTACCATAATTGATGACATGTTATTTTGGCTGATTTTTTTTAAAGATAATAACACTGGGCTCTTAAAGATGATGCACAGACTCTATAAATATATCGGGTTAGAGTCTTTAACCCTCTATTAAATAGAACTAAACAGAAAAATTTCCTACTGAGGATTTCAATTCATACCATATACTTAAATTTGAATAGACATAGCCAATTAATTTTAGTTTTAAATTTTAAGTAAAACATATTTCTGTGCAAAGCCCTGAGAAGGAATATCATCTCATATGGATCTTTTTTATTTTTGTATGGCTACAATAACGAATTCTAACTTGAGTTTATATGTACGATACAATTACATTAACAAATGAAATAGTCAACACAGTTTGAGTTTATATGTACGATACAATTACATAAACAAATGAAATAGTCCACACACTTTGAGTTTATATGTACGATACAATTACATTAACAAATGAAATAGTCCACACACCTAACAAAGGGTAGGTCTTATAAATATTTGTAATTTTTATTTGTTCTTTCTTCAAAGAATGAACCCTCAATAAAATATGCACCAGGAGAGAAAAACTATTCCACTGTTTTAGAGCCTATTTTAAAGTGCACATCAAGAGTTATTCTCTTTTCTGCTTCGTAAGTAGAAGAGCTTTTTTTATGACATTTCATAATGTGGTAAAAAATATTTTTAATTTTATGAAGGAAGTTTGTAAGTTATTATTTTAATTAAAAGTCATAACCAGTTTCTAAAATAAATAATTCTTATTGAACAAGATTTTGTCGAGTGCTATAAATTTCTTTCTTAACAAATTAGGTAAAAAAAAAAAAAAACTTGTATCTAAAGTTAAGGCATAATATTTTCTCACAGATCAGAGGATGCATCTACAATTTATCGAGATGCAGAAACACTAGGGATGACAGGGGAAGAATGGGCATGGATTGTGTCTGAACAAGCTTTTTTTGATGTCTACAACATTCCTATTGGTAGGTTTGAATTGAACGCTATTGATAAATGGGCCTGGGTGATGGGCATTAGGCCTCAACTTATTTTCATCTTAAAAATAACTGCATTTGTCATGTTGAAATTAAAATAATTAAATAATAACTCTTAATAGCAATATTTTATTAAAATGACTTTTTTCGTTGTTTTCTCTATTATTTGTAAGTTTGTTATTGTTTTTCGTTCTAACAGTTTGTTATTATTTATAAAGGTTTTCTGGGAGTTCACCTAGTAAATGGAACCAATGAGGTCAACCACATCAAGGATGCTGTTGAGGTTATCGGGGATACATTTACTAAACTGATTGGCAATGAAAATATTTCAAATCCTCCAACTGGCTGCAATGAATCATCACAGTGGGATGATGGGCAAAAAGTATACAAGTATGTTTATCTGGATATAGATATCATTTTTATTAACAACAATTAAGGATGATTTATTTTCCTGTGAAAATTTCTTATAAACAGTTGTCCGTCATTGAACACAATATATGTGGCCTAAAGCTGTTCTATTTGGTAAAAAAAAAAGGAAAACTATTTACTAATTCTGCTCTGTGAATATCTAGACTCATATGGAAATAGTCAAGGTTGGTATGTATGAGTTCTCAACCTTTTAAGTGCCATGACCCTTTGAAAATATAATGCAAATTTGTAGTGACAAACAACAAGGATTAGGGCAAGAAAATTAGAACCAGGTGTGAGAATCAATGGGTGAAGGGTATTGACTTTTGGAGAAAGACAACCATAAATGATATCAAATATTTAGCCAGAATTATTACCCCTCCTTCCCCATTGTCTCAAATTATAACAAAATCTTAGACCCATTTCTCCCTCATTTATTACATCAAAAGCCTCTGCCCCCCCCCCCCCCCCACCCCAAATCATTAAAAAAAAATTAATCCTTTTATTGTCATTGTTGAATGTATCTTTACCTGGTCTGATTTCATTTTGCTTCACCAATTGCCTCCTGATCCACAAAAATTAATTATTTGCAACAAACATTAGTTGTTTTTTAATATATTTCTTTTTAATTCCTAAAGAATAACGATTTGGCAGTTTTCAGATGTAAATTTAATTGTGCTTTCCTGTCTAAAATCAACCGAGTAATCAATTTTTGTAATTCTACAAAGAAATTTATTCTGATGAATACTGTCTTGATTGTAATCTTTTAGTTTACATCTTCTAAAAGATTCCTATCACATGGATTACTGCATCTGTGACAGAAACATTTTCTTTTAAATTTACTAAGATCATTTTCCCAGTCAACTGTTGCTCCTTCAAGTAACCTTCCCTAATTCTTAGACTCCCATTTTCTACTTTTTGGACATCATTTATCACAATTGTAAATGTCACTGCACCTTTGGCTCTCATCCAAGACATCCTATAACTTGCTCGACACAGACTAAAGACCTGGCATACCTGTGTATTAGTTCTCCACAGTACTGATTCTCTAAGTAATAATGATGGGTATTGTAGTTTAAAAATGAAACAATGAATCAACATTCAAACAGGCAAATAATGAAAATTTAATAATTAAAATTGGATTATAAATAAATTATGGTAATAATTACTGTATGTTGGTGCAAAATGTTTTAATTAAGTTCCACTTTTATGTAATGTTGCCAAATTGCCTAAGCCCCCCACCCTTTCCTCCACATCACACATCTTCATAGAAATGTAACCCCCCCCCCCATGTCTGCCATAATTTATTGGTCCTTTTAATGTTTTATTTATCAAACATTTTTTATTTTCATAATNTTTTTTTTTTTTTAAACTTAATGAATGAAATGTTACTTAAACATTTGTATTTTTCAATCAACAATTAAAAGTTACAGAATTTCAGTTGAAGCAATCAATTACAAAGATTAGGCAGCAAAAAAAACAAAAAACAACCATAACAGAAGAAAAAAAAAATGCAAAAACCACTCTCCTGTAAGAAGTAATTAATAAAAGATAAAAATAAATTGCCAAAATTTTTAAATTGAATTAGTTGCTGACACCTACCCAATGAATCATAGTTGTGTATGTAGCTTTAAAGAAGTCACATGACAGTAAAAATACAAAATTTTCCCCATCACTACAAACATTTTTTTAAAATTTAATTGTAAGGTTGCTCAAATAAGATACAAATGCACTAAAACATAAAGTTCTGAAGCATCCCTGACATTTGGTTAGGTGACCCTTGAGGGGTCAAAACCCGCAGGCTGAGAACCATTGCTCTAATAGATGTATGTATTCATTATTGTTTTTTTTTCCCTATACTTTTAGTGCTTTAGTTAAGACAAAGATGGAAGGTGAAACAGGACAAGTGAGCTTTAGTGAAAAGGGTGACCGACTAAATGCCATGTATGAGATCATGAACATCAATGGCAATAGGCGACCCATGTCTGTAGGATTGTTTGGTCACAAAGAAGAAGTAAGTTAGCATGTTCCATATGGCTATAGGTAAACCTCAAATTTTAAAATGATTCTTTCTTACATTATGTGCTTGAAAGACATAAGCAGCTTTAGAATGTCTTGATCTTTTGGCAAATTCGATAATAAATAGGTGGGCACTACTTTGGCAGAAACTCAGTTACTTTTTAGACTGCAAGTGACTTCATAAAAACTTTCCATCTCATGACCATGACTCATATGGATCCAGCTTTGTTATAAATAAATAGCAACTGCGGATCTAAAACTAATCTTTTAATAAATTGGAAACTGCTAAACAACATCTTTTCAAATGGAATTAAGCTAAACATAAAAGTTGTTTAACAATGAACACTCATGGAAGTTTTCAATATTTATGATGTGGTTCCTTTTTTTATTGTTAGACCTGAAAGAAATAATTATGATTAATTATTTTTTCAAAATTATTGGTAGTTAAAATAAAATAATATTAGCATTTAGTTAGTCTTCAATAAGCTGAGTTTAAAATAACTATTTTTTTTCTGTTTGCAAATTAGGCACTCGGTTTAAGAATGATGGAAAATAACCTGACATGGCCTGGCAATGTCCATGTGAAACCAAAAGGAGAAAAGATTTCAAGGAATCTCACGGTAATTATGTTCACTTAATTTTTGTTAAGGATTCCTTTTTAAGACCATACAATTACACTCACATTCTGCTAGTCCATTCATGCATGCCAACCTGCAAGATCAAAGCACTGTACAAGAAATCTCCAAAACACTTTACAAAAAACATTACTAATTGTCGAGGGTATGAGAATCACTGTTGTTATGTGTAGAGCGTTGTTGTCATGTTTGATAGGGAAAAGATGTTAGTTTGAGATTTTATGTGCAGTCATTTGTGTGAGAGTGTTGTGACGTAATTGTGTAATGGGAAGTGACGCGTTAGTTTTAGTGTGGTTAGAGAGGATAGATGGCGTTGTTGTGAATTGAATACTGCTAAGTGTTGTGCTGAGAAATTAAGTATCAAACATAGTTTGGGAATTGCGGTTAATTAAATTAAGAGTTGTGCTGAAAGGATTCGACTGTTGCTTCGACATTAATTATCAACCTTGGTTTGTGAATTGTGATTAAATAAACTTCTGTTTACAACGAACCGGCTGATGTTTGTTGCATTGGTGACTGTTGCTGTATGATGTACTGTCGAACAGAATGAAGTGAAAGACTGTGGCCATACAGAAGAAACGCATCTCGACACTAATCTGTATATAAAAATTGTATTACTTTTTTTTTCAATAAATTATCATTTTTTACTTATATCTTGGTCACTGATTAAGGCTTTTTACTGACAAATTTATTGTTTTGTTCTGTCTTTTTTATGTGTTCCCCTACCTTGTGTTTCTTAATTTATCTTTATAACCTGATTTCAGTCTCCCCCTTATCATTCCTTTCAATACCAGCAATTTTTGCCTTTTTTTAAAATGTCTGGATTAGTTTTGAATCCCCAAAAAATTTGTGTGCACTGTAGAATTGACATGATACCATCACCATTGAGTTTATATCTAATATCAGTTTGGACTTTTGAAGAATATGGAACAATTGCTCATCGTCACAGGTTCACCCAGTTAATTGAAAATTTCTACCTTTATACAAAAAAATATGTATTATCTTCAGTGTTGTCGACTCTTTAAAAAAAAATATACATTTAACTTAGAATATATGGATAATTTTCTTTTAAACCCAGTGAAAAATATAAAATATACAGCCTGATGATAGACAATAATGGATGGAGAATCCATACAAACCAAGAGATATATCAATTGTACGAAAACTCACACATAGTCACAACAATTAAAAAAGGCAGACTGCCCTAGAAAGGACACCTTGAGAGGATGCCTGATTGCAGAGCAGCAAAAGTGATCTACAGGCAGAAACCTAGGGGCAGACAGCTCAACTGTTGACAAAGACTGAGATGGATTGATGAAGTAGAGAAGGACTTACACCGGGGGAGGGGGGGTTCATGGTGGTGGAAATCCATGGATTGATCCAAATGAAGATGAAAAATGTCAAAATAATTTACAAAGTGTGTGTAAATTATTTGCTTATCTTAAAACATCTCCCCTGACAGAAACTGCAGGTTCTGGTTAATGAACCATAAATACATTGAGTAATCTGCACTGAGATTTATGTAAGGGCCTCTGTCCATAATGTGTTTAGTTCAGTAGGTTGTGGATCAAGATGATGTTGAAACTCTGCCTTGCTAGTAAACACTGTATCATATTGTCTCATGCTTCTAGATTGTGACACTGAAGGAAAAACCTTTTGTAGAAGTTACTCCCCTGCCTAAAGATGGACATTGCCGACCTGTTGCGCCTGCAAAGCATGCATTCCCTTGTAAAAATGGAACACATGGTACAAAATTATTAAGTTCTCACCTATTCCACCCAATGTATTTATATTTCTAATTGGTTCAGTTTTTTAGAATTTCTAAGTCTAAAAAAACTAAATTAATTATACAAATTTAGAATGAAAAGCTTACTTCAATAATTTTTAGTATTTAAGTAAGCATTTGTTTATAATTCTATTTAGCTTTTTATGTTGCATAGATAAATTTGGAACAAAAAATCAACCCCAATTACAGTTAAATGCCAAAAAATTATTATGCATTTCATGGATTGATATTTTATAAAGGTTGAAATGTGCAACATCATATACAAAAGTTTCATTTTTTCCCCCATCAGATTACTGTTGTATGGGCTACTGTATGGATATGCTGGCAAAAATATCTGAAGATGTGCTGTTTAATTTCACCATACATCTAAGTAAAGATGGGCTATTTGGATCCTTTGAAAGGGTAACAGGAAATGCTAATTCAATAATGTTCAATAATATTGAAGAGTATGCAAAAAATATATTCTCATACAGCATGATCACAAATCCACTAAAAGCAGTCCAACTTCAACTACAAATTGCTAACTAACCACAATAATTTAAAATATTTGTTTCTTTACAGCAAAATCTTCCTACTTTTTAAAGGACATTAATATTTGCACGGAATATTGTAAAAACCTGCATTAATGCAATCTGATTTTGTCGAACTCAATTATAGCAATTTGGTAGAATTCCACTGTGGTTACCATACACAGAAATTGGAAATGAATTATTTTTTGGGGAGCTCACAAATTCCCTTTGTAGATCGTGCTGCCCTGTAGCAAAAGTTAAGCTACCACCCTTGCATATATGCAGTCTCCCTTATTTTTGTACTTCTGGTCATATTGAAGGTAACTGTAGCTCATGGGCCATACCAACTTGCCTAATTCATTATAGTTATAGTTCTACTTCATAAATAAAATCAACTTGTAATATCATCAAAAACCAACCATTACAAAACAGTGGCTTTAAACTTATTTTGGCTTTTGGTGCTTGCTTATGTAATCAATCAAGTTATGATCAACTTCAAAGCATCAGTATGAGTGCTCTACTATCATCCAATGACTGCTTTGTTATTTCTCCAAAACCCTTTATTTTTAGAGTAGATCTCAGTTATACTGCAAAATCCAATCATCATTTTATACACCCATAACTCAGGATTGATCAAGTGTACTCAGTGGCGTAACAACGGCTTGGCATTGGGGCAGTTGCCAAGGGCGCCGGCCTGCGTCAGTTCAAAAGGGCTCAGCAAAGCTGAAACTTGTTAATTTATCAAGGGCGCCAAAAATAAATTTGCCAAGGGCGTCAAAAACCCAGTGTACTTTTCTTATTTTAAAATTATCATTAGGTGACAAGTTATGTTATGTTTCTATTTATTTTATTCCTCTATACAGCACAATGTATCAGACAAAAAGTTCTGGAATGGAATGATGGGTGAACTAATGAGACAGGAAGCTGACCTTATTGTAGCTCCTTTGACTATAAACCCTGAGAGGGCCAATGATATAGATTTTACTAAGCCCTTTAAGTACCAAGGTCTTAATATTTTGGTTAGAAAAGTGAGTTGAAAAATCACAATTTTTCTGTAAAATGCATGTTTTCTATTGTAATTACATCAAATTCCAATAAGATTTTCCAATACTTCATTATGGCTGAAAGATTTTGTAATTTAAAAAAGAATTTCTTAACCCTGAGATGGGACAATTTGCCACCATTTTTTGCCAAAAAGCCATTTTTCTGATGGCCATGAGCAGACAAAGAAATTGTTGAATTATATAAGAGATATTTTTAAATACACATAATTATAAAAATATTGACATTTCAAAACATACATAAGTAAATAACAGTTATATATTTTATTGGGGGACGGGGACGGGGACGGGGGGGGGGGGTTGGCACTAAAATAGTGGGAACAAATTGTCATAGATCCATTTTCCCTTATATATGTTGCAAAACTTACTTTTTTTTTTTCCTGGAATATATTTTGTAAACATTTTTTGAAGATTCTTTTAAAATTTTTAATAAGTTTAAAAAATTTCAAAAATTTTTTGGTTTAATAATTAACCTTTTTTATAAATATTGACATTTAAAAACATACAAAAGTAAAAAACAGGTATATATTTTATTGGGGGGCGGGGGCGGGGGCGGGGGGGGGGGGTTGGCACTAAAATAGTGGGAACAAATTGTCATAGATCCATTTTCCCTTATATATGTTGCAAAACTTACTTTTTTTGTTTCCTGGAATATATATTGTAAACATATTGTGAAGATTCTTTTAAAATTTTCAACAAGTTTACAAAATTTCAAAAATTTTCTGGTTTAATAATTAACCTTTTTTAAAAATGTCTGTGCTTATTTGGCTCTAAACCCACAAGCAACCAAATCACTTATTTGAATTGGAATACCATTCAAATGTATTATCAATAATTACATGGATCAATTTCAGATACATCTACAAAGGTTTTAGTTTTATTGGATTATAAAATTGATTTTGTTATGGATTACCTTTAAAATCAGTCTACAATTTATCTGTTTTATTCATTGCTAAATGCTAAAGGAAATTAATTTTAATGAAACTGAAGAATTCATAAATAATATGGTAATATCATTTAAAATCTTTGTGAATTCCAAATTTGCAGACCCAAAAAGATTCAAGTTTAGCTTCTTTCCTTCAACCTTTTCAAGACACCTTGTGGATCCTAGTTGGTCTATCTGTACATGTTGTTGCTCTCGTCCTGTATTTGCTTGACCGCTTCTCTCCCTTTGGGCGCTTCAAGTTGGCCAAAAGTGATGACACAGAGGAGGATGCTCTGAACCTTTCTAGTGCAATGTGGTTTTCATGGGGTGTTTTACTTAATAGTGGAATCGGTGAAGGCAAGTGCAATTTTGGACAATAATTTGTTATATAGCTTTTATTTTCATAGCTAATATGCATACAAACATAGATAATTAATTATCATTAAATTAAAAACAACCTCCTTGAACATGCAAGGTACACCTCGAAGCTTCAGTGCCCGTGTTCTTGGCATGGTGTGGGCCGGCTTTGCAATGATCATTGTAGCCTCTTACACTGCCAATCTGGCTGCTTTCCTTGTGTTGGATAGACCAGAAGCTCTCATTTCTGGGATTGATGACCCCAGGGTAACTTGCTTTCTATAATATACCAAAACATATTAAGTCCCCCTCCATTTTAAAAAAAAAATATTCTGATTTCAAAATTAATAATTAATTTTACATTTCGCAACAATTTTGTTAGTAATGAATTAGTAGAAGCTTTAATTTTAAAGAAATTATATTTTCAAATCAGTTTTTTACAAACTAATTAAAATATAATAATGTTTTTTTTTTCCATTCTCTAAGTCAAAATGTTCAATATCATTAACTATTTAAATGATTGTTAATGCTGTTAAATGAACTATCTTTTTGTAGCAAAGTCTTAACTATCAACATATTTATTTCAGCTTCGAAATCCCAATGAAAAATTCAAGTATGCTACTGTGAAAGGAAGTGCTGTGGAAATGTATTTCAAAAGACAAGTTGAATTGTCAACAATGTACAGAAATATGGAAAATCAGAAGAAGTATTTAACTGCTGAAGCTGCCATTGAAGACATAAGAAAAGGGTGTGTTCTTCCTTATCAAATTCTTTTCCAAAGCTCTTCATATTTTTGCTAATAACTTTCTACAATGCAATTTAAGCTAATTTTATCATCATAGATCAATGAATGTTCTTTAAATTATTACAAGAAACCGTGATAATAGCTACAGCCAATGCATATTTTATTTAGCCTACAGTATACACTCCTTCATAAGCCTGTTCACTCACAAGCCATGTAACCCATTCATAAGCCAACCCCATAAATTAATGTGTCAGTAGAAACAATACAGTAGTACAGAAAATATTATATTTATTAAATCAAACTTTAGAGAAAAAATATCATGTAAGCAAAAATACTTAAAAACTAAAAAAACAGACACTATCATGTATGTGCATCTACCAATATGTACAGTAACCTTTCAGGAAATTTCCAAGAATAGAACCTCTTTGATCTAGATTATTCAAATTAGGTAATTATATAGCCATTCACTGCAGTTGTAAAATGAGGACAAAATGCATGACAAAATTTTGCATAACACTCTCTGTTGCTGTGCGTTAATTACTTTTTTCTTTATTCTATTCTATAATATGATCAATGTACCAGAGATAATAAAAAGGTACCATCACCCACTCATTAATTGAACACCTCAGTTATTCCCCTGAAAAATGTTTTTTAAATTTTGCTCTTAAACGAATATATTCGGAGATTTTAAAAAATCCCATACAAAACTACATTTTTCTTAAATTTCGATTGCTGGGTATAACTCTTTTACAGTCAATATTTATTTATTAAATTTTTACTCTTCATTTATCATACAGAGAACTTCAAGCATTCATCTGGGATTCTCCTCGCCTGGAATATGAGGCTGCTAGTGACTGTGATCTGACAACTGCTGGCGATTTGTTTGGAAGGTCAGGTCTAGGAATCGGCTTGCCAAAAAATAGTCCCTGGACTCATGATGTCTCTATGGCTGTTTTAAGGATGCATGAAAGTAAATATTATTCTTTCCAGCAGCTACTTTGTTAATTTTAATGTTTGCTCACCCTGAAAAATTTCAACACCACCAAAATTTTAAAAATATATTTTAAATCTAACTTGTTTTCAGCCATCAATATTAGAGAAATATTTTCACAAAACTTTTTCATTAAACACTCTCTGCTGTAGAAGGCTTTAAACCAAAATGTACATTCTTTGTTGTGCCATCCTACTTCATTACCCTGTTAGTTTTTGCCTTTCAATCTTTATCCTACCATAGTCCAAGGCTCTTTTTATTGCTTCTTACTTCAAACACTTGTTGTTTAATGACCAGGTTATCATATTTTTATTGTTCCAAAAACCTCAAAGTTTTATATTTTGACAATTGTAGGTGGTTTTATGGAGCAACTAGATAATCGTTGGATTCTAGTGGACAGTAAATCCAATTGCCCAGAAAGTAATTCGGCTCCTGCTACATTAGGCTTGACCAACATGGCTGGTGAGTTGTAGACCAGCCACAAACTCTTAGTTAAGCTTGTTACTGGGGTTATTTCTTATTTTAGGTGTTGTGATGTGAGTAGTGGCTGTCTATTATTGCTTATTTTAGATGTCTTCATGATGGTAGCAGTCGTAACATTGATTGTTGCTTATTTTAGATGTCTTCATGATGGTAGCAGTCGTAACATTGATTATTGCTTATTTTAGATGTCTTCATGATGGTAGCAGTGGTAACATTGATCATTGCTTATTTTAGGTGTCTTCATGATGGTGGCTGGAGGCATTGTCGCTGGGGTTCTCCTTATTTTCATTGAAATTGCTTACAAAAGACACAGAGGTCTCAAGGAGAAGGAACTTGAGCTTGCGCGCAATGCTGCAGACCGGTGGCGGGGAAACATTGAGGTAAGGGCTACTGTGATAAAGAAAGGTCAAAGCTTATACAACAGTCTTATTAATAAATATATATCTTGGATAAAACACATAGTGATTCCTATAATTATAAGAATGATGTAATTTATATGAAATGTGTTGTCAGACAATCATCATATTTAAAAAAATAATTCTTCATACAATGAGCACTCATAATAGTGGTTTGTGAGCTCACACATCGTGTTTTGCTAGACCATTCAAAATGAAAAACTTTGGAAAACTGGTTTTCATATATTTTGTTTTCATTTAAAGAAACAATATAAGTGTTTGTTATTTAAGTTTAGTTCAGTACATGAAGAAAATGGTATAGTTGTATGTGGTATGAAAATGAGTAAATATGTTTTTTTTGTGGAAATAAGTACGTGTTGTTGTTTTTTAAATATGTTTTGAAAATATGATATCTTTACATTCAGGGGCATGGAAATTCATTGGGTATATTATATGAAGGAAGCCCATTTCTCAAAACCCATTTTTTTTAGACACATAAACATTTGTATATTATAAAGTTTTAAAAAATTCGAAATAACTTTTCTACCATTTTCCTAATACCATGTATACATTTCAAAGTTTTGGGAAAAGTTCTTTTTATCGTTTTGAGGATACTAATACATCAAAACAGAATTAAAATATGGACATGAAAAGTGGGTTTTAGATTTTGGGTTTGTGTTCTGTAATTTAGTGAAAGCGTAGAGTTAATAAAAACAAGTTGAACAAACACAAGCAAAACCTCACAATAGTAGGTAGATTTTAGCGCATTGACTTACATGCCAACCTGCTGGATCAAAAACTGTACAGAAAGTCCCCAAAAACCTGAACATCATGAAAAACCAGCCTACAAAGAAAAATGAAAAGTTACAAAAAAGTACAAATTATAACTTTTTCATTCAATTATCAATGTTTTGAATGCATGCAAACTTTGCCATTTTTTGGTAATTTCTGGATTTGTTTGAAAAGCCAAACAAGATTTTTAATTTTGTACTGTATAACAGAATTAATTGTGTCACCATTTAATTCTATTTCTGCAATTTTTTAATTTTTACATTGAGAATGAATGCTCACAGTCTGCACTGCTGACAGGCAGTCAGCAATCCTTTTGGTATCATATATTACAGTGGAGAGATTTAGAAATATCAGCTTGCCACAGTTTCCATTGTTGTCTGGCGCATCACACTAAGCCAATAGCTTGTAAAATTTGGTTCACCTTCTGAAGTTGGAAGGCTTGGTATATACAATATAGATCTATGTCAATAATCATCAGAGTTGTCCTTAATAATTTTTTGGTCAACATTTTATGTAAATTTGTTTACAAATCTGCTGATGACTGTATTTTGTGGTGTGCACTTAAATAACAATTACTTTTACAAAAAAGAAAAGAGAGCTTGCTTTAGTTGTTAAAGAAAGTAATAGAACAAGATATGTGAAAGCTTGAAAGGAAAAAAAAAGGAAAATCATATAAAGGCCTTCATCAACAAACAACAAAAAACAACAGATAATTAGACATTTTTAAATTAGCTTCTCTGTAGTGTTGATAAAAAAGTAAGACAGAAAGTTGTCTAAAACCAAAGCGAACATGCAACCATGGAGTTTACAGGAAGTAAAAGAATTTTGTTACTATGAAATGCTAAATTTTTACTACCGGTATTCAAGTAAGAATATTTCGGAATACATGTAAGAGAGTATTGAGATTGATTCCAGACAGCTTAAAACTATTTACACTTAAAATATACTGTATTAATAAACAAGTATATTAACTAATGCTATTTATTGTTGGTAATATTGAATAAATTTATTTATCTCATAGAATTAAAAGAACCCTTTCTGACTCTGCAAATCTTTCTGTGGGTTACACAAAATGATTTGTAATTATAGTTTAAACTACTTACTAAAGTCTTCTTAAAGTAGTTTCTACCATACAACTCTATTTACGAATGGTGTCAGTGATTTCTGCAATAGCTATATTACATAGGTACTGGTCAAATTCAATAGCTCCCAGTTATATATTTAGATGGCCTACAGATCTCTAAATTTTTATCGGACCAATAGGATTTAAGTTTCCTTTGACAAACAATTAATTTATTGTGCCGCCATTTTTGAATATGTCCAAAATGTTTCTCTAAATCCAGTGAAAACTTGTACAAAATCCATTACTTATGTACAAATTGGAAATTTTAAAAAAAAATTATAATTTACAGGTAAATAGTTTCACTTGGCATGCATGCAATATGCTTTCCATTAATACTGGGTCAAATCTTCAATTTAATGATAAAAATGGAGAAAAATAAAAATAGTTGAGTAATAATGAAATATGTAATTCTTAACACACCAGTTTGAGACAAATGAAAATTTCTGTATGAATATTCATTTCATTAGCCTTATGTCTTAAGTTTTTCTGTTTTATTTACTTGAGACTTACTCAGAAAAAGAGCTTTTAAAATGTAATCTGAAGTCCTGATTATATAAACAAACAAGTTATTTTTATTTTCCAATTGAATTAAGATTGTTACATTATTAATCATTAATAATACTTATATATAATACATAGATAATGTTAATTTGTTATTAAAAATGATAGTGTCCAACTGAAGGATAGACAACAATTATTTTTTTTAAAATCAGTGGCAATGCTAATAATTATGATTTGAGATACTGTCCACTGTCCTGCCTTTTTTTTTGGACATCATGTTAATATAAAGTATATATAAATTGTTGCCTTGAAGGCTAGTTACATTACATATCTGCTAGTATTTGCTGTATTCTGGTTGAGATATGTCCATAAAAATTTAACATATATTTAAAATCCCAAAATGACAATTTTATGCGCCATCCAATGTATTAATGAAACTGGTGAGGACTGTGGACTTGATCCTGTGGAGAAGATCATAAGTGCTTCAATACATTACAAATGTTGATGTGCATTTATTATGATTATAAAGGCTTATATGATTATTCATTAAAATATTAATGTTATCTATAAACCATGTTATCATGCATGAGTAAAAAAAAATGTATTGTAATCTCACTTTGAACAGAAGAGAAAGAAACTGAGGGAGACATGGCAGTACTTACATGCCCTTCGTGATTCACAAGATTTAGAGATCAAGTAGGAAATAAATTGGAAGATTAGCTTCTGATGGCACCTTGGTTTCAGTTCATTGCATTAGCACTGAAAACTTCATTAATCAATTTAGAATAGTTCATAGAATACTTCTAACTCACCCAATTTTGTTTTTATTGCATTATTCTTCAGATCATGTTCGAAAACTAATAACTAGTTCTTGTTTGTGAATACCATATTAAATTCTTGTGTTTTAACTGCTGGGTACCTCAAGATGAAGAAATATATCAGAATGTTTAAATTTTAAAAATTGGTTAACGTTTGCTGAAACTTTTATTGTCAGATTCTTGTGTTATTTCACAAGGTTTTGGATTGCTGCTAAAGCTTTTGCAAAAAATAATTTTTTTATTTCAATAGCCTAAAAAGGTTTTACACATTAAGGGGGCTTATTTCAAATTCCTTTTTTTTTTTTTTTTTTTTTTTTTTTTTTTTTTTTTTTTTTTTTTTTTTTATTTTTTTTTATTTTTTAATAATTTTTTTTTTTTTATTTTTTTTTTTTTTTTTTTGTGCATGTCTTTAAACCAGTTTATGCAAGTTTCACAAATTTTTTATTAGTAACTTCAATCAGAACCCTTTGTGAGTTTGAGAAAAATAATCATCTATTATATCATTACTTTTTTTGTAAATTCAAGAATATCTTAGCCAAATATTCTTTGGTTTGGGATGAGCCTTGGTGACAGTTGCTTTTTAAAATCACTGCTAACAAGCTTTTTTTTTTTCAATTGCTTGAAAGGAGCCGAAGTAAATAATGTCATGCACAATCAATGAATCTATTTTAACCCAGTTATAGTCCTTACATTTTAATTCAGAGCTTTCCAAACAGTGTGTCACAAGCAGGGTGTAGTTGTGTTGTGCGAAAATAAGCCAATACCAATGTGCATGTATTTTCAGACTTCAAATAACCCAAAAGTATGGGCACACCAGTACATTATCATTTTGTCACAAGGCTTTATTTTTCAAAGTAAAAGGTTGTGATCTGGTATCTTTTTTCTTTCCATAGAACAATACAAGGGGATGCCAGTGTAGCCAAGATTTTGTTTTTGTTAAGCCACATACGTTTGTAAAATTGGTTAGACGTTGTTTTGTGTGGTCTTTTCTTGTTGGGGTTCGCATAGCTTAAAATTTAAATCATCCACTTAGCATCAGTTACCCAAGCTCCTCTAGATTCATACAAAATGTAGCATTCTGTTGCTTTATCTTTGCTGGTTATCTGATGCCACTGAACCTCTATTCATTAATTGGGCATTGAATCATCTTCAAAATAAATGAATTTGTAATTAAGAAATGAAACGCTATTGAAGATTAACTTTGCCATGCAGTGGCTATAGAGTAAACTCTGCAATAATTATCTGTCTAATAGTGGCTCTTGAGTTTGTATAAGAAATATTTTTCAGCCAAATTTTTGCATTAAATATTGTTAGTTCATCGTTTGAAATCGACCATAACCATTTTAAACATCGAATTTATGCTGGATCTGAATCTGTCTGTGGGTAGGCAGATGACTGGTCAGGCCAATTCTGGTATGAAATATTCTTGTGTAGAAGGTGCAGGGGATGGATGGGTCAGAAACGCAGAGTTGATTCTGGCTTTTCTAGATTGCCTTTTGTGCTTTGTGGTAGCCATACTGTTTGCCTCATGTTGCAAGGAGTCTTTTTGTAGGGAGAAACGCCACAAGTATGGATCCTTTGCAGACTGTCCAGATTTATGTTTAATGATGCTTTCAAGGTGTCTTTAAAACATTTCTTCTTTCCCCCAGAAAACTACCAGCATAAACTATTTCTTTGGGCAAGCAGTCCTCTAACATTCTAGCAACATATTCCACCCAGCAAAGCTGGGATCTTTATTAGAAAGGCATATGAGATCTGTGTCTTGGAGCTTGTCCTGCCATTTGATGCTGAGGATTTTCCTGAGGCTCATTGTGTGAAAGAGATTTAGCTTTCAAGCATAGCATTGATAAACTGTCCACATTTCACAGGCATAGAATAGCGTCGAGAGTGCAGCCGCCTCGTAAACTTTTATTTTGGTTTGGGTGCCAATGCTTAGACATTTTTCAGAGGGTAGCTCATATTTATAGTAATAGAAGGGAGATTTGTCTATAATGTTAAAAGTATCTCACTGGCCATTAAAAGTAAGGAAAAGTGAATTAAAGCATCATTGAGTACTCAATATGTATCATGACGCTTTCTGCGTCATTCACCAATGAATCCGAATATAACAGATAAAGCTGAAGAAGGAATTTACTTGGCTAAAAAATAAATTGTCACCCACAATCACCACTACTTACTGCTGAAACTATCCAAAATGGAACCTTGCTCTGCTATTTTTTAAACTAGAATTCGGAAGACATATTTAAGACATATCTGATATATTAAACTGCAAATGGACACTTTTCAAGATGATAAAACGTTGATCTTTGCATTGCAAATAGACTAATAACTGGATGTCAGTGGGTTAGAATAAATGCTAGTCTGGATACGTTTAAACTGGTAAAACATAAGGGTGCGTCTCAAGATGGTGCATGGTTTATAAAAAGTGTTGGAATGCGATAAAGCTTTAAAATATATTAATAAGACACGAACAAATTGTGTCAATAGAACAATATGAGTTAGCTTTAATAATAATTGTACAATATACAGAATTAAACGTTTCGGCACATGCCTTCATCAGTACAAACAAACACAACACATTTAAATAAGTATAAATTAAATTTACATAATGTCAATATANTTTTGTCAGGTTTAAGCGCCCTCTCCTATATTTTTTCTGTTTTAGGTAGGATATATATATTGACATTATGTAAATTTAATTTATACTTATTTAAATGTGTTGTGTTTGTTTGTACTGATGAAGGCATGTGCCGAAACGTTTAATTCTGTATATTGTACAATTATTATTAAAGCTAACTCATATTGTTCTATTGACACAATTTGTTCGTGTCTTATTAATACATGGTTTATAAAGTGTGTCCCCCAACATTAAACATTTGGAAAGCTCTGATTTCAATCTTATAATTACAGTAAGCAGCAAATTTTAAAACTTTCAGAAAATTTCAAGGTGGAAGCATAAGGAACAATTAGTAAACTACAAAAACTGTTCATAAATATCTGAGGTTATGGTTTGACTTAACATAAATGTATTAAATGAAATGTAATGCAATGTAATAATTGAAACAAAATTTTAGGTTTTAACATTTAAAGACAACAAAAAATTTATATAAAATTTTGTCAGAATTAATTTTATATACAATTTAAGATTGATAAAATAGTGCTTTTTCCCTTTGCATGAGAATTGTAAAATAATGTATATTAAGTGATGATGATTTTACATAACTACAACATTTTTTATTAATTTTTTTTTTCTAAAACTTATTCTAACATGCATTGTGTGTATTATTAGTTCAATTTGCTTAATCCATAAAAAACAATTCTGAGCAAAACATGTTTATTTTTATTTTTTTACACCTTAAATTAATTTTTAATAACCATTTTGAGAAAGATACTCAAATTTATCAGTTCACATACACAAATATTTAATGGCAGTAACACTATACTGAGCTGCATGTAAGTTTAGAGGAAGGAACAACCTCAGCTTTTTTGCAGTATGAATGTAAAATATTTTTTAAATAAAATTATTTAAGTAAAAGCTGCCTCCAAACTTTCTGCCCATTACGTAAAAAAACAAAAAACAATGTGATCTGGATAGAATCATACAATTAACTTTATTTTAAGGGCAATATAGATTTCCTGGACTCATAAATGATTTTGTTAGAAACATTACTAGCCAAGCTCTTTGGCTAAACTTCAATTTTACAATAATAAATCGCAATACAAGGAACTCACAGCAAAATTTTTAAGTCTCAATAGCAGTCCCATTAAATAAAACATGCAATTTTTACATCACACTTCAGAAATAATTGATCAGTTTTTTTGGTAATAATTTGTATAAACTTTCTTTCAAATTTTTTTTCAGAAACGAAGAACTTTAAGGCAAACACTGCAGAAACAAAAAGAGGATCAGATGAGAGCTAACTCCATCCATAAACAGCCGACATCCAAATCTGTTCCCCTTGTTACAGCAACAGCCAATACAAATGCTACAAAATTTAATAGCAACAATGCCAAAACTGTAGTCCCCCCTCCCTATCGTAGACCATCCCTTCTAGAAGCTACAAGAGAAAGTGACTGTTTACCTCCTCCACCTCCTATGGATTTCCGACCACCTGGCTACGTGCCAGCACGGTCAGGACGCACTGTTACATGGCACAATCCATCACACAATCCATCTCACAGCCCAGACAATCTTGTGTGATGGCTTTATATAATTTGTCTATTTGTGTATTAGTTGTTTTTTTACAGCATTTTTTATTATTTTTAATTTTACACTTAATTAACTTAATAATAATAGCCCTAATTTAAGTATACAAACTGATTAAATGCTACTGTTAGAGCATTAAGAATAATTCACAGCATGGCTCACTCAAAAACGTTCAATGTAATGGGTGGGGGTGGGGGGGGGGAATCAAATATTTAATACTTTTGTCAATACTGTGGATATTTGAGGGTCCAACTAACTAGAAAAAACACTTGTTCCATCAGATTCAAAATAGGAATAGCTTTTTTTTTAAAAATATATTGATCTTTTCTATAGATCTAAATTTTATTCATCTAATTATAATTTACAAGGAGTTTTGAATTTAACAAGATTGTTCATTTTTCCATAAAATTTTTTGCATTTGCAAATTTCATATTCTCCATAGTAATAGTGGTGTATCTAGTGTAAGGCAGGAAGATTTGTTTCAGTCACACAGAATTTCTTAAAAATAATATAGACTGATTTTGTTATTTCACATCCACAACTTTGCTTTGGGAAATGTTCAATAATTACATTTATTAAAGTGTAATGGTTTTTATTTGAGTTTGAAATTTTAAAATAAATAGTTTTGTAAAGAAAATGTGATTTTAAATAAATTTTCACTCTTTAAATTGTGAAGTGTTCATAATTATACATTTATCAAAAATGCTTTTTATACAAATATTTTAAAAAGAAAACAAAAAACTTTGCCATATTATTTTTTTCTGAATGTAATTTAACTGAATCAACTAAAAAATAATTTGGCAAACAGTTTTTAAATAAAATGTAAATACTGTTTTGAATATTGTCACAGCATAAGAACATTTTTTTCTAAATACACTTTGAATTACAGTAATCATGAAAACTATATCAGTGTGATTTTTAAAATAAGTAAACCTCTTAATATTAGAGGTAGACAAAGATGCTTTCAAACTCCCATCTGATATCTATTAGTCTTGATCTACTATATTCTGGAGACTGAAGGGAATACTAAGAACCGCTACAGAAACACCTCAAGTGTTGGCAGCGTGCTGGAAACACTGGGCTGGTCATCATTGGAAGAGCGACGACGACTATCCAGGCTCGCCATGTTGTACAAGAGCAAAAATGGGCTGGTCCACTGCTCCAGCATTAAACAGAAACTCATTCCTCTCCCCTCTAGAAAGCAATAAGGCTACGACAGGCAGCTCCGGCTCATAAAAACAAGAACAGGAGCTCCTCATTCCTGCCAAAGACAATAAGGGACTTGAACAAGCTTCCAAAAGCAACGGTTGAGGTGGCTACACTCGACACATTTGTGTTTATTGCCTCCCGTCTTCCAACCCCCAGTTCGTAATACCATTGCTGAGTAGCCCTTGCAACCAGTGAAGTATCCCCTCCAAAACCATGCACAATTACATTACGAACCCCTCTGAAACATAGGAGCCAGAATGATCAATTCATTGATCGTGTGCCCTCAAAATATAGAAGAAGATGAACAATTTATGTGACCCTTGAACTTGAAATATAAAACAAAACAATAATACTGGCATTTTGGCAGAACATGATCTACTGCGAACAGAACAGAAAAAAACAAAACAGAAGAATTGGAAAAGGTGACTTAGCTTATAAAAGGACGTGATTACGTTGGCTCTGAGCTAACTCTAATAATGTTTTCTGGAAAGTAAAATCCATCTGCTCATGGTTTTAATTTAAAACCCTTTAGTATTAACAAATGATCCGTTCAGTTAAGTTTAAAATTAATAATATGCTCTCAAACTTGGTTGATTTTGTAAAGGATTAATTGTAGACCATTATTACATCTGAAAATGAAAGGTAGTCACCGTTAACCAGTGTTTTCCAATGTGGGGCATGCGACCAGGAGGAGACAGATTTTAGATTATTGTTATGGATTAAAGTTTCAAAGAGCCGGGGGGGGGGATGGGATATGTTGAAACTTGACAAGCGAATCACTGTTATATATATCATATATCACAAAAGAAATAAAATTGACTTAAGTTATAGCTTATTGTAAGTTTTTATTCTACGATGTTGAATCTTAAAGGTCAAAAAAGGTGACAAAATTTTAATGTAATATTCTTTACAGCAACATGGAGACCACTTTTTTCTTAGTTTTCCAGTAAGAGTGTGGAGGGAATAAACCTTTTCAGTTGGGTCCTAGGGCAAGAACAGTTAGGAAGCACTGCTGTAACATGTTTTTTGTTGTGTCTGCAGCTTCCACTAATTATATTGCAAACACGGAAGCATACATTGGACTACAGTTGTCACTGTGCTAAATATTACTGTTGATATCTATCCAGCTATTTGTGAATACACAAAGCAACAGTATGATTATAATGACAAAACTTTGCTGTGGTTTTTTAAGCCTTTGAAAATAGAAATCATAGATTCACAGCATTTTAGGTGACAGTTGGCTTTATTATAGAGAAATGAATAAGCTATTTATGGACCGTCAGAATTTCAGGATAACCATTTCAGAATTTGTGAATAACTGTAATTACACATTCTGTCAATGACACCCACCTCCTGGGTCAGATACAACCAAACTTAAAGCTCCAAAAATCATGAACTCGCTCACTGCTATGTTTACGTTATATATGGATGTCTCTACTTTAAGTGCATACATAAAAATACAAATATATAATTTAATATAAACATTTTTATTCATGCTCCTAAAATAGTAAGATAATATTCAATGAAGGTTGCACTGATTATGTAGACATATTTAGGGCAGATGTCTATCTGAACTATATATATTGAAAGATGCAAAACTGACTCTATAATTATCTAAAAACAAATGTTTGTGACGTAACCAAAGTGCCTTGACCTCAGTGTACCAGCACAGCAAACAGTCAATGTTTTTTTGACAAAATTTAAGAATTTGTTGCAAATAATTATGACATTTTCTCTATTGAGGAGATTCTAAACACAACTCTAGAAAATTAATTATATATAATTAAATATATAATTAATTATATATAAAAAGCATCTGATGTGTTTAACTCAGGTAATTCAAAAATAATTTTAAGAACAATCCAATTGTTTTGTCATCTTGATGATGTTTATTCAAATCGTAAGTAAATATAACTCTGTTTTAAGCCATATGATGATTAATCTTCAACTTTAATTGATTTTGAAATTAGAAATTTTGAAAAAAATAATACAAATAAGTTTATTAATAATAACAAAAATTATTTTTAAACGAAGTTTACCATAAAGATCGTTGAGGAATGGACATTCAAAGGCAAAAATTAAGCAAATTTAAAAATCCAAATTAGAATATAAAGATGTAGTGTAATTATTTTAATCAGCTTGATTGAAGAAACTAGTACACTTCAAATTAATATTTTTGTAGTTAAAACTATTAACAATGCTTAAAATTATATTGTTCAATATGATCAGTCTTGATCTGATTAAAAAAAGAAGACAAGGTTATTCAAGATATTTCATTGTTCTATTTCCTCCCTCAATGCATAAAAACATAATTAAACAATCAGTATTTTTACCATAATCATATTTCAAATAACATTTTTTACAACAAAATGTCCAATTCTGAAGACTGGTTATAGGCACTTGGGAATTGGGAGCATAACACTTTATGCCTTATATTTATAATCTATAAAACCTGATTATTGGATCCCCAATCCTTTCATAAAAAGTAACAGATGCTTACACAATATAGACCATTAAATGCACATTCTCAACCTTAGACTTATATTTTTAAGCATGGGCGCCCGCAGGTAGGGGCAAGGTGGGGCACTTGCCCCCCCCCCCTGGATTGATTGGATACAAAAATTTTAGACAAAAATAGACACAAAATTTATTTAAGTAAAGAGAAAATAAAGAGAAAGTAACTAAGCTGATGTCCTGTCCGTTCGTTCACCATAAAAATACGCTACAGTAAATTAAAACTATATTAAAACATTACTAAAAAAATGTTTGCTCCCCCCTAAAAAAATTGTTGCCCCCCCCCCCCCCTGGAAAGTTAATGCTTTTTTTTGCCACCCCCTAGAAAGTTTTCTGCGGGCGCCCATGTTTGTAAGGTAATACATAACTTACCATCACATAGGAAAATACATCATTACATTAGGATACCATACTAATTTAAGAATGTAACGATAAGGGTTGCAAGAGATGAAAATATTTGTCTGACTCTAGGTTGTCACATGATTATTGTAAAATTGATTAAAAGACACAAGTGTAAAACAGTTGTTTTTTTAGTGAGGCATTGTTGGAATAGAATCCTGAACAATTCAGCTACCAGCCTTCTTTGGCAGACAGAAGGATCTAAATGCAAATCTATTTATACTACTTAATAAAATTTAATTTCTTTAAATTCCCTAAAGTAGTAAACTTTAATCAAAAGCAAACTTGTGTGCTGCTTTCATAGTCAAAACAAAGATGCTAAAACCTCTCTAGTAAATGTTTTTGGAAGAATTTAAAATTCAAGCCTGTGATACCTAAGGGAAGTATTTTCTATTTTAAATTATCTTCAAGCATAGCTGCCGGATGAAATAAGCACAAACTGACAATTGGTTGAGCTTTCATAAATGCTTTCTCTTTTGTACAAAATTTATTAATTAATAACATTTTTTAGTGCCACAAAATCTATGACATTTATGGTGTATAGAATCCTCAAAATAAAGACTGTGTTGAAAATATGTAAATAACATTATTGAATGCCACAAAACTGATTAATAACTATAAACAATTACAATGTATAGACTCCTCAAAATAAAGGCTATGTTGAAAATATGTAAATAACATTATTGAATGCCACAAAACTGATTAATAACTATAAACAATTACAATGTATAGACTCCTCAAAATAAACATTGACTCTGATTGCTGATTGCACAAGTTTCCCTTTACTAATTTTTGTGAGCTTTTCATACCTGTTATCTCAAAAAAAAATTGGTGGGACAATTAAAAAAAAAAAAAAAAAAAAAAAAAAAAAAAAAAAAAAAAAAAAAAAAAAAAAAAAAAAAAACAAAAAAAAAAAAAATTGACTCTGATTTCTGATTGCACAAGTTTCCCTTTACTAATTTTTGTGAGCTTTTCATACCTGTTATCTCAAAAAAAAATTGGTGGGACAATTAAAAAAAAAAAAAAAAAAAAAAAGGTCATTCCTAAATCAAAAAATTGTATAATTTAGGTCAAGTCACATTGAAACAAATTTGCCCCAGAATTTTCCAGGCATATATAGGCCTACTACTAAGCTACAACTTTTATAAGATTTCAAAAGCTAGAGGTGGAAAAAATAACTATGGTTAAAATATTGCCAACAAGTTTTACAAGTGAAGATACAAACAATAAGTCATTGTTCAAATCAGGTAAACAACAAACAAAAAAAACTAAGATTTACCCAAAATGTCTGTAACAAAAAAAATCATTTCCTTTTAGAAGAAGAGAAATCATGGAAATAAAAATAATCTTTTAATGAAAAATTATTAATTTATTAGAGAAATATGACCGTTACCTAGAGTCATCTTTTCCTACCCAGCATGAGCCATAAAATTATTGGGGTCAATATTTTCGAATTCTGAAATACTTTAGGCAAAGTGTTTATTTTTTTCTCTTTTTTGGGCTGTCTGGGGAGAAACAAAATTAAGGAATTAGAAAAAATATGTTTCCGTAAACTACAAGGTTGCCTAATACAGAATTCCATTAAAATATGCTTATACATTTTTTAATGTAAATTGAAATGTTTTTTATTTTATCTCCTGGTGGAGAGTTAATGAATGAAGAAAAACAACAGTAACCTATAACTACAAATAATTTTTTTTGACACAATGATTTATGATTTATAAACACATCCTCTTAATTTGATAATTTGCTATAGAAAAAAAATGTACCAGGTTATTTTTTAAAAAATATACAATCAGAATTAAAACCCATGCTACATTTATGTTTTGCTCTACCATAAAAGGTTGATTATTTAGCTAGCATAAAAACAATATGGTATAAATAAATAAAAGATCACAAAATCATCTAATGTTATCAAATATACAAATAATACAATAATCTGTTCATCATACTATCCAAATATCAAACTTACCAGTGGACACATCCTTGGGGAGAAAGAAGTGTTTTTTTAGGGGTTGCCAGCATTCGTAATAGTTACCATCCACTTTAGTGTTGTTGCCCCACTCTGTAATGGCCATACTCAGGGATGATTCAAACATAAAAGTCTTGATAAAGAAAAAACAGTGTTATCATGAGTAAAACAATAATTTGAATGATAGATAAAAGAAATGTTAACTTTTCAATCAGTTTCTTACAAATCTTGAGAATTACGAACCATGGTTCCTTCTGCTATTTTTTGGGGTCGAAGCTCTCCATTTGAAGCCTTCTCAAAGCATTCATAGTCTGGTCCATGGGGTGTCATAATGCTATGAAGGGTTGCACCCCCAGGCAAGAAACCTTCTTCCTGTAAAAGTCAATTGAAGATTATAAAAGGGATATTAACTGATGAATTTCTTATTAGAAACTTTTTATTAATCTAAAAAAATGTATTTTTTGTGATTAGATACATGTTTACATTTTCAGCAGTTTTACTAGAGTAAACAGAAATTTGCAAGACAATGATTATAAACACCAATTTTAAATAAGATATGGTACTTAAATTGCAGCATTTTATGTGTGAATATTTTATAACACAAAAACACAAACAGTCACACAGACACATATATATATATATAAATAAATAAAAGCACAGAAATATATTTATTTCATTCCTTCTGTGTGTCCAAAATGCTCAGCACTAATGGGAAAACCAGATTTTTTTGTGTATCAAGTGCATACTTTAAGTAAACAACACTAAACAGGGGTAGGGGAGCAGAATAGAAAGCAAAGGTGCTGAGAGCTCCCAAGCGAAAGTAGGGGAGTGGTCTTGGCAACAAAACAACAAAAAAGGAGGGGGGGGGCATCTGTGGTTCTGTGCTTTCCTCGTTTTCCTCTCGTTGGAGTGAAGCCATTATTCTAGGCCACTGTTGCTAAGGAATGTAAACAATACATTTGGAGCTACTTATGATGATATATTTCATTTTAAAGAACATGAAATTGATTTTCTTATGTGACCAATAGAAAAAAATATGATGGTGAAGAAAACCAAATATTTTTAAATCATACAATTCATTCATGTGAGGTGTTTGACCAGTTAATAAATGGATACATCAACCAAAAGGCAGTGCGGCCCATTAGCTGATTTTAAATGACTCACCACAGCTTGATAAATTTTTGTGTGTGTAAAAATAAAATATTTTAGGGTGAAAATATTTTCAAACCACATTCATTGATTCAGTATTGTAAGTGAGAGCACAAGAGAAGTTGTAATATGGAAAAGGAGGAGGTCACAAAAGCTAAGAAGTGGAATGGCTTGACAGGAAGCAGTAATTTATGTTAAGCAAATCAGCAGAGCAACCATTTGGGAACCTTGGTAAAATAAAATCAGATACTATCGCCTCCTCCTTTCTTTCGCGGGGTTTCAGGTATAATTACTAATGGCATTGGGAGAGATGAATAGGGACACCAAAAGTAACTAGATGTACGCAAAATGTAATAGATTACATCCAATGCACAAATTTAAAAATAAATTGTAAAGTGTGCTATTAATTAGGAATGCAAAAAAAAAAATTTGTTTAAAAAGTACAATAAAAAGTAGCGCACATACCTTTGTTTTTATAAAACAAGAAACTATCTAACTGAGTACCATAAAGTTTAAATTCTCTACTGATATGTTTTCTTGTGTATAAATCATTTTAAACAGGGAAAATAATAATAACCTGTGAAATTGGTGAATTATTTTTTGGATGGGTGGTGAATTTTTTATTTCCTTTTTTTTTTTAAATACATTTTACTAAATCTTTTATATTTTGGTCAAAAGCTCATCAAAAGTTATGATTTTTTCACATAACAAACAAAAATAAATGTTATTTCTGAATAAATAGATCTTAGTAAAAAATTCTCTGTAGCATTTTTTTTTTCTTCTTTGCATCTGATCACCATAACAATGTATTGCACATTTTCATATTAAAAAAAAATGCATTAAATTTTGAACTTATATGTTTAGAAACAAATATTTATGAAGCCTCTGGCATTTTCCTACAAATGTATATATTTAACATCATGAAAGTTAGTCATGGATTCTAAAAGTAAATGACTCTTTTCCAAGTTCACTAGAATTCTCAAGAAATAAAGTAAAAATTCAAGGAATGTAAAAAGTAAATCTGTCACCTTTGCTTCATAGTTTCCACAAATGAGTCCCATAAATTCACTCATGCAGTTCCCTGAAATGATTTATTTCAATACTAAAATTCACTAATAAATTATAAAGATTTTATGGCCAGATAAACTTTAAACAAGAGATAAAACATCAACTGGACAACACTGGAATGAAATGGATTATCAAAAAGAGAATCCATTGCCTTTGTATTGAATGACTAAAAGAACTGCTAAGAATCTGTACTTTAAAATGTAAGATTTATATCTGTGGCCATTAGAGTCTCATTTACACACAATTACACTTGCAGGCTTTAAATGACTTTGGTGCTTATTTATAGAGCAGAAATATTACTACTCCTAACAAATAACAATTTTGCTGTAAGAACATTTCTAAATGTAAATAGTCTGCATTTCAGATTCTTTCAAAAATCCTTCAGCTGTCTTTGGACATTTCAGCTTGCAGACATTAAGCTTTTTTTAAATTTTCTGACCTTGCCATGTCTAGCGGTTTGTTCCTACTATGAAGACAATGAGCTTCTCTGATTTTGGAACTTTTGAGATGAGATTGTTTAGTTCATCATAAAATTTATCTTTTGTGCGACACTTCCTTGTAGGAACTTGAGAATATTGATAAGAGACAATTTACTCCACTGCCCTTGAGCACCTTGGACCAGCAACCCGCAGAAATTGACAAAAGTGACAGCGAGATAGTGACTATTAAATGAAAAACAACTGCTGAGATGATCGTAGAAGAATGCTACATCACAGGGAAAGAACAATGCTTTCAAAAAAATAAAATAGAGATTGCAACCAAAAAAAAAACAGCTCTGCAATATGCAGGATTTGTGGATCAGCAGGAAGGTCAATGTTATTGACATATGCTAATAGACATAATCCAAAGATTTTCTACAAAACACATAAAAAAAACCTGCTGTATGAAATGATGCATAGACCTTTCAAATGTAGATATGGATGGCTTCTACCAACAATGTCTTGTACAAATTTAACAAACTTATAGCTTCTTGATTGAATTTAGTAGCCTACACATTTTAAAGAAAATCTTACTGTGATAATAAGGTGGCCGAAAGGTATGTTCTTGAACGGACCAGCGAGGAGGAAATATTACAAAATCAGCAATAGCTACACCTGGTTTTAAGGAAGGGCAGGTCAGTACAGTAAAGATGGAAGGATCCTGTGAAGAGAAAATGAAACATTTAAAAATTAACCAGCTTAATTTACTAATAAGAAAGATATATTTGAACTGTACTTAGAATCCTATTTACTGTTTGAATTTAACTTTTAATTTGCCTGTCACTTCCAATCTGAAGTATTTTCTTATTATCCACTTTAAAGGTTCTTGCTCTCCAGCTATCAACAAAGGCAGAAATTTTACTGACCTAAACACAAAACACAAATTAAAATTAATTCAACAACAGCCTTTTGATGAATTATTAATTGCATCTGTGTGGTGTCAACACTTTTACAGTGTAATCATCCCTTTAACTTTAAGTACGGTACTGTGCGACTTAGTTAAAATAATGGCAGCTTAGCAATGAAGGTTGTCCAAAGCTTGAAACACTGTAAATCCTTGCTGGACAAGATGATATTCTCATGAACATAATTTCTAATGAGAACAAGAAGAATTTAGGAATTATAAAACAAAACTTCCACTCACTGCATGATCAAACGCCACACAGTTAATAACCATGAATTTACTGAGGTCGTATTTGTAAGGTGCGTAATTGCCATGCCAGGCCACAACATCAAATGGTGAATGACTCTGAGGAAAGATTTATGTAGGAAAAATATATAGTAGGAGCTGTCTGTACAGAAAAATCTTTTGTGCAATGTTTTAGGCATTCTTCACTTTTGCTCCATTCCAAAATAAAAGCCATATTTTTCCAATCTGTTGGTGTAATATCATGTGTTTGAATTTATACAAACAAAAGCTCTCTCTATAAATAATTATTGTTTTTTTTAAATTCTAGTTAACATTTATTAGCAGTAACTAATTATTTTTTTAGAAAACTGTGCTCTCAGCAGAACCTACTTTTTCTTCTGTCATTTTATACCTTTTTCATTTCTATATTTTCTAAAAGAGTTCAAAAGCTCAAAAGAAAAGCATCTATTTTTATCATTAATTTAAACAAGATTAAGCTCACAAATATACATGTAATGGTAAAATGATCTATAACTGAATAAATTATTTTAAGATGCTACATGATAAGCTTTAATCGGTTTAGGATGATTTCAAAGAGCTAAATGAAAGAAAATATGAGATCTTTTCAGAAGTAAAAATTACCTGACTTGCACTAAACAACTGCCCATGATATTTATTGACAATAGTGTATTCTTTCACTTCTCTGTCCTCAAACCATGCAACTGGAGTTAAGAAATCACGGGGATTTGCAAGTCCATTAGCACCTGTAAACAAAGTTAGATATACTATACAAAATTTACAAAAAGCAAAAGAAGACAATAATTTTGTTCTTGAATTAATTAAAATGTTGTTGATAAGTAAATTAACTTAGAAATAGTTAATTATAAAATCAAAATGAAGAATTTCCTCAAATAATAATAATTAATTATTCTTTGGTCAAAGAATGGACAGCACTTTAAATGTGGTCAACTAGTCATTACGCAGCACGATACATTATAAGGTTTAAACTTAATCGTATGAAATTTCATTTGAAAATAGGAAACTTTTGTTGCATAGGCAAATAACGTGCAATGACAAAATTTGATTTAATTTCTGACCAGATACTGGGATCTTTTACTAGAAAAGACAAGTATTTCATGATGTTTTGTCTATTTTTTTGCCATTATTGATTAAGGAGTATTAAGGACTATGTCACGGTGGAAGGTGGGGGTGTTTCCTCGGCAGAATGTATATTCATTTGTTCACCACTTCTTCCGTAATTATGATGATATTCTGAGTCCATAAATATTATATCTATAAAAGCAAACTGTTATCTAAAAATCTGTGAAATCGATGAATTCTAATCATTTTTGAAGGCTATAAAATATCATACCAATCTTTTGTAACTATCTTCATACTGAGCTTTTTATATCACAAGTGAGCTCGCTAGATAATTCACTAGTAAAAAATATTACACAATCTTCATAATTTTATTTGGCAGCCTCCTTGTGTGGAAGCTGCTGCCTCCCTGGGTGCCATGGGGAAAAGTTTGGAGAGAACACATGATATATTTAATTAAAACTTAAAACAGTTTATGGTGACTTCATTAACTTGCTGTTGTATGACATGATTGTATGTAAATAAATTGAAACAGGTGGCTGCAGGGGGTGAACATTCTATTTTTTATGTGAGGTCCAAAATGTAAATGATTTTTTTTTAAAAATAATTTTAAAAAAATGCCTGTGAATTTAATCAAAATAAAGCAATGCTATCCAATTAAGACTAAACTTTGGCTTCATATTTTTAACAGATGAGTCGCAGTATAGTTAATTCTAATAATATGCAGTTGATCTTTTATCTTAAAAGGAGTAACTGTAGTTAATATATTTTTGTTTTCATATCTTTTTTATTCAAACATTTTACGGAAGTGTGCTTAGTGTCCAAAAACTTTTTTTAATACTAACTTCTATTTTCTTCTTGCTCTCAATCTGTCAATACAAATTTATATATTCAAAGAACAAATATTTGTTGCAACAGTAAAACAGTAGAAAAGTTTAAGGTTATAGACATGGCCATCTCTGCTCTACAGTTAAACTCATGTAGCTTTAGATGAAAGTTTGTAAAAGAAATAATCTCATTTAAAAGGTATTTTGTACAGGAGTATAAATTACCAATGGGTCCTAAACTGGGAAGTTGAAAATGATCGGAAAACACTTCCAAGGTATAACCTCGACTATTCCCTTTGACATCCACACTGAATCTGATTCCTCTCTATAACAAAAATAAAAAGTAACAATTATGGATTTAAATATACAACTAATAATTCATTTTAGATAACACAAAAGAAATACATTTTTTAATAGGTTAATGGGGGAAAAGGCCGGAAGAGAGACTGCTATCAGGTTAGCAAAAAGGGAAATGAGTGAAACAAAGTATGGGAATACCTGAAATACTACTTTTCAGCTAAGTGCTATTTTTATTTAACTCTGATTTTACTGTTGTTTGTCCTGGTAGGGTACTCTGCTGAATCCATATTTTCAATGATTGTGGATGCGATGCTGGTATTTTAACGGCTCCTAGCGGATGCTAGGGTAGTTTTGAAGTTCTCAATTGACGTCGAGTTTGCAGCGGTATGGTCCAGGTGGCTCAAAGCAATGATTGTGCTTGGGGAAAATGATTGTTTATATTGGACTGTGTTACACTGAGGCACAGTGAAGCATTTAGATGTCAGAGGTGAAGTCTGTGTTTAGTGAGCGTTTGGCTCTGATTAAGCGACCTGGTTTCTGTGGGGTGAGATACGTGTTTGCTGGGATGGCCGGCACTAGCCTCATGACCACTTTATATAAGAATGTCAGGGGGAGCTTTTCTCGTCTATCTTTTAGGGAGGGGATGTCAAAACTTTGTAAGAGGCCAGGAGTGGTGGATTAGTGGTCACGTGCGATGAATCTCTCGTGCGATGAAGCGCACTGGGTTACGTCGGATTCGCTCCATCTTGTCCATGTCTTGCTTTAGGTATGGGTCCCAGATGATCGCACCATATTCTAGTAGTGGATGGATGAGTGCAAGATAGGAGGTTGGGCAGTGGTGCAGATTTCTTCAAATAGAAAGCATAGAGGTCATTGGTGGTGATGATTAATTGAGTTTCTGTTGAGAATCCAGAGCGGAAACCGTGGTTTAGGTTGGTCAGGATGTTGTACTGTTCAAGGTGATTCATGATGTGGCACCAGATTATGTGTTCTAGGATTTTGCATGGGACGGAGGTCAGGGATATTGGCAGTAGTTTGCTGGGTTATGATGGTCACCTTTCTTGTAGGCACTAGTGGTATTTGCATCAAGCCAGTCTATCGGGAGTTTGATGGAGTCAAGCAACTTTTGGAAAATGCGGGTGATGATTGTGGCAATTTTGTCAGCCAGGGTCTTCAGGACAATGTTGGTGATACAGTCACATCCGGGCGCTTTATTGGGCTTCAAGTTTTTGAAAAGTTTGGCTACTCCTGGTTCAGTTATGTTGAGGGGGCCTACTGTACCAGGTGAAGGTTTTAGGGATGGTATGACTGTGGTGGAAATTTTTTTGAAGACAGATTGAAACTGCCTTTGGAGAATTTCTGCTTTGCATTGGCCATCGCTTAGGAGTTTCGGGNGGGGGCTACGCCGATGTTGTCTTGCTTCTTGTATTTTATTTTTTGTGTTGTTGTTTTCTAGGCCTTCTTGAATGACTACATTTATGTGCTGCCACTCTCCTCTTCTCAGTTCCCTATGGCATTGTTTCTGGAACTGGCGGTACAGGGTCCACTTTTTGGTAGTTTGGGCTTTCTTCAATAGTCTTTTCTTTCTCTTCAGCAGCTTCTTGAGCCGTGTGTTCAGCCATGGTCGATGACATGGATTCTTTGCTGTGGCTGAGGGGACATTTTGATTTATGTTGTTGGATGAGACATTTTTGAAGGTCGACCATAGTTTATCCACATCATCTCCCTCCTTGTATTTTTTTAGGATGGCATGTTCAACAGCGGCAAGATCTAGCTTGATCTTGTCCTAATTTGCCTTATCAAACTTGTAAGATTTCCTGGGTTTCGGGCATGTTATTTGAGCTTTGGAGTAAAAGTCAACCACCACTGCGTCATGTTCAGATATGCCTGGGACACACGTGGATTGTTTAACAAGGGTGGGGTTGGACATGAAGATTAGATCTAGGATGCTGTTGTGATGTGTCGGTGTCTTCTGCACTTGTGTGAGTAGAGAGGATGAGGATAAGTCGACCAGTGATTGCTGAATGGCATTGTTTTTGCCGGTGGAGTGGGCAGTATGCATGGTCCAGTCTATATTGGCGCAGTTAAAGTTACCGGCAATGATGCTGTCACGTGGGTGCTTGCCGTTGACTGATGAATGCTTCCTGCCGACACGTTAGTTGTTTTGTTGCATTCCTTTTTTCAGGTATTCCCATACCTTGTTTCATTCATTCCCCTTTTTTTAAATAATTATTTTAATGTTACCTGAATGACACAAATTTCATTTGGTTGTACATTCATTCTTCCCATCTCTGTTGTAATGTAGAGAGTTCCCTCTTGAGGTACTAAATTAAGCATTTAAAAAAGGAAAGAATCAAGATATGTCTATTAATTCCACATTGGAAGTTGTTTGTACTTTATTAAATAAAAATGATAAGTATGATAGATATTCCATATACCCCTTTGTTTTAAATTTAAACAATTATATATTAATTTTGTTATCAAAAGGACCAAAAGTGATATTTCTAGTTAAAATAAGGTATTGCTCGTTATAATATAACTAAGATAAATATCAATAATCTTTTAGAAAATGGCCTGGAGTAAAGGAAAATATCAGAAAGAATATGACAGTCTTGGCTATATATGATTTCCTTTTAATCTGATGCAGTTCTAGTATATTATTCCAACTTAAAAGTCTTATTTTCTCATTTTCATAACATGGAGCACAAGAAAATACATTAGAACAATATACAAGAGGTTTGATTTATTTTATTTTATTGCCGACTATTTAATTAATCAGCAAACTTGAAATCGGATTACTAAAAATACTTTTTAATGAATTGATTGAATAAATGTCAATATTCTAAAATAGAAAATTATTATCTACAAATATGTTAAGGAACTGTGTAGGACAAACGGTTTCACAATAACACAGAGTACTCATGTTAGTCTTGTTTTACTTACCAATTAAGAAGTCACCATCTGAACTGTATAAACACCTAGTTTTAAAAAAAAATTAAGCAAGCTGCTTAAATAAAAAGCTTTGTATTTCTCCATTTTTTAATCACTATTAACAACAACAAAAATTTGATAGACAAGCTAAGGCTAGACTCTAATTTATTATTCATTATTTTTTTTTTCTGGTTGTTTGTTTTTAAATAGAAACAGTTGAGTTACCTTGAAGCTATGGACTCACTTGTTTTCCATAGTTTTGTTGCAAGTATAGATATATATAGCAATTCCATTCCTTGCTTTTGGATCACCAGCTCCACATATGGTTGCTAGACCCTATGACAGGAAATAATCGAATAATTGACAGCAGAAAATCAAAAAAGCAGTATATATTTCTTAAATACTCTAAATAATAATACCTAAAAAATAATTTTTATGTTTCCAAATTAAATGGGCATAATCTGAGAAATAAGGGTAAATAAATAGATTTTGTTTCCTTGTTTAATTTTAATAAAACTTAAGAAATAACATGTGTGGTAAAACTTTCAAAAATTTAAATCCCTGCATGAGCATAAACCAACCATTCAATAAATTTTAGAAGTACAAAATTATCTATTAAACCTACTTACCTCTAAAAAATCTTGTTTATCTTTTGGAAAATCAAAAGGCTTCCACCGCATCTGAAAATTTGTTTAATGAATTCCATATTTAAATGTACATTTTACATTTAACGTTAGTAAGGTATTCAGTAGTATTTGAAAAACAGTGCTAGTAACCAATGTATATGTACATGTATATTAATCATAAAATGGATTATGCATATGTTTTTAATTATTTATCTCTTTCCTGAAATTATTAAATTTTTGGGGAGATTTATTTTAAGGCTTTATGGTTAACTTTAATAAATTTTTTATTATTGAAGGTGATTATGGATTGCAACTAATAAAAAAAGTATAGTATACTAATAATCAATAATTAGTAATCAATAAGATATTAAAAATTATATATAAATAGTTGAAATGACATCTCCTCTTCTTTTCTGAAATACCAAGGACGTCACGTCAACGTCATATTTCAATGCTATATATTTCTTCATTAGTTAATTTATAGAGAAGCTAAAAAGCGAATCCGATAGAGGATGAAAAATACCAAAACATTTATTAATTTCTTTTCTTTTATTTTAAAACCAGCGGTAATGAAAGGGTTAATGACTGACTGGCAAACAGCAAAATGTAACAATCTGTCAATCATTTTTTTAAATAGTTCTATATAAAAGATAAAAACTTTTAATAGTTTAAAATAATAATAACACCATTAAATAATTTACCTAAAGGAAAACAACAAATGGCATGATCAAAAACAACCACCCAAAGACCAGTTAGCAATTGGTTATTAGTCATGATCTTGAAACAAAAAGCCTAGACTTAGTTCGTCTGGTTAAGAGGGACTTTAATCGTTTGGCTCTAGATAAATCAATGCCAGTGTACACTCAGTATGTCACATGATTTACAGTAGCCTAAATGTAAGGATCAACTCTTGATATGTTTTATGGAAATATAAAGAATCCTCATATTTTACAGTTAATTATCTCCTTAGAGAATCTGACGACACAAATCCTGGCTAAAAACAATTTTATATTTTATATTTTCTTATATTGTAAAATAAATAATTTTCTTGCCTGATTTGGATTAGGCTCCACAGCATCCCAGTCATGAGTAACTAATCCTCTTTCAATCTTATTAAAAGGTTTATGCAGGACAGATGGTCGAATACGATAAAACCAACTGAACGTAAATAAAATCTTGTTATCAATAATTAATCATTAAAAATTGAAATCAAAGTGCAGAAAAATTGTATCAATACTTGAAGTTCAAATTTCAAACGCAAAGCTAAAAAGCTAATTGTTTAATCATAAACTGTTTTTGAGGCTATAATGTACTGTTTCCTGCTTGTGCAGTTTTTAAGATCAAACTTTAAATTATAATGTATTTCATATGGCACTTTCAGACATGTGTATGTCTTAAGGGAGATACGACATATGTATGCATTGAGGAAAGGGGGGGTTGATTGCCGTTGTCAGAGATTTTGCGTACTGGTGCATATGACTCGGGGGTGTGTGTATTATATAAATATATATTCACAACATTCTGAATTAATTATCCTGAAAATATCACAGTCCATAAAGACCTATTTATATCTCCAATAAAGCAATTATCACCTAAAAATTTGTTAAATGTTTTGTAATTATCATCATACTGTTGCTTTATTTTTTTTAGAAATAATCTGCTAAATATTCCACTAGTAATATTTAACCTAGTGACATCTGTAGAGCATTGTATGTTTCCATCCATGAAGTAATTTGTGAGATAATTATTTCATTCGGATAAACCAAACGGTTAGCTGCAGATGTGAAAAAACATGTTACGAAAGTGTTTCACTACCCTTTTTGCCCCAGGCGCCATCTGAGCACCTAAAAGGTTTTAAAGGCAAACCCCCCCCCCCCTTTCCGCCCCCAAAATCTCTCCCCTCTTAATTGAGAACTAAAAAAAAAAAGGTCTCCATGCTGCCACAAGGAAAGCTTGAATTTCAGTTCTGCTGCCATTGCATGCAGTGAAAATTCAACAAAGTAGAATAAAACTTGGAATAGGTCAAATATATTATATTTCAATATACGGCAAACAATAACAGTGGTTAACTTCTTTTTACAAATGTCATATTTTAACTTTGCATCCCCACCCCTTTTAAACTTAAATTATTTCCTATATCCCACAGATTAAATGTCCCCTTCCCACAATCTTCAAATTGACTACCTGTAGAAGTACAACTCAACATTGACATCATTTAATTATCTTGTAACTTATAATCGTCTATTAAAAAATTAATTCTTTTTTTTTATAGGGTTGGTAGGGGAAACTCATTAGCAGAGGGGGTGTGTCCAAAAAAGCATTGGTGCAACAGTGGATTGAAATTTAACTTTTTTGCAAAGGTTATTTATGGATAGCTCTTTAAATGTTAATTATGTGTATGCTGAGTTATGTTGTCCCAATCATTGATAGTGTATTAGATTCAACTCAGTACCACTCACTGAAATGTGATAAAAATCCACTGCAGTGAGTCACGCACTGCACATAGTTTCAATAATGGAGCCTACTAAGTAAAAAAATTTTAATTTTAAAAATATTTTATAATCTAAAATTAAAAATATTAAAAATACTATAATTTACAACTAGATCCTACGTTCTTTGGTTCTCGTGTCTCATGGCTGTGAATGCGGATCCTGACAGTTGCTCTGCGTACAAGCCATAAGCACATTTCTGAGGATTATTCTGATGAGGGAATTTTTTATAACAATTAATTGACAAACTTACAATAACAGTTGTAAACTTTTCATCCAACATTTAATTCATGCAACAACATCAATGATCTAAATATTACCGGTACTTTCTTTGTGTTATAATTTTGGACACATAATAATCTAGACAACTCTATGTTGTTACCTGTCCATCCGGAAGTGCTCCTGGACATCGGCTATCCTCTGTAGCAAACTCATTACCAAAGCCAGACAAATACTGAAAATAACAATAAAAACTGAAACGGAGAGCTAACTGTCATAACTATCTTTTAAATCTCTCTTAAATGTGCATCACATCCAAGTGATAGCAAAGTCATAAAATTGTTGTGTTTTAAAGAAAAAATAAATGCAGTATGCAAAAAGCCCCAAAAATCTAAGGGATATTTTTATCATTGTGAATGGATGCATAAGGATGATTTTGATCTACCACAAGCCATAGAACACCTATGACACATCATTCTTGTTGCACTTATTTTAATTTTGGACACCAAACCCTTTGTAGGCCTTAGGTCACCATACACTTTGTAGCCATGAAAAACCTGACTCATCCCCCCCCCCAGCCAAAAACAAAGAGAGATAAACAAGCTTTGTCTCATTGTCGTGCTGTATGAGACCAAATACTAATTTTACGCTTAACAATCATTCCAGTTTTACAGGCTTATCCCAGTTACTGTTGTCCTGTCATCCCATCTGGTCTGATATTCTACCTAGGTTTCAATGACAATACTTTATGAAATATTTAATTTTTCATCTCTATGTTAAAGTTAGTTTGTCTCCTGTAAAGTGTTAATATCAGAGCCAGTGTTCCTTTCAGAAAATTCAATTTCTCTGCGGAGGTGGGGGGGGGGGAAGGTTGAAAGAGATTTCAGATGGGGATTGTTGGTGTCAGCAGTACCAGTGACATAAGAAGGGTAGGCGATAGGGGTTTGAGGGGGGGGGGGGGGAGGGGGGGGCAGCATTTTCAGCTACTGCAGAGTTTTTTAATGTGGAAAGGGCTGCAAAAATCTTGGCCCGCTCAGGGTTGCACTTACCATTGCTACGTCAATAGGTGATCATGATCACAAAGCGAAAATTGAAAGGGGCCTTGGGAGGGGTACAGTCACCAGAAATGTGTTGATAAATTCAAAATCATCAAAGGGAGCAGTTTGGCATAGGATTGTTCCTTTCAGAAAATGTGATCCCTGGGAGGACATTTTAGGCGTGGGGGAAGGGCATGTATCAGCATGCAAATTAGACATTTTGGCATGCATAACCTGAATTCATTGTGGTTATGGCATGCTATGAAAATAAAGTCTTTTATAATCCTGTGCAGAGTCTGCCATCTGTACGTCAGCAATAGAATATTGTGGTTATAGCGCTCACTCACAGGAAGCCAGTGGAGATCTTAAGGGGGGTACTGCAATCAGATTAGGTTCCTTCCCCCCATTGCCTACATTAACCTTACTTATTTGCCAATGATCTACGTTCGTCTTGTTGTCCTCGCGGGCACATGTCAGTCTAGGCTATTATTTTTAATTTTTATATTTGTGTTACTATTCGTTTGTACTGACTGCTAGGAGCCTTTATAAGCAGACATAAGAACCAAAAGAAAATGAGAACAACTTAGCGTTTCAGCAGCATGTATAAATATAATAGTAATAGTCAATAGTGCAATCAGATTCATTGCATGACTTTTCTTTTTAAGACAATATCAGTTGCATTTAACCGATTGTGATAAGTCTCAATGTAAATTAGAGGCCCTCTTGAATACAAGACCAGGCAAAATGGTCCGGTCCATTGACCCTTCTCTCAATGAAACTAGATATGCCCTACTAGTGAAGGTTATGTGAAAGACGTAACTTTTAACAGCCAGCAGCGTCTCTGTAGCCACTGTAGGCCCATCATAGAGGGGCCCAGTGGCTGCTAGTGCTAGGGTTAGTGTCGTCTAGGGCGAGACAAGCTTTTTGCCACCGCCCCACTTATACGAAAAAAAATGCAGTTGGTCGAAAATGTCACCCTCGTTGTAAAAACGTGCCACATGTGGCGGACCGCATCCTCCTCCCATCCTCTTACGCCACTGAAAGTACCAAATGCTTTTATCCCACGGCGTGCGCCGATGCCGATAGGAAGATATAGCCTATATGATCATTATGTATTTTACCCGGGGTAGACAACTCCGATACTTATGTTTTAGTCATGAAAGAGACTAAGAGACATGAATGCGTTTTTTATTTTGTTTTTAAGTCACGATGACATTACTGTCATTACGTTCGACGTTGTCGTTACGACTACGACTCTCGCTCTGCGGCTTGAGGCTCTGCAGTCAATTCATTGTAATTGTAGAAGTAGAAGAGAAAAATTCAGAGTCAGGGATAATTCAACGTCAAACGTTACATTTAAATCTTTATTATTTCTGATTATCGTTTGTTATTTCTTGCTTTTTTATGAATATATATTTTGAATAGGCTACTTTCATATGAGTAAATAAGTCGATATTCCAGCTATTCCTACTACTAAAGTCAGTGGAGGTGTGTGTGACTGTGTGTTGTTCGACCAATGGAAGCTTTTATAACCTGACACACCTCCGTTTGGTTATCTAAGGTCAAGGATAAATCCTTGAACCCTGTAAGCTAACGTGTCCCATTCAGTTTCTTGTCAATAAAATGGTCACTTGAAAAAAAAAAACAGCACACACTCAAGCATAAATAAGAAAATATAACACAAAATTTGTGCAACAATCAAATATATTATTAATTACAATTGTAGAAATAATTATTTCCGTACCGGTACAGAAATTGTAGGGCCTTTACCTACAGTCTACTGTAGTAGTAGTAGTAGTAGTATCGGACAACGTAATGTTAGGGGTGTTAGTGTTATTTGAAAAAAAAAAGCGGTATCGGTGATGAGAAACCAAATTAATTATTAAAAATAATACTTGTAGGTAGCTAAAAAAGTTTAATACTTCAGTAATAAATCATTGTTTACAGTCTTCATTTGAACATAATAAGTTCATTACCTGCAGGTCGGTGGCCATCGCGACAACTCCACGACATAAGCCTCAACGTCTACGTTGGTCGGTCACTGAGCCCAAGAATCTCACAAGGCGAGGTGGTTGATTGGACGATATTTTTAGACGTTTTGTTGTGACAGTGTTTAGTGTATGTAGTATCTCAAGTAGTGTCAAATCGTTAAATAGAAATTAACTTTCATGCAAGATCTTTCTGCAATGATATATTGTCTCAACCCAGTCACCTCTTGAACGATTTCGGAATGTTGGTTCATATTCATATTTCACTTTGTACAAACTGATTGGATAGAACAGAGAATGCGATTATGTGTCTGATATTTTAAAGCCTTATCCCACTAGGAGGGCCATCCATAAACGACGTCTCGCTTCGAGGGGTGGGGGTGGTTAGGGTGGGGGGTGGGGGGACGCTCCATCATGGGCGGCACTTTTTTTTGTGTGTGTCTCTATTACTGAGGGGCAGCAGTTTCGAAACGCATGCAGATTTTTTGTCTCGAGCTGGTGGAAAATATCTTGGTACATCAAGGGCGGCACTAGCCCCTGCTGCACCACTGTAAAAGTAACTTAGTTGTGTTACAAATTTATGGGGGGGGGGGGCCGCAATTTTCCCTCTAAGGTTTTCTGGTTCGTGTGCAAAATCATACCGTTGTGTGCAAAGTTTTACAGCATCAATCTTTTTCGTGTGCAAAATTTTACAGCTCACAAACACACACTTACATTACTTACATGGAAATTTGCTTCGAGGATACTCAAAACTGCTGCGCGGCGTCTGTGAGTTAGCTTCACAGCCGCGCAGCTTAAATGGAACATTTAGGGGGGGNGGGTTACGTCATAATGGATGGCCCCTGAGATTTTTTTGTGGGGGGTGGGGGGACTTTCCACGGTACTTTTAGGGGAGAATTATATGTGCAATGAAAACAATTCACTTTCAAAGTTTGCTTTGGGTTTGTTTTTTGTTTTTTTAAAGGTAAAAAAAAGGGGGGGGGGCAGTGGCATAGCTTCGGTTAGTGCCACCCAGGGCGGAAAGGGATTTTGCCACCCCTCCACAGTTGTCCGAAAATGCCGCCCCGCCATATAAGGAAAAATTGACACCCCCTTTTTCTTACACCACTGATGTGTGGAGGATGGGGGAATAAAAGATGTAACAAATCCTTTTATTTTTCTATTAATTACTATGACATTGGACATTTTGAACTCTGAAATACAATGGCACAATTGAATACTTCGCCTTTATAATTAGATTCAGAAACAGTTCATAAGAAAAAAAATAATGGGATACAAATACAGATATTTTTTTAAAGATATAAACTAAAACCAAAAAATAAAAAGTTCGGTAATGATCAATGGCGCGGGGGGGGGGGTTATAGATGGTTGACGTAAGGATGATAAGAAATGAAAAGTATAAGGTATTTGAAGGGGTGGAAGTCAGAAAAAAAAAACAAAACTTAAACGAACAGTTGGCTGAAAACCTTCCTCCACAAAAAAAATATTAGATGTAGGCCCGCACGTTCAAATGTAATGAAAAAAACGAAAAAAACCCCTTTCGAAAGACTGAAAGTTAACAACTGATAAAAGTTCGGTAATGATCAATGGCGCGGGGGGGGGGGTTATAGATGGTTGACGTAAGGATGATAAGAAATGAAAAGTATAAGGTATTTGAAGGGGTGGAAGTCAGAAAAAAAAAACAACACTTAAACGAACAGTTGGCTGAAAACCTTCCTCCACAAATAAAATATTAGATGTAGGCCCGCACGTTCAAATGTAATGATAAAAACGAAACAGACTCCTTTCGAAAGACTGAGAGTTAACAACTGACCACTGTACTGGCAGATCCACTGCGAGAAATTGGTCATCCTTGGAGACCCAAACTCATCCTTGGAGACCCAAACTCATCCTTGGAGACTCAAACTCATCCTTGGAGACCCAAACTCGAATAAAAATAATAATCCCGGACTAAAACCCTGAAGACTTAGATGTCCTTATTCATATTTACTCCACCTCACATGATCACTCACTTCAGTTCTCCCACCAATATGCACACATTTAAGTTTAAACCAGGGGTCTCAAACTCGCGGCCCGCGGGCCATTGCGGCCCGCAAGACGATATTTTGCGCCCGCTACATGACAGCAAAGTTTATTGTTAAAGTGGCCCGCGCGTTTTCCCCATTCTCATATCTATAATGTGACTCTCCGCGAATGTTTCAGTAGAATCTCACCGACTATTCTAATTCTGATTTTTATTATGTTTGTATATATTTGGACATTGATTATAATGGTATAACCGTTGTAAAAAATCTGACTAAACTTTTTTATTTAATAGCATTTTATGAGACAAACATGGCCAAAGTGCGGTTTGAGAAAAGTTTAAAAAGTCAGCTAGTGGATAATGCACAACCATAATTGTATAAATCGTAGCAATCTGACACAGTATCAAAGAATCCCTATTAAAATTGCCGCTAGTGTTTTCGATTTAAAGAAATTCCGAGACTGTCAGCCTAGTCACTTTCAAAATAGGGTTAGTCAAAAAAGGTATTTTCTTCCATAAAAAATCAAAATTCATTCTCCCTGCAATATCATCTTCCATTGCATCAATAATTAATAAATATTGCCTGTCCCTGCCTACTGTTTGAACACGTTTTAACCTTCACGGCCTTCACGGAGAAGGATTGAGTTCCTGTACTAAGTGATCCCAAATGGCTCACGGACTTGGCTTTTCTTGTTGACATTACACAGGAGCCGAATGTACTCAACAAGAATTAACAAGACCAGGGGTAGCTTGTCAGTGTTGCCAATGACAATGTCACGGCATTCGTAACAAAACTTGTGTTATGATTCTTAGAGAAATCGCTGCCATTTGCCAACATGCAAAGTACTCATGGACTCGGACACACCCTTCAGTTGTAAGCATACTGATGCCATTGCAAAGCTGCAGGAAGAATTTGATCACATTTTAAGACTTCAAAGCAGACAGAGCAACTTTTTAACGTTTTGCTGACCCTTTCTCCTTCATTTTGTAAGATTCACCCCCACCCCCTCCCCCACTTGCGCTTCAAGTGGAGCTGATTGATATTCCGTGCAATTCTAAGTTCATGGAGGTGAATGGAAAAACAGACAAGCATTGATAATTTATAAGAGCATTGACCTCCACCTTCCCTGGGATTTCCAGGATGTTCAAGCGGATCATTTGCGTTTTTCTGGGAGTACCTATCTGTGAAAAGATCTTTCCCATATGAACTTTAACTCGTCAAAATTCACGGCCAAACTTACTGATGAGCATCTTCAAACTATATTAAGGGTCTCAGTTGCTTCCTCACTTAAGCCAAATGTTGCTACGCTGTGTAAGAAGAAATGCCGCCAGATCTCTGGCAACAAGGAGTAGGAAGAATAAAGTGAAGCCGAGTTCGCGAGAACCCTTAATGTCAATTTTTTTTTTGTTGTCTATTAATAAAGTAATAAAGGTTCAGCAGATTGTAACTGTTGTACTTTACTGACTTTGTCATCGCTTTTTTGTGTGGAATGCTTGATGCGGCCCAGTCTCAATCAGACTCTACCTCCTGCGGCCCCCGGATGATTTGAGTTTGAGACCCCTGGTTTAAACATTCGTGAAAACAACACATCGCGTCCAGTGATACAACATGACAACCACACAGGACATTCAGGTCACAGAGTTCAATCAATACACACTTCAACTAGAGACCGACGGAAGGTGATTTTCTGATATCAGCCGAAAACCGAAACTAATATAAGATAAAATTCTTTTATTGATCCAAAATAAATGGAAATGTTTTTTGATTGCATTATAAATTTTCAGCTCAAAAATAAAACAGCCATTCAGTGAGTTCTCTTAGCAAAATCGGGGATTTATTAGTTCTCATTCATTTTTAAATTTAAAAATGACTTTCGGCCAAAACCGAAGCCGAAACCAAAAGCTTAACGAGACTTTCGGCCGGAGCCGAAACTGAAATATTTAGGTATCTTGAAATTCGTCCACGCATACATTCTGCATACATTAAAAAAATTATGAAGTAATGATTCTTTTTTTTTTAATGAGATTTGCGTGAATATTAATCAATAAACATTTAATGAATACTTTGGCTTTTACTATTTTAATTTAAAATTAATTTAAATTTCTTAATGTTTTTTTAAAGTAAATCGGTAATAGAAAGAAAAAAATTTGATCGGAAAAAGGTGGGGGGGGGTGCCCTTTGCTTTTATAATATAAATAATTACCTTCTAGAACATATACCTACAATAATTACATTCTAGAAAAGATACATACAATAATTAGTGTGGCTCTAATAGAGCCAATTGTCACCTAAATATCAGTTATTAAGGCTATAAAATATCAAAATGATGTTTCGCGGTTATCGTCATGCTAATGTTTTTTGTTTTCATAAATAGATGACAAGATATCCCTGTATTAATATTTAGCCATGAGAAAGCTGCTCATGATTAGGCCTACCTAAAATATTAACAAATTTCCCCGTAAAACTATAATTTTGTGTAAGTCATAAAAACATTAAGTTTAAAAATTTCGCATCATGTTACTATCCTAAATTAAAATGTCCTAATGCAGAGTCAGCTAGGCTGGGCAGGGCATTCGAAGTCGAGTGCTTTCTATGCTATAAGTATAAGAGACTTGGCTTTGGCGTGCTTGACTTAAGAACTGGAAGCTGTTGCTGGAGGTCAGAAGAAACACATCAAACTCAAGGACAAAATAAAATCATTGCCGAAAACGATCTGCATAAACCAGGACTCATATGAACAAATGACAGAGTCAAAGAATCCAAAAGCAGCCCAGCATCTTGGTTCTCCTCAGTGCGTAAAGGTTAAAATGTAACGCGAAGCCAACAGAACCGTAACTTTTGCTGCAGAACTTATTTATTGCTCGAGAGGCAGTCAAGAAAAACCAGCATCATTACGGATGCCCTATCTATTTCTTGCATCCAGAGCCAGAGGTGTAGCTAGAATGTGGAGTGTTTGGCGCCCGGGGACAAGTTTCATTTTGACACCCCCTCCTCACCTCTGAAACCCAATAATTTCCTTAAAAAATACCACCACAACTTTAGTCTGGCGCACTAGCGCCCGGGTAGATATGTCTCCATTTGCCCCCCCCCTCCCACTTTTCTGCCTCTGCTTGCACCTACATTAATTTTTTTTTTTTTTTTTAAATCAGTTCCCGGTTTCGTCACATCGTCATTTGCAAACATACAAACAAATTACCCCCTTTGTCTGACGTCACTAAAACACCGTATTGTTAGCAAATAGCCGTAAACCGGCAACAACAGGGGGACATTTACTCCCCCTCCCACTTTTCTGCCTCTGCTTGCACCTACATTAATTTTTTTTTTTTTTTTTAAATCAGTTCCAGGTTTCGTCACATCGTCATTTGCAAACATACAGACAAATTAGCCCCTTTGTCTGACGTCACTAAAACACCGTATTGGTAGCAAATAGCCGTAAACCGGAAACAACAGGTGGACATTTACTGCGTGTCTGCTATGAGTTCCTTAGCGACAGAACTAATAACGAACCAAAGATTTACAAAAGTCTCACAGTCACAAGAAATTATGAATTACACAGCGCTTTTAAATGTTGTTTCATAAGGCAGTTATGCAATGAAGCCTCAATAGTTTGTATTTGTTAATTTGTGTTCTTTTTTTCTCAAATCAATCATTTTAGACACCATGCCTATTAAAATAGCTTAGACTAAAAATCTTCTATTCTAAATTCTAGTCATTAATTATTAATATTAAGATTGTTTAAAATAATAATAATAAAAATCAGACACTAGAGTAGTCAATACTATAGTTAAGCATCGGTTTTCCAAACTTATTGGGACCGCAGACCTGTTAACTTTTTGGATTTTGGTGTGCAATATCCCATTTAGAGATGGCTTTAATGATTCTATGCTGATACCCATCAGAAATAAGATTTTAAGAGATATGTTAAACAATATTTTTTCCGCCACCAATGAATGTAGGGTAGGTTGGTCAAAGAACGAAATAATTACATCCCCAGCACAAAAAGACTACAGCGTGTTGTCACTAGGCTAAATATTAATACAGCAATTTCTAGTGAGCTATTTATGAAAACAGAAAGCATTAGTATGTAGTTGTAGACAACAGCGAAACAATAGTGAGGTCATTTTCAAAAATAGATGAATGGTGATTAGAAAGAAATTATAGGTAACTTTATCTTTGCAGACAGGTTTTCTGTGATATATATGTATATGTATATATATATATATATATATATATTAATTAGCATGTTTGCAGATTGCACTATCCCAGTCTGGTCACTGCATGTAGAATACGTATAAGGATTTTACAATGATTTTGTGACTAGGTTTTGATATTTGCGACACATGCCATATGCATCGCTTGCAATACAAATAAAAAAACCAAGATTGGGATAGTTTGAAAACCAGCGATTTGGATAATTGTACTTCAGAAATTTGATGCTCTTCTATTTTTGTTGTTTTTAATTAAATCTTAACATTTTTATATTCATGAATAGACACTTTATAAAAATGGTATTGCAAGAAGTCCAAAAAAAACTTTTTCTTTCACCCAGCTATTTGTACAGAGTCTGAGGTGATTAAACACAATGAGCTCAGTGGTAAACTGTAAGTATTTTTTTTTAAAATATTTGAAAGTTCCTTTAGAGCTTACATTAAAAAGGACCTCTTTTTGTTTTATGATTTTTTGGTTTTTGGCAGCTCAATGTTATTGTTCATCTTAAGCTTTTTTTCTCAAGATTGACATATTCACCTTATACTCTTGGAGATTACACCTTAAAGTTTTTAAATCAAAGTCCAATGTCAGTGCATTCCTTTTTGGCATTTCACAAGGATATAAAATGACATGATAGACAGCTTGAATTTACACATAAAATGATTATGGTACTTACTGGAGGTCTGCATGACTATAACTTAAAAATGTACAGTAATAGACAGTGCAGTCATTACTACTTCTCTCTGTTGAGTTAGATGTTATGTTTTAATTATAAGTTTTATCAGTGAAATTGCTCTAAGGTCAATGATCATATCTATTTTTTTTTAAATAATGTTTTACAACTTTTAGGGCATTAAGTTTTTTGAAAAAGTGATTGTAAATTTTGTAATCCTGCTACCAGCATAAAATATAACTAAATGGTAGGGCTTAGAATGAATTTATTAATTCTTTAAATATATCCTTTAGCACCAATAGTTTAAATATTGTTCTTTATGTATGAATGATTATATTATATATATTGACTTTTTACATGTTTCTGTTCAATATATATTCAAAATCTATCAATAATTTTCCCTAAAGTTCCATTAGAAATCAATAGCACTAGCCAGAAAATATCATCACGAAAATGGCACTCACGAACATCGCCAGACTCAGCATCAAATTTTATAAATGACCGGGACACATGGTATGATGTTCCTGATCCGGCTAAAAAGGCAGTGAGCATTTTGGATGAGTGTGGGTCATCTGTCAAAACAGTGACAGAGCTTGCACAGAATATTGATAAGGATCCTTATATAGAAGATGAGGTTGGTATTTATGAAACATAAAAAAATTATTACTTAACTGGTCAAATTTTTTTTAATCACTTCAATATTAATTTAATTTACCATCTGTAGTCTATGGCCCATATTCCCAAGTGTAATGCAGGGCTAAATAATGAGAAACAGACATGACTAAAACAGCCTTTTGCCATTGTTGTAGAATCACATTTAATACTTTTATGTATGGATGCCTTCACTCCTGCTCTGTTTATATTAGTGGCAGAAATATAATTTTTCCATTGTCTGTAGCATTGAAAATAATCAATAATTCTAGCATTACCATTGGGATTTGTTTGGGATTCATTTCCATTGAAATATTTATTTGAAATTATTATTATAAAAACAGTTTGATGACTTTGATAAATATTTTTATTCTATGTGTTAAAATGATTTTCTCTGGTCCAGAACCGGACTCTGAGAGTGTGCCAGTAGTCCTTGTTTTGTTTTTTTTTATAGTTTTTTATTTTATTTTTTCATTTTTAAAATTTGTTTTTTTCCAGTAGGCCTTGGGTAATAATATGTAATATAATAATACTGGTACACTACTAGTCATGGTGTTTTAAAACAAATAAATGTAATAAATATTAAAAAGATAATTAGGAATTTTCTCCCTGATAATAATAATATAATATAATGTAAATATATAATAAAATATATAATAATATGTATATAATTATATAATATAATTTAAATTAATTTAAAATTTTAATTTTAACCCTTTATTATCCTCTTCCCTACAGTTAAATCCTAGCCTGCCAACTCTAACCTCCCTTAACTCTTCCCGCTTACAAATTTTCCAGTATCTCTTGCCTTCTCACAGCCCTGATCAATCTTCCTCTTGACAACCTCAACTCAGAAAAGAAAGAAAAAGCTAGATAGATCAACTTAATTTGCACAAATCGGAATCATCATTTACTACAATTTTTTTATATGGCCTCCAGTATCATCTCTCATATGCCCTTCTGTATCATCTCTCATATGCCCTTCTGTATCATCTCTCATATGCCCCTCTGTATCATCTCTTATATGCCCTTCTGTATCATTTAAAATAGGAATGATTTTATTTTAAAATACAATTTCCTGGACCATGTACAATCATGTTTTTTTTTAAATTTACACATTTTTAATTTAACAAAGTTCCCTTTTGTTGTTCTTTGCACTTGTAATGGAAAGACATAACACAGAGGTACATTTGGCAATCTGCCAACAGTGGGCATTAAATACATTTTTCTTCTTTTTGATCTCTGGAGCACTTTGTTTCCATCCACTGATGGAGTGCTGAGCTGGTTTGCGATCTCGCTCCTTCTCACTCCTGATTTAAATTGATCATTTAACCATTTGTATTTTTATGACAGGCTGAGCTGCAATTCCTTTACTCAAAACCAAAATGTTTCATCATCCTTGGAAAGCCAGGATGTGGAAAAACTAAGTTGGCCAAAAAATTAGCCCAGGAATGGAATTGTGAGCTGATCAACTGTAAGTAATATAAATAAATTCTTCTTATTTAAAGATTCATTACCATCTAATTATTTTTTTATTTTTAAATTTTTTTAAAAAATAACCTTGTTATTCAGAAATGTATTATTTTTTATTTGCAGCAACCGACATCATTCTCCAAAACATTGAACTTCAGACAGAAATTGGTCTAAAAAGCAAAGAATTGTTGCTGAAAGGACAAGCAGTAACAGATGAGATGGTGATGAAAATGATTATTGAAAAAGTGAACTCGCCAGAAGTTGCTCATCATGGTATGAATACCAATTTTAAGATGGTTGGACTGCAATTTTAAGTAGATCAATGAGGCACAGACAATTTGTGTAAATAAAACAGTACATTTATATTACCTTTAATTATCATATGACAAAATCCAAATTGAAACGTTTTGGCTAATGCCTTCATCATTACAACAAGTAACATTTAAGTAGATTAAATTTCACATAATATACTCATAACCTACCTACTACCATTTAAAAAAAATGATAAAAAAGAAAAAGAATGGGCACAAGCACCTCATGAAAATAAAATCAGAAATCTTCATTAATCTTTGAATACCAAGAACATTCCTTTATCTAATGTCACTGTGTCATGCATTAAGTGTCCAGCCTAACAATGAATTTAACCACTTTAAGAAAAAAAAAAGTAGAACCCCTAGAAAGAAATATTTCCAGCACAAAGAGGGTTATGCACTTTCCTGGGAACAAAGACAGCTGTTTGGTGGTTCATATAATGGGTATATATATGTATGATTGTGTCTCTAGTCTATGTATGAGGGATATTTCGTTATTACTCTATGAATATGGGAATGTTCACATATCTGCAGAAAATACTGATCATTATTTGCCTCCTGTAATTAGGATATGTCTTGGATGACCTGCCTTGCCTATCAGAAGAACTGATGCCCATAAAAGAACAAATTGAAATGATTAAAAATTGGAAGCTCACTCCTGATTTCATCATCAACATAAAGGTGGGTGCTTTTCAGTAAAAGTTAGATCAGTTTTTAAAATAAAATGTAAAATTTCTAAGGTAAGTCAGTGCTTAATAAAGCAGTGGCTGCTTGGAAAGTAATTCTTAAAATTTTATTTCATTTTCTGTGCTTCTTATAATTTTTAATTTTCATTCTCACCCGTCACCATATCCTTAGCCTTAAATAGTAGGCCTACTCTTCTCCTAATAATATAGTTACATGTGCCAAAATCAAATTTAACAATTAAGCATGTAAAATAAATCTCTTCTTTCTTTAAGTAATGCTGTCATCAGATAAACATAAAGGTTAATACGTGAAGATTATTGACATTACTCTATAAACAATATATAGGCTAATAAATGAAATATAATTAGGGAATAAACTTAAAATTTAAATCATTAAAGTTAAACATTTTTTACCATTTTAAATTTTTTATCATTGAGAAGAAAGTAACCAAAACTGCAAAACATTTTCTTGAGAGCATTTACAATAGTCCTAGTTATTCTCCTCTTTAGCTAATAATCATATTTCCATATAATACACACCTTGCTGCAAGGCATGTAAGTCTCATTCCAAAATGACGCTTAGGCTAATCTAAAAATAATCACCTAATTTTCATAATTGCAGATTCCAGATAAAGATATTGAAACTCGAAGATTGGGGCAGAAGCTTGACCCTTTCAATGGAGAAATTTACCCTAAGGAACTTTATGCTCCTGAAAAGAAAGTTTCATTAGTAAGTTTTATAGTGTGAAATAATAACTTCTCAATAGAAAAGAATAATCTCATAATATTTATATTGAAATAATTGCTTTTTGCATGGCTTATCTCATTCCGATGTCCTGAAAAGGTAGTTTTTAAAAAAAAACATCTTAAAATCCTAACTCTAAAAAATATATTTAACAAGTTAATGTCTCAGTATAACTATAAGTGCTGTGCACTCCTTTTTTGTGCTCCCCCAACTATATTTTCAGAAAGTGGTAAAACACGTATTTTCTTATTTAAAAAAAAATAATTTATCTACCAATTTTCACCAATCTTTAGCCTTCGAGATATAAGTATCCTCATAAAATACTACTCATGCCCCTCACACACACACACAGAGACTTCCACCACCCACCACCCCCCAAACCAACCCTGAACTGTGTTTTTGAAAATGATAAAGATTTTATTTCATTAGTTGAAAAGATGAATCTAAATACCAAATTTTACACCCGTAAAATTCTCCAATTTGTTATTTATATATTATCATAACATTATAATGTACCCCCTTTCTTTAAAGCCTTTAAAATATATTTTTGTAAATGGTAAAACCTGTATTTCCTTATTTATTAAGAAGAATCTAAATGCTGATTATGAGGACTGTAACATGTTCAGTTTGGAGATATATTTTCACATGGGCATCCTCTTCTACAAGCACTCACCCACTTCTTCCCCCCCCCCAACTATATATATAAAATACATTATTTCGTAAAAATGAATCTTAATACTAATTAAATGGTAAAACCTGTATTTCCTTATTTATTAAGAAGAATCTAACTGCTGATTATGAGGACTGTAACATGTTCAGTTTGGAGATATATTTTCACATGGGCATCCTCTTCTACAATCCCTCACCCACTTCTTCCCCCCCCCCCCAACTATATATATAAAATACATTATTTCGTAAAAATGAATCTTAATACTAATTTTTATCTCTGTAACATTTTAGATTTTTAAAATAAATAGATCCTCATTAAATGTACTCCCTCTCCAAAATTTTGTTTAGCCCGCCTGATTTGTATTTTTTTGGAAAACAGTAAAACATGACTTTCCTTTTTATTAAAGAAGAATCTATTCACTAAATTTTAGACTTACATTTTTTGTTTTATTTTTATATATAAATGGATCCTAACAAATTTATTTTATTTAAGGAATATTGAAGGGTAAAACAGGCACATTTTATGTTGTTCTAAGTAAACAAGCTATGATGTCATAGGTTGCTTTAATTTATTCTTTACTTCGGCAGAGTATTGTGTTTCAATTAAAATAATTTTCTCAGATATCACGAATGTCTTTGGTTTACAAGGGAATAGTTTTTATAGTTTTAATTTTAGTTTGGAATTTCTCTGATTTGGAATTTTTTAATTATTGGGAACTGCTTCTATGGTCACTTAAATAATTGTTTGATCTTATTACCATAATAATTCTTGTGATCTGCTCTAATGGTGATGTGAAAATGTGGGCAAAAATATCATAAATTGACAGGTTCATTATTTTATAGAAAAGTAATACACTTTTATTTTAAAAGGTGAGGTGATGAAACAAACTGTTCATTAATTTCCTAGCATTCAGCTTCAAAAAGAACAATTTTAAGTCTTAATTTTCTTCTCTAGCCAGTGGACAGCTCACCCCCAGTAAGTTGGACTGTATTAAATTTTTAGTTGATCTTCTAAGTTATAATCAATTTTTGGGGGAGAATTGTATTCTTTTGCCAGGACTGGCTCTAATGTAAAAATGTGCTACAACTTTATTTTTTAAATTTTGCCTATTGAATTCTCTACAATATTGTTCAAATGATTAATAATAAAACTTTACCCATTTGTGTATCTGATACATTTAAAAAACAAAATTTAAAATGTTTATTAGTGAAAAAGTAAGTAAATAAATAGTGGAACAAAATATGTTATATCAAAAAGTAATTATAAGGTATGAGCTACTTACCAGTTAGGAAGGTTTTATTTTCACACAAAACCTTTGTTTTATTATTGAAAGTGATGCACTTTTCAGCAAGTTGTCTCAGAAGAACTAGCTTCAGTAGTAAGTTCAAAGTTTACAAAAATTATAATTTGTTGATTTTTATGTTCTGTTTACTTTTGATAAACATTAATTTTTCAATGACCAGGACATTTCACCGTATTGCTAGTCTTTTTGTCGGCATAAAAAAGTTTTAATGTTAGTAAGTAATGACTAAGACTTTTTTTTTTGCAGTTGAAGTACCAAAAACTTGAGAAATACATTGTTTTGTTTTTTTTAAACTTATAAATTATTTTATATTTTTAAAATAATGCAACCTTCTTAAAAAATTGGTTGCAATGGTCCTCAGTTATCCCACATTACAGCCTCCAAGATGTTTAAAAAAAATTAATTACACAGTGGAACTTTAAAAAATACTATTAACCTCTAAACTTTTAAACAAAATTTATTTTAATGCCAGCTTGTTCTATGGTGGCTGTGCCAACCCTCTTAACACATTACACTTTGCTGCCAATAAATTTTAAAAAAAAATTTATATTAAAACTTAAATAATTTTATTTCATGATTTTAAAGAAAATCATTGTGTTTGAAGTGGTAGTCAAATAAGTGTCAGTAATCAAATTTAGTATTTGATGTTAACATTGCAAGAAATAATTAAATATCCTTAGCATGCTAAAATGCTTGTGTGGACTTGTGGAAGCATAATTGGTGCACATTTCTACATTTTAAGTTATGCACCTAGTGTTCAGCTTTATTGAGTTTATTTTTTCTTACAAGCATTTCAAGATGTTTATATTTATGTAAGCTGCATCTCTCCCACTGGCAGCGTTGTTGGTTATGGACCAGTGAAGATGTCTTGAAATTTAGCTTCTTCAAAAGTTAGATACTCTCTCACAAACAAATTTATAAATTACACTCCATGAAACTGCAAGAATTTAAAGTTGATCTATTTAAAATAGAAAACAACCAAGAATATTTTCTGAAGGCAATGCCTCTAGCAGAGAAACTAGAAATCCAACTTATATATTATTGAAAATTTGTGGGGTTTTTTTTAGTTAATTTATTTGTCCTATTTTAGGCATTGCCCTGCGTTTCTTATTTGTCCTTTTTTAGGCATTGATGTTTCTTATTTGCTTTTTCATAAACCTGATTACAGTCTTATAAAACTTACATATTGAAGGAAAGGGAAACAATGTCTTTGAAGGAGGAAATATGTTATTAAAAATAGTTAGATAAAATGCAGACAGTTTTATAGTCATGTGCCACTTTCACATTTTTTTATTTATAGTTTACTCAAGTTCTACAAATATGCTTTTATTATTTTTTCTGTAATACTTTTATTCCAACTATGCTTTTATTAGTCTTTTCTTGGATATTTTTATTTGATTCTCAAATTTCATTGTTTACAGGAGCCAACAAAAGAGACCAAAACTGAAGACGATGAAGAAACAGAACAAGCAGCAGAAGAAGAAGACACAGAAGAAGAAGAAGAATTGGCAATAGTAAGTTTTTTCCAGCTTTTGGGAAGAACTCTTTTTTGCTGAATAAACATCTCTAGAATAATCTTCTCATTATGCGTTTTTTAATGTACATTTTTGTTTCATATTCAGAATCGAGAGCTTGCAGTGGAGATTATTCAGCGTTTAATAAAAAGACCAGAAGATATGCCAGCACAGGTGTCTGCCAGCATAAATGCTTACAAGAACAAGATGCTAAGAATCCTTGAGGTAAATTTGAAAGCAAGCTTATTAAATTATAAAATTGCCAATATCGTCCTCTGTTTAAAAGAAGACATGCCCAAAAAAACCCAGTTATATTTCACATGCACTAGCTTTAGCTTAATTTCATTTACGACATGCTCTGGATTAACTACCACAAGCAGTTGACAGAATTACCAGCTTGAACATTTTCTAAATTCATTATTAGCCTTTGAAGCACAAAAAGTATAAATCTTAGGTTTTTTTTCCTCTTTAACAAATGTAATGTTCTTTTCTGGCTTAAGGGGATAGATTCTACTGCATCACGTTTTTTTAATTAGAAAGTTAATGAGTAAATATTAGTTATTTTTACTGTCCTCAAGATATAAATGGAAACATGAGTCAGCCTGGTCAAAGAAAGCTCATTAGCCTTTATTTTGGATCCACAATAAGATGACAAGGGGCCAAAGTAATAGGGTGAGGGGTACTACAAAAATTAATAGAAAGATTAACCAATTTAAAAGGATTAAACGTTAATTAATTTCTATTGTTTTCTAAGAAATAAATGATACTTGTGCCCACCCACAACTCACCACAGAAGATAACTATCCACATTAGTGATTATCTTCTATTGAAAATATTTGGTAAATTTGTCAGTTTTCTATAAAAATGAGACGAAAGGTTAACCATAATAACATGGCTATCTCAACATTCTTTCAATGTAACATGAAATATAATTAGTTCAGGAACAACAGTACAAAGTTGAAGTATTTGTTTGCCCCATGCTAAGTTCTAAGCCATACTCTATACTTAGTAACACTATTTTCCTGACCATATAAGGCCAGTGCTCTATGCCACAATAATACATTTCTTTAAAGTATTAGTTGGAGTTTGGATAACCAGGATTTCGGATAAATGACTTTTAAATAATCAATGTTTTACTGCATTTGGGTGAAATTGTGATTAGTCATCTATTTAAAGTTTGGCTTGTAAGATCTCATGATTGATGTGTCATACAAATCTAATGTTTGCTGTAATATGTAATCCACTCCAAGGAATATATGGGAGATCATGATCAACAATATCTGATAGAATTGGATGGAAATCAGCCTCAGATATCTCTTATTGAGGTAAATTGTTTAATTTTCTTTTATTTGTTTAAATGAATAACTCAGAAACAGTGTAACAGTTAGGCTAATTTAAATATTTTCTCTGATATGTAATTTATGAAATGTTTCATTTAATTAAGCAATGTTCATTTTATTTTTATTTTATATTTTCAGCAACTTTTACAGAAGTTTCAGACATTCAATTTGCAGCCTGCTGCTGTTGTCAGAAGGTTGTTAGATTCTGAAGATGAAGAGCTGCCTGAGGACATTGAGACGGATGAGCTCATGAGATTTCTGGCTCCAAAACAGATGGTTGCCCCAAGGTATCGCTGGCGACGCAGTAGATGGCTACAGTATTGTCCAGTTTCACTATGGGAAGGCAATTTAACTCTTGGGAAACCAGAGTTTGCAGTCAGGTAAGTGTATAGCACTTATTTTTCACATTTTAAAAAGGGTTGGCTGATTGTCCAGATGTCTAGATTATCCTGGTTATTAGTCACCTCTTAAAATCCATTTGCTTGAACTGGGAAGTATAGAGCACCATCCCCTACCCACCACCTGCTTGGGGGTCAAAGGCAAAGAGGGGAGTAAGAGGGACATGAATGACAGTCCTGCTACTTGAGTTAACTATCTAAAGAGAATTCTGAAATTGGATGTTATGGGACATGATGTTATTATATAAAATCTCTGCATATCATGATACATCATGAAAATGTTCACAGCAACTAGAAATTAAATGCCAAAGAACATCTTTCCTCAACTGTAAACTCAACATTTTGGAAATTAATTTGTTTAATCCCGCAGCATTTTGTAGACAAGAATATTTTCTTAAAAATTTGATAAATGATTTCAGTTTCTTGGACAAGATGTATGTTTTATCAAGTGTGGAAGCAATGGAGAAATTCATTAAAAATCCAAGACCTTACCTCCTTCCACCTCAACCTCGACCCCCTTGTAAGCTCTCAGTTATTGGTGGTCCTTTCAGTGGAAAGACAACTCTGTGTAACTTACTAGCTCAAAAATATGGAGCAAAGGTATGGAACTTATTGTGTTCTCCTTTACATTTCATTCATGAAGGGAATAAGTTGGAAATAGACCAGAAAATCTTTTTGTAAATAAATAAATTTACGACACAAGTTCAATAATTTTTAACACTTGTTTACATTTAAGTTGACCAAATCGTTTATTTATTTTAAATTTAAAATTTGTCTCAAATCTTCACTTTATAATTTTAATAGTAAAGACTAATGTGTCTATGTTTGCTAATGCAGGCCAACACAACCCACACAGAATAATTATAATAATTTAAGCTTTGATTCACCCAGGCTTTTTATTTTTTTTTTTTTTTTTTTTTTTTTTTTTTTTTTTTTTTTTGTTTTTTTTTTGGTAAGAGATCAATGATTCATTTGTATTTGAGCAGATATTTGATGTCAGTGAACTCAGCAAAACGGTAAAAGAAGCAAAGAAAAAAGAATACATTGAAAATGTGAGGAGGGAGGTTACTGATGCAGCTATTCAGCAAGTGAAAGCCAAATACAAAGAGAGAATGGAAGCTGAAGCTGCAGCCAAAGAAGAAGGTAAATTAAAAAAAGATTTAAGTTATTATTTAATTAAAAGGAATCAGTCCTTGATCCATGAAGGTACTTCTAAGTTCTTGCCTAGCATCATTGCTTAAAGGATTCAAAGATATATATTATATGTTATTTCACATAGTTTACTGCTGTTTCATACATTTTCTCTAATTCAGTGGATGAGTGGATGGTTGCCCAGTGATGAGTCTCAATTCCATGGCATAGAGTTCAAACTCTTATAATATCCAGACAAGCAAGCAGTACTGGCACTCCAGGAGGATGGGACTCATCAATCCCATTAAGAGAAGGGGTGAAACAGCCATTGGCTTGTGGCTACATATGAAGACAACCCCTACGGAAAAATCTGGAGATAGTTGCCACTTAAAGCTCTCCTGGGTTCACCAGCTGCCAATTACTGCTCTCATGGGTTCACCAGCTGCCATTTGATGCTCTTCTGGGTTCACCAATAGCCACTTGATTCCCTCCTGGGTTCACCAATTGCCACTTGATTCTCTCCTGTGTTCACCAATGGTCACTTGATTCTCTCCTGGGTTCACCAATTGCCACTTGATTTTCTCCTGGGTTCACCTATTGCCACTTGATTCTATCCTGGGTTCACCAGCTCCCACTTGATGTTCTCCACAAGGTTACATTCTCTTCCTTGTCCTGTATACAATGTATACCAGTGATATCCAGAGCCCAAGCCACACCATTCCAATCACTGAATTTGCAGATGACGGCACAATCATTGGCTTAATATTTGAAGGCGAAATTTTATACTTAGTTAAAAGTTTTATGGTTGTAGATTTTATGACGGGGAATCACCAAATAGCAGATCTAACAAATATAGCAGGTAGAGATATAGAGGTACCTTTGTGTCACCATTAATAGTAAGCTAACCTGGCATGACCAGGGCCTAATTCTATATTAAAAAGTTAACCAAAGACATTTCTTTCTTTAAAAAATAAACAATTTTGGTATTAGCAGGCAAATTATTAACATATTATTGGGTGAAAAAATTGGAAGCAAACTGATCTTTAGTGTTACCTGCTGGTGTGGGAATTCACAGCTTCTTATTAAACACAGATTAAATAGATTTATCAAGAAAGAAATTAATGCCATTTAAGCAAAACTACCTTCACACGAAAAACTGTTTGAAACAAAAGGTATTTGTAAAACTAATACATCCCACCCTCTTCTTCACATATGCCTCAGGTCAGGTCCATCAGGGCAAATTCTTTCCTTCAGAGTTTGGACCGAAAGAAATAGAAATTAATTTCTTCCCCTTTCTATCAGAATTTATCAGCATGGTCCCCTGGCTGTTACAGAATCTAAATCATCACTTTTAAAGTCAATATGGTTATTAATTGAGTGATTAATTGGCATCTGACAGATGATTTTAGTGCTTGAGAAATAAGTTAGATCTTTTGTCTTTAAATTGTTCTAGTTTAAAAATGTTTGTCTTGGTAAGAATATTTACGTAAAGGATTATGTGCAATGTAATCATAAAACATTTCCATTTATTTGGATCAATAAAAGAATCTTATCTTATCTTAAGAAAATCCCAGGTCTTTTGATTTTCACAACTTCAAGCGAAAACCACACCATCATCTCCCTGAGACTGACAAGTGCCAAAAGCAAATAAATTTTGTCTTATGGAAACAATAGATGTAATAAAACCAATAGAGAACAAACATGGCACAATAGACACTATCACTTTACTTAAACACTTGGAAATAAGACACAACAGATCTGATGCCATCAGACAAAAATGTTCTATATGTGGCACAAATTAAATGTGTATACATTTAAGAGTGATGATGCACCTTTTTGGATCAATATGTAAAAATAATTAATTGGTAAATGCTTAAATGACTTTGCCGGCATATCACCCCTTCCCATTTATTGTGTTCTAATGTACCATTTCTTTAAAAATATAGCAGACTGTGTTCTATAACTCTCTCTAATATTTCACAGAGCGTAAAGCCAGATTGGCTGTGGAGACAGCAAAGCGGGAATTAGGTATGTAAAAGAGTAATCAAATTTGTTCAAAATAAAGCAGATGTTCAGTTTTAAAAAAAAACTTTAGCTATATAAGAGAAATGCTGGTCTGTTTTTTAAAAAAAAGAATTCATGTTTTCTGCAGAAATGCGCACCATAAAGGAAACTGAACACATCTCTCAGTTGGGTAAAAGATTTTTCCATCAACAGGACAAATTGAAATTTACAGTATTCCTTTACCCATTGATTATTATTATTGTTGTTTGGAAACTTTTGTTTAATTTTTTTATTATTTTTTAATTATTTTTTTAATTATCTCATTAACTTATATTTACCAACAAATGTTTTTACAGCTATTTTATAACTTACTGGATGGAACTTTCTAGTTGCTATTAAAAAAAATTATTGTTTTATAAATGCTAAAATCATTGATTAAATTTGGAGGAAAAGAACTACACACTCAGATACATAAACTTATAACTAAAATTTGCCAAGAAGAGAAAATTCCAACAGAATGGGAAACAGCATTAATAACCCCAATACACAAGAAAGGCTCCAAACTTCAGTGCACAAACTACAGAGGAATCTCCCTATTAAATGTTACATACAAAATATTGACAAAGCTTATTGCCAAAAGATTACAACCTTACACTGAAGAAATACTAGGTGATTACCAATGTGGATTAAGGCCTAACAGATCAACGACTGATCAGATTTTCACCATCAGATGCCTACTAGAGAAAAGCTATGAATATAATATACCAGTACATCAACTCTATGTGGACTATAAAATGGCCTATGACAGCATCAAAAGAAAATATCTATATGAGACTCTGCAGGAGTTTGGAATACCCAACAAATTGACAAGACTAATACATGTAACACTAAAAAACTCAAAAAGCAAAATCAAGGTTCAAGGAGAATATTCAAGGGAATTTCAGATTAGACGACGCCTAAGACAGGGAGACTCACTGTCTTGTATGCTCTTTAACCTAACATTAGAGAGATTTATTAGAAAGATAAACATTGACACTAGAGGAACGATAACAGGATACTTTCTGAGGGAAACTCAAGACCCACAACCAATGGGCACACTCTACAACCAACCACTTCAGTATCTTGCATATGCTGATGACATAGCACTGCTAGGGAAAAGTCTTAAAGACATATCAAAATCCTCTATTGAATTAGAAGACGCATCACTACAAGCAGGGCTGGAAGTTAACAATCAAAAAACAAAATACATGCCATGATAAGAAAAGAACAAACAGATGAAGCAATTAAAATTAGAAACCAGACTTTTGAAAAAGTAAATCAATTCAAATACCTAGGATCTTTATTAAATGAAAGAAACGAATTACTTACAGAAAAAAAAGAAAGAATATCAGCCGGAAACAGGGCATACTTCAGTAGCCAGAAAATACAAGTAAAACATTACAAGAGAAACAAAGAAAACTATTTATAAAACTGTAATCAGACCAGTTGTAACATATGAAAGTGAAACTTGGACCCTAACAAAAACGGCAGAAAACTTATTAAACACATGGGAGAAGAAAGTTCTCAGGAAAATATATGGACCAACAAAGGATGAATATGGATGGAGAATACGAACCAACCATGAATTTTACAGTCTATATCAGGACCCCACAATAGTAGCAGAAATAAAAAGGCTACGCTGGGCAGGACATTTAGAGAGAATGCCAAATGACAGAGGAATGAAGAGGGTGCATCACAATACCCCAGAGGAAAAAGGCTCAAAAGGCTTAGATGGATGGATGATGTGGAAAAAGATCTACAACAACTGAAAATCCAAGCATGGAAAAGAAAAGCATTAGCTGGCCTGAGTGGAAGGAAGTCGTGAGGCAGGCTAAAGCCCTACATGGGCTGTAGCGTCACAGGGATGGATGGAAAATCATTGATAAAACTGATGCAACTTTATAAGATTATTTACTTTTAAAATTATAATTACATGTATTATGTATTTATCTTATCATAATAAAGGGCTGGTCAAGGCTATTGGTGCTGAATAAAAAATGTAATTTCAAATCAAATTATTACATGAGTGCATTTTTGAAAGTGTATTTGATGAAGTTTGAAGTATGCCTAAATTCTATTTTGAACTTAGTTAAATATTTACTTTGTTTAGTTATGAATAAGCAAACATCGAACCCGCATTATGACTGTTTTATAATCTTAAAATTAATAGACATTTTTTTTTTGTTTACCTGCTTGGTGCCCTCTACATAATCTAGAGCTGACATTTCTTTGATGTTATTATAGAGGAAGAAGACGAAGGAGAGGATGAACAATCAGATGCACAATCCACTACAGAGAAAATTACCCCTAAAGATTCATTGGTGGAGCAGGATACCTTGGATGTCAAGGAATCAGAAATGTACGCACACCAATCTACTCATGAGGCAGTCATAGAATCGCCAGCAGAGGAGCTGCCAAAGGAACCAGAGGTAGTATATTTATTGTTATCAAAAGGTAGAACGTGAGAAGTAGAAACCTCACTTCACTTGTACTTGTGGTGGCAATCATGAGCATGAGGTAGAATTTCTTACAGAAATTGAATACATGTAATCATTTTTAGCTAATTATGGCCACTGGTCTAACAGGATGGAAAGAACCGCATGGGGGGAAAAAGTGACCTAAGGTTTTCTAATATGTCTTATTAAAAAAATAGTTGTTTTTTCTGTTAAATATTATTTGGATCTTATTTGTCTCGATAGATGTTTTTGTCTTTTATGTTTTCTTTAAATTATTGTTGGGAGAAATTTTAACTAAAAAAAAGGCCAAACTGTTCTTTTTCAAAATCACTTGCAAGTTATCTAGTCCCACAATAAGTATTACATCTCCTTGTTTTGATTTAGCTTTTATACCTTATTTAGTTAGAAAAGTCAATGAGCTAAACTTTTGTCAATTTATCATTTTATTCTAGAAACTTATCCTGAAAGATTTATCTTATTTCATTTAAAGATTGATGAGCATCATCCAGACGTTGTTGGCATTGTGACTCTAGCAGTGGCTGATGCTGGAACCACTTCGATCACACTGACTCCTGAGCAGCTGGCTGAAGTCCTAGATAATTCTATAAAAGAATGGGAAAAGGAACTTAGAAGCCAGCGAATTGATGGACCTTTGTGAGTCATCTTGCACTGCTGTTGATCAAATGCTTTGAGATTTAATATAGTATATAAGCCATAACTAAACTATCAACTTCCTTCTAGATTACTATTTTTAATATGTTTAAATTATTATGGGCCAATCATTTCACATTATGATATATAATTCGAAGATTTGAGATTTAAAAATGGTTGGAGCAACCAATGTAAAATAAGTTCAAAGACTTTTCTTCTTATCTGGATTTTGAAATATATTGATATGTACCCAGTTGCTTCAGCAGAGTGCCAACTCCTCCCCCACCCTTTTCCATTTCCAGAACCAGTACTGGGCATGATATGCCAGATAGTAAATATTAATTTGATTATTTGAGATCAGGGATTCTCTACTTATCCAATTAAACACATTTTTTTAAATTTTAATTAAGAGATGTTTTCCAATTATCTACATGTCAATGTAAAAAATATATTTCATTTTTTATCTTAATTATGTTATCAAATAGGTAATGTTGAAATTTTCTAGAGAGCCATAACAATGGTTTTTCCAACTTGGCTACCTGTTTCAATAACAAGTATTTGAATATTTTTTTTGGATCATTTATTTGATTAAAGATATGGGTCATGGATCCTTGACAACTTTCCAAGTAACAAAGAACAGTGGACAGCTTGTGTGGAAAGAAACCTTATCCCAGATGATGTGATTCTCCTTGGCGATGCTGCTAGTGATGAAAAGACATCAAAGGCTAACATGATCAAACTGACTACGGAGAGATATTGCTTGAAAAATAAAGAATGGATTTTGAATGAGGCAAAACAAAGGGCACATGATAAGGCTATTATAGATGAGATGGCCAAGAAAGAAGAAATGAGACTAAAAGTGTAAGATATTTATATTTATTTTATTATCACCTGGCACCTTTTGTCCCAATCTGTTGCCTTAATTCTCCAAACAAGCTGAATAACTAAGGAAGACATTTTTTTTTTCAATAAATGTTTTAAGACAGCATTACAACTTTCTTAATTAACTCATTAATATTACTTTCTTTATTTAGAATGATTTCATAAAGCATTTTAAACTGTATTTATTCACTTAACACACCAACACTACATGAAGAAATCAAACATCCAAGCTGGTAATTAATAAACCATTTTTTTTAAAAGATTAATCTAGAAAAATGTGGGATCTATGAAAGCTTAAGTACATAATGAGTTGGTAGTTAATTTTTAAACAAAAAAGAATCTAATAATTTTTAACAACGAATCTTTATTTCAGCTATCACTTACAAACATCCAGAGGGATTTGCTATGAATTTTAAGAAATAATAATTAAATAAGAAATTTTTACAGTCAAAATAAGTGGTAAAATGATATAAAAGTAGAAATATTCAATTCCATACAGCTAAAAAGTGTCTGAATATGCTCTATTGTTTTTATTCATAGTATTGTGGGAGTAATCGTTATTATACAGCAAAGATATATGTTATCAGGAATGCATTTTCAATTTCCTTTTGGTTGCAAACATATTTTAATTTTGCAATTGTAAATACTGCCTTTGTTTTAAAACTATAGGATTGAAGATGAGATTCACAGACAAGAAATGGAAAAAGAAGAACAAAGACTGCTATTACTCAGTGAGTTTTTTTGTTGTTTTTTTTGTTGTAATTTCCCTTCCATCACATCATTGTCACTATATTTAAACAAATTTGCTTACCTTTAAATATGGACTGACTGTTATGGTGACGTGTACAGAGCATCACTGTCATGTTCAGACTTAATGTAACAAGACTTGAGGAGTATTATAATAATTTTATTCAAATATTCAAATACATCTGACCTACATTTGGCAAAAAATTTACCAATCTCCCTCTACACTTTCTACTGTGACATCACTGATAGTGCATTTATCACTGACAGTGCATATCTATGTAGTTAATTAACAACTACATTGCTCAACTATCTATTACTAACTAGCTTGGGCAACGCAACCACATTGCGCATGTAAAATGCTTAGCTGTATTGACTCTATAAAGAGTTGGTAGTGATGGGCACTGATGCTGTTTTTGTTGGGTGTTGATGGTTAGTGGGGCAATTTTAGTAGGGTATTGATGGCTAGTGGGGCAATTTTAGTAGGGTATTGATGGTTAGTGGGGCAATTTTAGTAGGGTATTGATGGTTAGTGGGGCAATTTTGGTAGGGTGTTAAATGTGCTGACACAAGCATATTTGGAATCGGTTAAGGGCTTCCTGTTTAAACGCAGCTGCCAGTCATGTACTGGGGCCCTTTGTTGCACTACAATATCTTAAGTCAATACCAGTCAGAGCTCAGAACAGCTTAATAGGCCTAAGTTAGTAAGGGTACAAAATGTAGAGCAACCACAAGTCGACACACCAGCACCCAGCACAGTGGGTAACGAATGGGTTCTTTTGTGTGCATTTGGTGCATATATGATCAAGTGCATGATGGGGGAAGCAGCGCATAAGAGCGCAGCATGATGCACAATGAGAGCAGGGCAGACAAGAAATATTTTCTCTGGTATCATAGGTATATACTTTTTTTGGTATAAAATATTAAACAAAATGCATTTCATTAATAAGGCATGATTTAAACAGTCATCATTCAGGGAAGGTTTCATTTACACATTTTATCCCTCAGGGAATGTTTTATTTATGTGATTTTAATTCTGGGAAGGTTTAATTTACATATCATCAGGGGAGGATTCATTTACACAAGTAATCACTGAAGGAAGGATTTATTTACACATGTCATCATTCAGGGAAGGTTTCATTTACACATGTCCTCACTCAGAGATAGGTCTGAAATATTATGGAAATTGGCATCATGCATTAAACGTTTGTATGTGTAATTATTCTTTCAAGAGTTATGTCTGACAAAGAGATACATTCTCTTTCTTTGTTGGTTTTTTTTTGGGAGGAAAGGTCAAAGGCATTTGATTAAGTTTTGCTAGCTTCTAATGGACTATGTATAAAACTCTGTAACAAGCATTGAAAAAAATTGATAAAAGAATGATATGATGCTTTTATTTCATTTAAATATCTCAGACATAAAATTTCTACTATTTCATGTAATTTTCATTGACATGGCCACATAAAATCAGCTATCAAATATCTTTGCAAAAAATGTATTTTGTTAGATTTATGAATTTATTTTTTTGGAATTATATAAGGTAATTTACGTTTTTGTTTTAAAGTTAAGATATATTTGAGTAAAATATCTGAACTTAACTTCATATTTTTACATACATGTCTCATTTATAAATTTATTTTGCAGTGGAAAAAGCTGCCATGGAGGAAGCTGCTGCAGAAAAAGAGAGAGAAGAAAGATTAGGTATGAGAGAGAGAGAGAGTGACATAGAGAGAGGGGGGCATAATAGAGTAAAAATAACAAGGATGATGTGAAAAGAATAAGATGATGGACAGTAAGGGCAAGGAGAGAAAATACATTTTTACTATTCAACTCTTGCATGAGTTTCATATCCAGGATAAGTTAATATAAGGGTTATGTATAATGTTTTCAATTGAGTGGTAGGGTTTCATAGTATTAAATGGAATTGTAGGGTCGGTGTGGAGTTGAATACAATGGTATATTTTCTCTAATCACTTATAACATATGGTATGAGTAAGTAGTAGGGTTTCAGTCTTCTTCACTGGGAAAAAAAATGGAATAAAAAGGTGCTAGTTTCTTTTAACCTTTTCTGTAGGAGATACTCTCAACAAATGTGGGCTGGACAAATGGGGAACAAGACATCACAACAAGGGGGTCAAAGTAGTTCTGAAAAGTGTTGAGACCTTGATTTGCATATTCTAAAACCTCATAAAATTATTAGCTTTTAGTCCAATGGGGCAAGGTTATCTTGAAGAATTAAAAAGTTGTAGATTATCTTACATTATGATCCCAAAACCTGGAGAAAAAAAAACAGTATTTTGCCAGAACCGTCTATAGCAAAAAGGGTTCAATATTCTGGAATGTAAAACCCTGTTATCAAAAGTTCCAAGAAATGGAAATCATAATCTTATATATATGTACTTATTTAAATTAAATGGATTATATTTTGTGATGTGTGTTTTTATAAAAGAATATATCTTTTTTTATTTGATTATGTAGATTGCTCTTGAGTTTTGTTAAAAGTATTAGTTTAATTTCATATAAAACCATGCAGCTCTGTGGCACAATTGTAGCAAGTCTCCTTCATGAGGTAACAAGTTTAAATGCTTCATGGCTTGCTCTCGGCTATTGACAAATAGCTAGATGGACTTTGCTTGAGCTGTCACATACCTTGACCTCTCAACTTGGCAAGGGATAAATTCAGCTGTTCACACTCTATACAATATAGACAGAAATGCATGGAGCCCTGTGACTATTAATTCATGTTAAGCCCAGTTCAATTATTATTGTTAACCTGTAGAAAACTGCAGATGCTCGCAACAAGTCGAAATTTTATCTAAGTGTTCTGCTTACCACTTTAGCTGCTTTACAGCTGAACCAAGTACTATGGGACACACTAGCTGGAGAGGTGCAGACACGTCATTCTTTTACCGAAATGGGAATTGAACAGCCCCGAGGGCCCAGCTTTATCAGTCTGCTTGCTGAAGAATTCCATGACTACTCAGAGCTTTACGCTACTTTAGATTTACTGACTGACAAGAAAATGAGTGAGACGCTGGAAGTTTTTCCTGTTGGACATTAAGATTTGACTTTTTTTCAAATTGTGTTACACTTTTATTTTTATCAAATAAAAATTTCCATTCTTTTATTTTTGTAAGTTTAAACCATTGCCTCAATTATTACGAGGATACTCACTTTTTTTTAGTGCTGGTTTCCCAACCTTTATTATACTTTGGACCCTCTATGAATTATTAGACTTCAAAAAGTAACGATTCATTTTCAAAAATTTTTTAATTGTTTTAAAGATTTTATAGGATTACAACTGTTTTGAAAGAGAACCCAATTCTATAAAAATGGACAAATGTAAAATTAAAACATCTGTATTGTTTCTTGTACCAAAATCGTGGAAAAACATTTATTTATAATTTTTTTTTGACAAATCATTTGAGGGATATGCTTGTAATTATAATAAATGCTGTGATGTGCTGTGGAATCATTCTAGAAAGCACACCAGATCTATCAAAGATCTGCCAGATGGCTAAAGAGATCAGTTAGGCTATCTTTATTTATGTGCTGAAATTCTTTAGGAAGTTTATGTTGCGCAGTAATACCTGAAGATAACTCCAGAACATGTGACAACCAAGGTAGTGGTGCTTTTTCTGCACTCGATGTGCAGTTGTAGAGTTAATCATGGAACTGAACAAGAGCTTTTAAAATGAGACCTGTGTGAAATTACAGTAAAAAGAATATTTAAGGCTCTAGAAGAGATGACATGCGGACTATCAATAGAAACTGGACTAGCTCAACAATAATTAAACAGAAAACAAGAGGGAGAGGGTTGAGTTTTTCATTTTGAGCTACAAATCAGATTAAGAGCCCTCAAGGAAGAAGCGCTATCTTTGAGTCTTCTATTGCACACTGAATAAGAGTGACTGCTTGCTGACCAATATGAAATTAAACACTCTAAGATTTAGTAATCCAAATGTGAAATATTAATTGAAATAACAAGGCTGAGAAAGTATTTGAAAGCAGCAGATTTTGAACACTTTAAGTGATTCTGTATGGTCTGTACAAGTGGATTTGGGGGAGTCCATGGGAGAAGTCTGGGGGTGAGGTGGATGGTATGACACCATGAGTTCACCATACCAGGTGACACCAATCTAATGAGATACCTGCTGAGAGGTGCAAGCAATTCTTTTTGGGAAGCCCTGCTATAGAGGATATGCAATTGCATTTTGTTGCCCTTGGTTGAAATGTTCACATTGAGTTTTTTATTTCTTCCTGGCAATTGATCAAAGAAATTAAATCCATGTAATGTAATGGGGAGTTTTAAAAAATTGTATACGTTAATTTTAAAGCAAGGATAGTGTATATCATAGGGTGAGCTCAATGTATTTAAAAGAAATTTTAAAATATTTTGTTAATTGTTCTTGATTTTTTTTACAAATTGGACAGTTTGTCTGACCTTTCTATTTTCAAATTGGAATATTTACATTTAATTTTTTTGTTTTGCTTTGTTTTTTGTACCAGATAGTTAAAATAAAGATAAATAATCTTTTTATCAATACAGCAGAAAATCATTCATAGATCAAATAATCTTCATTCACTATTTTTTATAGAAAATAAATGCTCTGTTTTAAAAAATGTGAAATCTAACAAATTTTAGGCTAATTTATAAACATATAATTAGATTTTTTATATTCATGTTATTTTCATTTTTTTCTCCCACAGAAGAAGGTCTTGATGATGCCTTAAAAGAATTAGAACAAGAACCTGAGGCAGGGACAAATGGTGAGAGAAAAAATGTGTGAAGTTTTTCAGTTTCCTAAATGTGATCTCTGACTGGCATGCCCAAGGAGACAATTTTTTTTGCTTCTTGATGCATTTTTTGGAAGGTTGTTGTTGGTTTCTATACCTTAGATCAGTGCTTTCTAAACTGTGTTGCAACATGGTAGTGTGTTGCCTGCAGTGTGTAGGTGTGTCACCTTTAACTGAGGCTATGCCAATATTTGAAAACTTTTTTTAAACATAAAAAAATGTTTTCCAAAACTGTCAGAAAAAAAAGAATTAGCAGAAATACACAAATTATATGCATCTATCAATGGTGTATACAGAATGTGGCTTTGAAAGCAATTGGATTCGCATTTAAAAACTGTAAAAAAAAAATTGTTTTGCGGTTTGACAATACATAAATTTGCGAAGTAAAACTTTCAACCATTAATAACATAAATGAAACATGAAACGCTTAAATCCTTTATGAAATAATATGAGCGTCGAGATCTTAACATTCCAGCAAATATTTAAAATCTGTGCTCATCCTGTTTGTTAAGCTTATAAATCTCATTGAAATGTTTAATAGTTATTGGGTTATTGAAAGTGGTCAAATTCTTGAACATATTTTCCAATTAGTAATCATAAAAAACAATAAATCATGGAAATGTATTTCCTTTTTTTTTTTTAATGATATTTTAAAACAAATATAGTCTAAATGAATTTTTTTCTTCTGATAAACGATGTCATCGTATATTCTGTTAGAACATTTTTTGTTTGTGTTGGTTTGTCTAAGTTTAACCTCAGGTCAGGTGTTCCACTTGTGAAACTGAATTACTGAATCACAATGCAACATGATACACATCTAAAGCATATTTCGCAAACAAAGAAAGTTTGGAAAGCACTGCCTTTAATACACGTAATAAATAGCTTTAAAGGTGTGCAAAAAAAATGTGTGACATATACATGAAGATAAGGACTTCTCAGATCTAAAATATTGTTTGGGTTGACATGTCTATCTGCACATGTTGCTTGTTAAACAGAAAGATCTTGCAAATAATAGGATGCTAATAAACAGCAATAAAGTAAAGGTTTCAACTTTCTATGTTTCATCCTATGTTTATGTTACATAAAAAATGATCATATTCAGGCACAATTAAGTGAAATAGGTAAGTTAAGACAATAGTTCAGAGTTCATATCATTGATGTGATAAATGAAAATTTTCAGGTCTATTCCCTGCCCCTGTTAGTGAAGAAGCTGAGGATGAGGAGGCAATCGCTATTGAACAGACTGAACTTCAAGTAATAAAAATTTTTTTGTCTCAGGATAAAAATTAGGACGTCATCTTACTGTGTACATCATGTTTATACTAATTAACATGCATAACATTCTTAAACTATTTACCATATATGTCATGAGTAAAAAAAAATATACTGTGTACATCATGAGGGCAGAAAATACCATTTTATGAACACAACTTATTACCTGTTAACTACTTAACATATTCTTCAACAATACACATCTGTCCATGTTTAAATTATTCACTATGTACATCATCAGTACACAACTACCTATGTGTTCATTATTTAAATAATGCTGGTTCAGAACAAATAAATTTACTGTTCTTATACATAGGATTATTATACATTTTAATAAAATGCAATTCTTCATTTTTAAAATGTTAATTTTTGCCATTTTACTTCTAAAAGTTCTTGATGTCACAACCAGAAGCCATAGCGTTCAGTGAAAACTTGGGTGACTTTGATAAAGTCTTGAGCAATTTGATTGCAACCATCACTGGCACAACATCTATTGAACCTTATAAAATTGATATTACTGGCCACATTCCTGAGAAAACATTTGCAGAAGTTCTGAAACATGTTGAAAGTAGGTTAAGTTAGTTTGAAGTCTGCGAACTTTAATTTATGTTTTTGTTAACCTGCTTTTTTCTCAGCCTATTTTTTTTTTCAATAAGATGTTTTTATTTTCAGAAATTTACCTGTTTTGCATGCATTAATGTAAAGAAAAATTGTATATAACAAAACTCACTCTTTAAGCTATTCAGTATTAGAAATGTTTCATATACAACTAAAGGTAATTTATTGTTCTAGGATTGTTCAGATTTCAAAGCTGGGAACTTGATACTCTGGATCTTGATGAAGAAGAAGAAGACCTAGAGGCAGAGGCAGCAGAAGCTAATGAAGAGCCACCCATGACCACTGAAGTGGTTGGAGAAGAAGTAAGTTAAAGCTTTCAAAATAAGTTAGAAACGTGGACATAAATCTTACTTTCCAGTAAAGGCAGTCGGGTTGTTGAATCAGTGTGAAGCAAGGCAAGCACCAAGTTTAACTAAGCAGTTTCTGTACTGGAAGGAGACAGCATGTCCCATCTGGCATGGGGTATACTACTTAAAATCGGGTCACAACAATTTTAAGCTTCATATTTTGTGCCTAAATTGATTTTTTTTGTTACAATTAAAAGCAAGCACTCGCTGAAAAACTGATATTTCAGTTAGATGGTATAAGTGGATGAATCAGTATACTTAAAAGAAGGCACCCACTAGAAAATGCTTGCTTAGTCAGAATGTCAGATTACCTAAATCCACCCTACCATAGCTCATTATAATGTAAATCATTGGGGATTATCAGAGACTTCAATCTGACTCCTTGTCCTTAGTTTTCACAATTTAGATTGCCAAGTCTGTAGATATCTGATGATTTTTTTCGCCATGATTACAGTTTGCGTCTTAGTGTTATGTATCATTCATTGTCTGGGGTTTGAAAGGTGTCAGTGACACAGCCATGAACCCAAATACCCTCTCCTTTTGGATGGATTTGGGAGAGGTAAGTTGTATGCAGGGTGTGGGATCGCTCAGCCAAACAGAACTCCAGTTATAATGACTCCCAAGTGCTGATGTCATGATCAAAAGTACAGCATTATCTTGAACTCATTTAATATATTCAGCACTTATTTATTGCATTACTTTGATCATAAAAAATTTGGCCAGCTCATTTTACCATTATGTCTGGTAGGTAAAAGATTTGGGGAAGAAAGAAAACGTTCAAGAAAATATAAAGCAGGCCAGTCAGCTAATTTACTTGTTATTCTTTTTTTTGGATTTAATTTTACATCATCATTTTGAAGAAATATTCACATTTTTTATAATTCTGCTCTTTCAAGCATTATTTTATTTTTTTTTTTTTTTTTTTTTTTTTTTCTTTTTTAAAGTTTTTTTATTAAGGCGAGAAAAGTACACTTTTTATTTTTTTTTTTTTTTTTATTTTTTTTTTATTTTTTTTTTTAATTTTTTTTTTTTTTTTTTTTTTTTCTCTTTCCACCATTTTTTTTTTTTTTTTTTTTTTTTTTTTTTTCTTTTGCATTATTAAAGTATTTATATTAAGGCGAGAAAAGTACACATACAATCATATTTAAATTTCATATTAATGAAACTTATCTCTTTCAATTTTTGTTTTACATTTTTTTGTTCATTACTTTTCTCTGAGAACATCAATCTATTTCTTTCTGTATCTTAAGGATAATGTATACAATTAGGTTTTTACCAGAAATTTGATCGAAAGAAATTTCGTCGACGGTAAATTGATCGACGGAAATTTGATAGAACGGAAATTTGGTAGAATCTTTTTTTCAGTTCACACATTAAAATTATTGTCAAATTTCTTTTTGAACGAATTATTTTGTTTTACTATATAGTATAGTGCGTTCAAAAAGAAACTTGACAATAATTTTAACGTAAAAACTGAATAAAAGATTTGACTGAATTTCCGTTCGATCAAATTCCCGTCGATCATTTTACCATCGACGAAATTTCTTTCGATCAAATTTCTGGATACGCAATTCAGTGTATTCTAAACCTAAGAACTTTGATCTGTTTTTTTTATTGCCAAAATTTGGGATAGTTTAATTTATTATTATAATCTATGTACCGGTTTATTTAATTCAACTTCTAAGCAGAATAGAGCTGCTTGATATTTCTGACAAGTTGGTTTGAAAAAAATAAATGTTCAACTGATGGTTGCATATATTTTTTAACCATGCAAAAAAAAGTTATTTTTCTGTATCAATCATTTTCATGTCACTCAACATTTGTGGAAAACATAAATTCAAAATATGTTTATACAAATTCATTCATCTAACCTTTATTGCGCTTAATTTGTTGATACCATCTACACTTACTGCATCATCTTAAAGCACTTCTTTCACAAAAGATTTGATCTTCAACAGGTTGTTATTTTAGGATTTCATTTTTAACATAAAAAAAAACATTTTTCAACATTTCAACATTTTTATGTTTATGACCCAGATGAATAATTTTTCTATAATAGAGAATCCATTTAAATTAGAACACTCACCACACACACAAAAATAACCCAACCCCAAGATTGCAATCCCCTGCCCTATTTTTCTGTCCTGATCATTTTGTTGTTGAAATAATGAAATAGTAATAGGTTTCATCCAGTATCTTAACTTGGCTCTTTGATGGTATCACTTGTGAAAATACTTACACTTTAATTACACTGCCAATAAGCTTTTGTTACTTTTATTGAAATATTGCAACAAAACTTTTACAGTAGTACATAAAGCAGAACTTCTATGATCAAATAAGAAATGTCACACATTTTACCCACAATCTGACCAATTCCTAGGCACAATCAGACTGATTGCGTAGACACAATCTGAACTATTCCTAAGCAACCTCTGCTATTGCTGAAATAAATCTCATCAATAGCCTAAACACAATGTGATAAGCTTAAATGTTGGGGGAAAATGAATGGCAGGGAATGTTTGACCTATGATTTATCCAGTTCGTTAGAAAAGATGCTCTAACTTTTTTTTTTTAAACTTCAGAGATACATTTTGCCACAACAAATACAGATCTCTAAATATTTATTTGAATTTTAAATAATGAGACATTTAATGGGTTTTTTTCCCCCTCAGGAAGATGAATCTAGTGCTAGCCTGAAAAAGAAGTTTTTAGGAGACTCAAATTATTTTGATCCTGTAAAATTAAAGGAAACAGAAGTGCTAATTCCAGGAAATCCAGAAATAGCTGCCATCTACAGAGAAAAAATTTATTATTTTGCCTCAAATGAAACACGAGAAACATTCTTGGAAAATCCAAGTGATTATGTTGCACAAGTTGGACCATTAAAGGTAAAAGTAGGCTAATTTTTTACCTGTTCACAATATTAATATTCCTGTTTTTAAAAAGGTTTTATTTAGATTATTTTCAAGTCTGTTTGCCTGTGTGTGTGTCAGCCTTGGTCGAATCTTGTAATCATTTTTAGCCATTTTTACTAAAAGTGTTAAAAAATATGTTTGCACAAGTTTATTTTTCATGACAATACCACATTTTGTCAGATTTCGGCCTGTACATGATGTTGCTAGTTCCTTAGGTAAGCTTTGCATTTCAATATTCCCATTACAGGCCAAGCAGGGGTCAGTAAAAAGTGGTACTAGGCAGTAGTTAGAGTTAGTGCTACCAGGGGCAGGCCTAGAATTTTGCCCCCTCCCTTTCCATGAAAAAATTCTGCAGTTTTCCTAAATGCCACCCCTCCATATAATGGAAAAAAGTGCTGTCGGGCCTAGGCCACTGGTGCCAGGTAGCCACTGATAGTTAATAAGTTCAGAATCCACTAGGCGGCAATGCTAATATGCCAAGAAGTGTGGCTTGGTTGTGTAAAATAAAAATAAACTATATGTCTTTATTGCACTGGTAAAGAAAATAAATTAATTAATCAGGGATAGTGCAAGGACAGTTGCTTGGTAAACTCTAAAAATGTATAGAACGACATAGGCCTAAAGATTTCTAGGGCATTAAGAATTGGAAAATGTGCAAAATGATTTCTTCAGTTATTCTCTTTGATTGTCATATTACATAAACTTGGTGCTTTATAAAACCATTTTGCTGCAACAGTTCAGAGCAATGAGTGAACATTTTAAAAATACAACAAAAAATACATAAAAGAAAAAAGATATGGGGTCATATAGAAAACCTTAGTACAAATTAATAATTAGAAATTAGCTCTTGCTTAAATGGTTGCAAAAAGGAATGAAAAGTTTTAATTTTATATTACTGTATGTAGGAAAGGATTTTGAAATTATTTCCAATATGAGTAAATGTAACATTAACAAAAAAATGTATTTTAAATAATCTCAGGCACCTCCTCTTAGACTGTTCATTTTGGGAGCTAAAGGTTCAGGCAAAACACTACATGGTCGTCACCTAGCTGAAAAGTTGGGCATTTTCCACATTTCCTTCAGAGAAAGACTCCAAGAACTGATAATTGCAAAGACAAAAAAGAAAATAGGGCCAGAATATATCCTAGATGATGATGAAGTGTCAGATGATGATGATGAGTAAGTAAAAACCCTATATTTTTACACCAAGTAATCACTTTTATATAACTCCAGGAGACAGAGTGAATTTCTATTTTGACCATCTGTCTGTCAGATATTTTTTTTCAAACTCATAAGGAAAAGTTTTTGCTGTGTTTTGTATAATTTGCAAAATATAAAATACATTGAGTCAAATGTTTTTAATATGTTGTAATGAGTTTCTAAAATATTGAAAGTAACAAAACTTAACTATATGGCAATGGATAGTTACTGCTCCACTCTACATTGCTAACTATGCCTCTCAGCCCACTGACTAGTCTGTACCACTTTTGCTAATCTCCACTTATGCACTACACTAAATAGTCTTTACTCAATGTACCACACTAACTAGTCTTTACTTGTTGTACCACACTAACTTGTCTATATCCAATGTACCACACTAACTAGTCTTTACTTGTACCACACTAACTGGTCTGTACTCAATGTACCATAATAACTAGTCTGTACTAAATGTTTCATTCTGACTGAAACTGTCCACACTTTCCAGATCCCGTTCCAGACTAAACCAGATTATCCCTTACCTTGTGTTAACACCAACAACTCTCAATAAAAATAGTTAACATTGGGACACATTTTAATGTAGCTTTCTAATCTGCTATTTAACAACACCCAAACTAGTGACCTGTGAAACCTTTAGTTTTAAAAGAAATATTTTATCTAGCTTTGGGGAAGAATCAGCAGCAAGCAGTGCTCATCCTACTGGATCCAGGTATGGAATCAAAAAAAGAAAGTAAAACTATTTAGAGACTGTTAGCTGAACATGAACTTTTTTAAAAACTAATCTTGGTGACAAGCAACAATTCTATTCATTTAATTTTGGGGGAGATGTGTTTGTATTTTCTTCTTTTTATATTTAAGTAAAAAGAAACATGCTATATATAATGTCCAACTGATAGAATAAATTGATAGACAGTAAATAAATGACAACATATTCACATACTTTAGTAATATAATAATGATAATATTTTTTGTATTCAATTTTTTTTTTAATTTTCCCACCATTGTCTTTTTATTTTCCTTTTATTTTAACTCTTGAAATCATTTTATTTTATCTTGAGATGTTATTTACAATCAGTTGTTGACTACTTAAAAAAGATTTTGATTCTGGGAGTTTGCATATATTTTTCTGGATATTTTCTGTTCTTAAATTTTAAAAATCTTGACAGAAATAACTTTACCATCTCACTCTTGTATATTCATTGGTACTGATTAAATTATTAAATGCGCTATACTATAAAAATTCATTTTCCATTCTTTTAGAGTGATAAAAAAAGTTAGGAAATGATATTCAAAACGCATGGATTTAACATGCCAGTAACATAAGGGTCCAAACATTCTGAAAATAAATAGAAGATTTTTGTGATTGAATATAAAATCCTCAATGCATGATGAGAGTGCTACCACCACATTTTAAAGTCAATTTTGAAGAGATAAACTTTTTAAATGTAATAATTCTTAATTAAAATATTTAACATTTTAAAAATGTGTATAGTTTTAAAAGAAAGAAATTAGCAACTGGAATTGCTTACATGTGATTTAAAATTGAATCAGGTGATATTTTTTCAAGAGTTAACAAGTAATTTCTCCCCACTCAGTGTTTCATTAAGTTCACAAAGTAAAAAGGTTTGCACTATTTTCACACAAAGTCACTAGGTTTGCATCATGTTCATACAAAGTCACCAGATTTGCAATATGATCACAGAAAGTCACATGGTTTGCAACACAGTTGCAGAAATTTGTGAAAACTGCAGCTTGCCTTTTTTTTTAATATCTTGAGAAACTCCAAGTTCAGCATACTCTCTATTCTGAATCTCTTTAATACAAAATAATTCAAAGTAGACATGAGACTGGGCTCATTTGCAAATTGCATATTTTTCATGTTTTTTCTTTCAATTAGTTGCAAATTTGTCTGCAATGGGTTGAGATTTTCTGTTGTTTATGTTCATCTGGTTTAATTGTTTGAATCGATCTGTTTGTTTGATCAGTTTACTGATTTGATCTATTTGCTTGATCAGTTTTCTGATTGGATCTGTTTGATTGATCAGTTTACTGATTTGTTAATTGTATTTTTTAAAATAAAAATGTTGTTCCCATATGAAAGTTATCCAAGTAATTAAAGTGATCATTCCAATTTAACTTAAAGCAAGTTCATAATGATGACAGGTCCTAAAAACATATATAAATATACATGTAGTTGACTGTTTTAAATGTGTACAATCTTATATAAGAGCAGAAAAGTTCTTGCAATAATTTTATAACAATTCCATATTGTCAAAGCCTCGACACCATATGAATATCTAAGCGAACCTGGTGAAATGCTATCAACTTTGCCAGGATCAGCAACGAATAATTTAATTACTTCATTTATGTCAAAATTGTAAAATTAAAATCAGATTCCTCTTATCATGGAACATATTGTGGGCTTAGGTCGGAACAAAAACGAAGATCTTCAACAAAAACTTCAGGATCAGACAATACTGATGAAGATGATGAGGATGATGATGAGGATGATGAGATGGGTGAGGATGATGATCTCATTTGGGATGATATGAAGTTTGTTGAAGAAGAAATGGAGTTACAGTAAGTTTATCCTGTGAGGTGGAGCATGGAGAAGTCTGTCTGTCGTCAAGTTGAATTGGAGTTTCTAATTTCTTTAATGCATTGTGTCTCCTGTGGATAATGACATTCCAATGCTATAGTGTTTTTGTGGTTAGAGTTTTGTTGTGGAAATTGGATCTCTTGTGGGTTTGTTGTTTAACAAAGGATCATGGATCTGTTTTGATTTATAGATATTTCCTGTGTTAATGTTATGAAGAACAGCAAAGCATTTTTTTTGGTTTGCAATTTTTATGGAGAGTACATTTGTTTGATACTATCCAAATAATTTTTTAAATATTTTATCACAATATATCACCTTCCCCTTCAACTACACTGAGGGCTCAGATTTTGTGTGTAATTAACAATTTGCATTTAACAAAATCTAACCTTTTTTTCTTTTAAATTCTTTTCAGTCATTTTCCTCAATTTACTTTTTTTTAAATTTCTAGATTTCAGTCATGTGATTTTAAAATCATTATGTTTGTATGAATCATTATGTTTGTATCTTTTTTTCAGGAACATAAAGATATTTAAATGTCATTGTTCACAGGTGGATTGTTTAAATGTCATTTTTCACAGCTAGATTGTTGTCATTGTTCACAGCTGGATTGTTTAAATGTCATTGTTCACAGCTGGATTGTTTAAATGTCATTGTTCACAGCTGGATCATTGTCAATAAACAGTTTTATTGAATTATGCAATTGTATTCCAACTTCAACAGGGGGGTCACACTTCTAAACATTTTTTAAGGCAACTTTTATTTTACATTTCTTTGTGTATGAAATGCTGCTCTATTCTCAACCCACAACCTCATCTAAATGATGATTTACTTGCAACTCCTTCCTACAGAGCTTCTGAGGGTGAAAGCCCAGAAGAACTCATCCCCAGTTATCAACCCTCCATTGTACAAGTTGATGCCAGAGAGGACGTGGATGAAATAAAAATGGTATCAATGAATTTTTTTAATATTATTTTATCTTTTTTTAAATAGTATTTTGAGTTTGTTTTAATATTTTAAAAAAGTACAGTTTACTCTCAATTATCTTACAAAATACTGAATACTTTCAATAGTTCTACTGCAGTAAGCTTTAAATTGTCCTAAAAATAAAATCTACTCTCAGGGTAATAATAAGGATGCTGATAAATCACCCATGTGGATGACACTAACAAATTTAGTTACACTTAAAATATAAGTATGTAAAGTCAGATCCATAACAACCGCTTGTGGTACCAGGGGTAAAGCTTTTTTAACCAAGACAGTTGGATTGGGCTAAAGCTAAGGTAGATTTAAAGTCACCAACTGCCAGAGCATACAACTAGATTGACGTTTTATTAAAACTAGATAAAACACTTAGTGAGACATTTCTAACACAAACCTCATCAGCTTAATTATATAAAATACTTCAATTAAACTGTTTTGTGCCATGTAGACAAAAGTAAGGAGGAACTGCTTAGGAAGACAAGAATGGCCACATAGTCTCTAAATCAAAAATAAATTATTGGTGGGGGAAAGCAGAAATGTAATCAATAACATTGTACATTTTCAAAGCCTAAGCACCTTTTGTACATCTCTTCTAAATAAATGAATTGTGAAAATATAAAAAATAAATTAACAGAAATAGCAAAATTATTTAACCTAATACTTCACAAGGATAATCAGTACCAGATAATTGAAAGTACAATGTGTTACATTTATGGTGTTTTGATTTTTTTAAACATTTTTTCATGGAAAGGTTCTCCCATGCTTGACAGAGTTGTTAATGTTTTTATTATTTAATATATTTTTGTAAGCTACTGACTTAAGTATTAAAAAAAAGATATATAAAGGATCACAAGGCTTTTAAATAAGTAACAGTTGTTAAACTAAAACTACACGGCTTCTCGAAGGAGATGGTTTTTGGAAAATGTCTTTTATAGAAAAATTTGATAACTAACTGAAATACAAAATTGTGTCCTCACACCACTCTGTATGATTCTCAAGTTAATTCTTTATTTTATTCTATTTTAGTCTGTTGGTTATTATTTGTATTGTTATTTTATTGTTCATTTGTTTATATTCATTTTCTTTTAACCTTATTAGCAACCTCAACCAGCCATTCTGGAAGAGGTAAGAGTTTATAAATACTCATTCGTTTAATAATGTTAGTTAATAACTAGTAATAGCCCAAAGGCAATGCGTGAACTTCCCATCTACTAAAATTAGTTTAAGAATAAATGCATTCAAGAAACGCACTTCATAAAAATAACTATTAAGCAAAATAAAATACTATGCTCCAAACGCACTTGCATTATTTAAAAAAATCTCATTTAGTGCAGTTATCAGGAATTTTATTTTGCACGCTGTTGAGCTCAGCATTACTCCACAGTTTCTTTCATGCATAGAGAGTTATATTGATTGATCCTATTTAATTATGTAATTTTATTCAGAAGATAAATTTCTACCATAAAACTCTTACACCATCAATATTGATCACAGAAATGTGTAAAATCTTTCTTGCCCTAAATTCTATCTTTGTAAAGTATGGATCATTGTTTTAAATATGAGGATTTGCACAACTTAAAAAGTTTTGACAGCTATTAGATCTAGCTGTACTGGTACAAAATGATTTTCAACAATGCAATAAATGATATTATGGGTTTAAAAACAATATTTTAGTATAGTTATCATTAAAAATCTTTTGATAGTATTGATAGTTTTATAAATTATACAAATGTTTTAGAAAAAGAATATGGCTTACACATCTAAAATATTTTAATTCAAGTTATTTAATCAGCAGCTTAACTATTTCACTGTAAATAATTTGCTCCACAAAACTGCAGAGTACTTTTTAATTGAAAGAAAAGATTTTAAATTGTCCATTTTATTTAAAAACATAATTATTCTTTTCAGGAAGAGGAAGAGGTCATTTTGACAGAAGAAGAGGAAGCTATTAAAGCTAACCTGGAGGCTAATGAGCCATTGCCATATGAAACTTTGGACAACATTATCAAGTCATGGTGGACCACTGAGCCTTTTAAGTAAAAAAAATTTTTTAATTTATCATGTAAATCATTTTGTTCAATAGGGTTCTTGGAAATCTTAAAGACTCAAATTTAAGTAATGTTACTGGGTTGCTCTCAGACGATGAGACTAGTATTTAAATATTAACTGTTATCTTACATTATTACCCTCCAAAGCATAGAATGTCAGTTTCAGTTGCCTGTGTGAACAGAGCAAATGTCTTTTCAAACATATCAATTTTAGTTTTTTTTCAAAAGTGAAATTAGTAAATTTTACCATTGATCATAATGGTAATTGCTTACTTGAAATTAATTTTAAAAAATAGTTTAAAAATTTAGAAGATATGAAGAAATGTATCAATTTGCTTTATGACAAAGAATTCCAAGTCCGTGACAACTAAATTCATTTTTCATGTTTCTTGTGTAAAGAGATCCTTAAATCCCTGCAATATTTAAACTGTAGAATTTCTTTATTTTTAACTTGACATTCTTTCAGCTCCAAATAATAGTTTCAATATTTAGGATACAAAAATTTGAACCATCTCAAAATCCAAGGAGAAAAATTGTTGTGACATATTATTTGCCTTTTTGGCTATAATACTTTAAATTTGTTTAACCATTTGTTAAAGATTTGTATTGATAAAACTCCTGAATAAATTTCTAGGAAATATCAGGGATGTCATTTGAGTAGGGCAAGGATAACCTATTAAGCTTGTATTTCTTTTCAGGTCTACTGGTTTCATACTGGAAGGATTTCCACGCACAACGGAAGAAGTGAAATACCTACAGGAGTCAGGACTGTTACCTGATGCTGTCATAATTCTACAGGTATTTGGATAGCCATGCCACGAAATTTTCTATCCTATTAATAATACTCTTCCCCATAAATATTGTTCTCTGTCATGTTCACTTTCTGATTGCAATAACTGTGATGTTCACTTTCTGATTGCAATAACTGTGATGTTCACTTTCTGATTGCAATAACTGTGATGTTCACTTTCTGATTGCAATAACTGTGATGTTCACTTTTGATGTTTGAATTTAGTTTGGCACCATTATACACTTAATCAGAGAAATGTCGTTGGCAATTTAGTTTCCCTTGTTTACACAAATCCTGTATTATTAGTAATTACTAACTAGTAATATTGGATTATTATTTTTATTTAACATTTATATTACTTATTTGAGAATGGAAATAAACACAAAATAAATGAAGAAAAGAGTTCATTTGTGATAAATCCTTTGTGCCGCAATATTTAATGTGCCATGGCACTGGGGTTGGCTACCCCTGCCTTAGAGAGGAAAAATTTGAAAGTCTTGATGTCCTATCTAATACGTTATTTAATATAAAAAAATCAATAAATAAAGCAACAAAAGGAGAGAAATTTCACATTACTGACTTAGAGTGGGTTCAATCAAAGGATATCATTCATGGTTCAAAAAATGTATGCTAGATTTTATTTACTTCTCTTGAAACATGGAACCCCTCCCCCAACCGCTTTTAAATTATTTTTTTAAACAATAATCTGCATTCATAATTTTTACCAGAGAGCTCTCACAGATACATAATTACTGTTTATGTTTAAATAAAAGTTTAGATCCCAATAAATTAAGCTTTTCATATTTACTTGCTTTTAACACATTTTTTATTCATGTCTTTCATTAGCAAGAATAATCTTTAACTTGTAGCTAAATATATATAATTCAAATTTGATTAGGCGACTGATAATGATGTCATAGGGCGTCTTCTACCACCCAAATTGGAAAAATGGCGGGCAAAAAGAGATAAAAGATTACAAAAGAAAGCAAGAAAGAAAGAAAAAGCTCGTAAGAAGAAGGTAGGTTATTTTCACAATGTTGCTAATCGAAGCTACATGGAAAATTAACTCTTCATTTAGACTTACATTATGGTATACATCCTATACACAAACAATGTGGGTTCAAGTATTTAAATTATTATAGCAATATCAACTTACTGGGCAAGAATTTTTTAAAAATTTAATCAATATCTGTAAAGCAGTTTTTATCTACATTTGATTGAGTTTAAAGTTATGATCAACTGAGGAGCACATTTCTGTTTGCACCTTGGAATTGATCAGAAATGAAATTACCTGTACCAATGTTTTCCATAATTGGATTATCTCTGGGAACTTCTTGGTTTTTCTTATATAACCTTTGGCATAAGGCTTCTTTCTCCTAGAGTTCTATTCTTTTTGAGTTAAATCTCTCAATTTTCATTTTTTTAGGTAGACTCTAATTTTAGTTAACAAACTAAACATTTGTGAATAAACTAATTTTTAGTGCATATAAAATAAATTGTTTACTTACAGTTACCAAATGATTGTGAGATTCTGCTATATTTATTTACAGCTTCTTTTTAGTGCCCAATTTATTCTATTTATTAATACCTATAATGTTTAAGTACTGGTAGGTTAAAAAGTATAACATATTTAATGCTTAAGTCTGGTCATTAATAATACATGTACATATAACATTAATGATACATACTAAAAACATAGAAATCTAGCACCAAAATTGCTAGGACTTTGATAAACAAAACATTTTGTTCTTATACTCTACAGGAAGAAGCCATTGCCAAGAGAAGAGAAGAGCTTCTGTTGGAAAAAGAAGAAAAGCGTAAACTGAAACGAGTAAGATTTTTTGTGGACTTTCCTATTTTTCTGGAAATTTAAAAAAAAAAACAGGTTGTGCTTATCAGCAGCCTTCCCCCCACTAAATGCAACTACAACACAACAAGTCAATAAATCTTAAACAATGTCATTGACATACATCAGCTTTTAATGATTTTGTTTGGGGTGCTTCATGTGTAAAACAGTTTCAATGTACATCGTTAGGTTACCAGTACATAAGTAGTGTTACCTTTTTATTATTTTTTTCATGTATCTTATTCTAATTTATCATGGATGTCAACTTTTCTTTTGCATCTATAGCTGGAGAAGGAGTCAGATAGTTCATTTAGAGATGAAGAAGAAGAGGATGAAGGAGACGTTTTGGATGAAGAAGAAGGTGAAGAAGAGGAAGAAGAAGACATTGAAACATTGTTAGCAGATGAATTTGAGGTAAGGTATAAAAATAAATTCCTGAGCAGTTTGTAATGAACGAGTATGTCTAATTTAAAATATGAAAAAATGTCATTTGAAAATATGGAAGTATAATACTTTTAAAATATATGACTTAATATTCTGTTACTCAGGAAGAAGAAGAAGAGGAAGAAGAAGAAGAAGAACATGAAGAGGATGCAATTGAAAGAATGAAAAATGACTTCAATGAGATTTATGATGATGACACCAACAGGATAGCAGCTGTAGAGGTATTATCCTAAATTATGTTGGGTTTGAATAAATTAGGATTTTCATTTAACAGTAAAGGAGTTTTTTTCCAATGTTCATAAAGCTGGCAGCCAAAACTGATCATTAATCTCTAAGTAAATGAAATGTCTTTTAAAATATTCCATTCTAAAGATGTTAGTAATTTAACATTAATTTAATGAGTGAATAATATTATGCCCTGCTTTTGTGGTTCTCTGTTGAAGTTAAAAAGTCTTATACTTGTATGATAGTAAATGAAGAATTATAATTTTTTTGTGTGTATTTATATGTTTCATATCACTTTGCATAATTCTTCAAGCGAAATTGCCATTACATCAATATTTTAAATTTTAATATACTTACATACAAGTTCATGTGATAAAATGTAACCTTTTTTTTCAATAATAGTGTTGCTATGATTACTTAATTTTACCTTACCAAACATTTACCCATTAATTTTCAAAAAATTTATTTTTTAAGGAAGCTCTTGAGGAAATTCTTATTCCTCGACTAAATGTCACAGCTGGCCGCCGACCTCACATTATTCGCTACATACTCAACAAAAAGCTAAAACCCTATGTTGAATTCCGAAACAGCATATTTGAGAGAGTTTATCCACTTAGTGAAAGTCTGGCGCAACTTATGCTGAAAGTTGGTTACAAGTATCCAAGTCGTTTTGGCAGATGGGATCCAGTCAAGGTTATTGAAATAGATTTAAATATTTTTATTCATTTTAGCTCTTTTTTTATATGTAATATTATTCAAGATTTAATATATGTATATATATATATATACATATATTTTTTTTTTAAAATATATATATTTATTTATTTATCTATTTATTTGTTTCTAGGTACTCTGTGATACATAAAATATTTAAATATTCATTTCCAAAAGTGGTTCATTTTAATTTGAAAGTATCTTCGTGGTGAAAGGAGGCAAGGATTACTCTGGAAGTTGAATAATGCAGTGGTTCATGGCAATCTGTACAAATGGTTAAAATTATTCCTTACTTATGCCACTACCCAAACAAAAATAAAAATGTAACCTCAACAAAGTGTGGTCCCCCCACCCCCACCCCCTGTCAGTGTCATCACTGAGTTGCAGCCTTTCCATGATGTTCTTTAATGACCTTCCCGGCAAGTTGAAGAGGGTATACCAAAATGACATTTTTATGTTGCTGGTAAAAGTGCAAGATGTCTTAATGAAGACTCGATCAGGCTTAGAACATGAGGGGGAAAAAAAGTAAACTGAATGTAAGCAACACTGAAACAGGGTACTTGGTTTTCACAAAAAGCCACAAGGTAGCCAGACCAAACATTACAGTATCCCTACAAGGTACAGTACTCCGAAATGAAGACAACCCAACATATCAACGTGTTCAGTAAGATGGGCAACTGGACCTAAAAAAGCATGTTCAAAGTTTGAAATAAAGTCAACAAGAATGCTAACTAAGGGTTGTCACTACCTCATGGATTATTGATAAGGCCACACTATGCCTGTTGTACATAGGATATGTGCGATCAGTTATGGCATATATCTTTGTTGTTTCAGTCAGCTAGCATCAAGACAGTAAAGGACTCTCTTGAAGAAGTACAAAGTCAGGCAGTCTACTCTAACATCAGATCTACTCCAACAACAGCATGTGAAATACAAACTAATATTAAGCCACTAAATCACAGAAGCCGTAGCAGTTATTAAGATGGTAGAAAGTTACAGAAAGGTAGACTGACAACATCCAAATAGAAAAATAGTTAATAAATGGAGACCACAGAGTAAAACAACAATCAATTTTACCAGTACCCCATTATATTGGCATTTCCTCCTCCTGCAAGATTCATGATATGAGGTCATGTATTTACCTATGCAGCTCGTTTCCACCTAATTGTATAAGCTCTGCAGGGATAAGGTCTATTACTGGGAATTTATTATTTTTCAGGGCAAAGGTCACATCTTTTGTTTCATTCAGTATTGGTTGGCTGACCAATTAGTCCAGTCCTCCTTGTGGTAGTTCATAATCTTCATTGGGTCCTGCATATGAGCCATTTAGCATCCCTTCAATGTTGAGCCCATCTCTCTTGTACCCTACTGTTCACTGTGATCAGTTTTGAAAATAAATACCTTCCTCAACACCTATGTGGTCAAGCCGACCTTACCAGGACACAATAACCTCCTGGGAAATGAGAGAGATGACAAACTAGCAAAACAGGGAGCCTCCAATGAACAGGCAACTATACTTACAACACTCAACACTGCAAAAACAGAATATCCATTCCCCAAAGATCACTAAATTACCTCCAAGACAGGAAGAGGTCATAATTTTTCACCTGCACACATGACTCTTTACAACTTAATTCTCACCTTAACTGCATAAAACCAGATAAACACCAGTGTGCCACCTCTGCAGACATCCAAACGAGACAACAACACATCACCTCTGTAACTGTCAAACTCTTCATGACTTATGCCAACCAATAACACCAGACTACTCTGACTTCCTATATATAAACAAAGGATAGCTGTGGAGAGTGTTCATAATGGCCTTGGGATGAAGATGATGATGAATAATCTTTACCCTGCATGTCAAAATATTTTTAAAATTTTTACATGTAATAATGTAACAGACTGAATGTATTGAAGTACATTAAATATTTCCTTAAAATAGCTTTTGAACTTTGTATATTTTTTTAAACCCGTAGTTAAAGGAAGGGGACTGCTTGCAACCATTATCAGGACCTGACATCCCAACCTACCCCTGTCTGCACCGGTCTCACATTTACTTTTTTTCAAGTCAACAAAACAGACAGCTTTTTATGCAAGATCCAATGACCTATTTAAAACAGCCAACTCCAAAGCCAGTTGTTCCAATAAAGATATCAATCATCGGTCCACCCAAATCTGGAAAAACAACATGTACGTATGGTTTTGAATTACCAACAGTTCACATTTCAGCCTTTTACCATTGCGGTTTTCAAAGGTTGTGTTGTGACACACTGGAATGTCACCAAGGTTCATAGAAAAAATGTATTGCTAGGCATTTTACCTAGAAATGAAATGGAGATAATAAAATCCATTAAAACTAATATAATAATAATTACCTTGAACACTGCTCATCCTCAAGAGGATTATTTTCCATTATCTTGTTCAGTTATAAACTTCATTAAATTATAAGAGTGTTTTTAATAATCTGAAAGATACTCAAGTTGAAACTTACCCCACAGATAATTCAATAATTTTTTTATTCCCTCCTCCCCCGAATTATAAGAGGGCTGAACATTGATCATGCCCTGCTCTCCAAAACTTCTTTCAACAATTTTTTTCTGTTGTCCTTTCATGGGATACTATGAAGTGCCATGGGTTAATGTTACAGGTTTCATTAGAAATTATATAAAATAATACCAAATAATATTAGCATAATGTAAACCTGGAGACAAAAGGAAGCTAGAAGAAAAGTGTTTAATTTGAGGTATTTAAATAACTAATGATCCATATTCCAAATATGCTTAACACAAATCAATAAAAGTAGTAATAACTATAAAGGAATACTAGGAAATGTGAAGGGAAACAGCATTATACAAGATTTTTAAAAAAAACATAGTGCAGACTATCAACAGGAAAGAAAGAAAAACAAATCTTGCTCTCAGAGCAAAACTTTGAAGTCAATAGCTATAGCTAGTAAATGAAAATTAATGGCTATTCATTTTTCCTTTTTTTTTTTTTTTTTTTTTTTTTTTTTTTTTTTTTTTTTTTTTTTTTTTTTTTGATATTGATTAGACTAGTGGGGGAAGGGGAGGTGGAGAGTTAATTACAACATTTTATAAACTTGTAAGGAGACCTTGATATAAATGAAACAGGGCACAATCAAAATTCATATCAAATGGTAGCGCTGTTAGGTGTTAATATTTGCCTTACTACAAATAATTCCAGTTTCAATCTAGATTATATATTTTCATCTTCCGGCATACTTGTTCCAAGTGGGGCAAACAGATTACAAAACTGTCTTGAAAAAAAGTTGACCGTATTTTATGTCTTTTTCAATGATTTAAGTTAATGTTAGTTTTTAACTTATGAACTTTAAGATTTTGTAAAGCCTCTGTGAGAAAAAAATGTCTGATGAAATCTTTTGAAAATTTTCTTTTCATAGTGGCTAAAAGATTTGTAGATGAGTATGGAATCAAAAGATTGTCAGTTGGCGAGGCCATGCGTCATGTTTTGGCAGCCCAGAGAAACACTGAATTGGCATCAAATATGCACTGGCATCTCTGCAGAGGTCGGGTTGTGCCTGAAAACTTACAAATTCAAGCACTGGAAGTTGGCATGTTGGATATGACAAGTCAAACAAGAGGGTGAAGAATTTCATTTTTTTTTTTTTAAAAAAAGCTCAATCCAAAGTATTCTTATTACACAAACAACAATGCTAATTATTATTTGCATCCTTTTTTTTTTCATGTTTTCCCATACTTTGTTTGGCTTATTTACTTTTACCTAACCTGATTAAAGTTTCTCAGCTTTATTACCTTTTTAAATTTTATTGTTAAAATATTCCTGCAGTTACGTCTTGGATGGGTTCCCCATGACTCGTGCCCAGATTGATCTGATGACAGAACGTAGTATTATTCCAACAAGAGTTATTGAGCTGGAGCTTGAGAGCAAAGAAGCTATGATCAGAGGTGTCAAGGACAGATTAGCACTTCCGAGGTTAGAATGTTGTCACATTATTCAGTCATTTTAAAAAAAACAAAGTTCCAGTTTGTGTAATTACAATAAATGGCATAACTCAATGCCAGTATGGCATCAGATGTGTACGCCCTATAAGCTTGTGTAACCATCATAATATTAAATTAGAAATGCATTGGTGAAATGAATTCAACCTTAGAAAACCCAGATAAATCCCAATTTTTTTTAATCTCACCCTACTTGAATGTGCATAGAGGCAGCTACCAATAAGCAAGTTTTAGAATTACACATTCTACATGTGATGGTTATTGCTGCAAAAAACTTCTTTTTTTGTAATACAGTCTTCATAAAATGATATAAAATAAACTTCACTAAATGAGCTAGTTCAATTATTTTTAAAATTTTATATTGTTTCAGACCTTATGTGCTCCATGACAGCACTCAGATTTTGGCTATAAAGCTTTCAGTGTACCAGAAGACAGTTCACGATGTCCGCGAATGGTATGAACAACAGCACCAGAACCACCAAAAGGTCAAAGCCAATCAGTCCAAATGGTGGGTATGGGACAATGTACAAGAGCTGGCTATGCAGAGTATCAAGAGGATCCAAGACTATCTGGAGAGAATAGGAGATGGTAAACAAACACAATCTTGATTTTGTACCATGTTGTGTTTACTACCTCTTTCCATAAACACAATCTTTAATTTGTACCATTTTGTGTGTACTACCACCTTCCATAACAACAATCTTTATTTTGTACCATGTTGTGTGTACTACCACCTTCGATATGATCCTCTTACATTAACTTCAGCTAAACAGAAAATTGAAAATAATCATTTCAAACTGCCCATTTTTAGTGTTAGATATCACTAAATTTTATCTAAATTACATTTCTTTAATCATCAGCCGGGGCCGCAGGCATAGCTGGCTTGTGTATTACACCTGAGGAGTTTGTGCAACGTGTTGGAGACTTTGGCAATTACTGCCCTGTTAGTTTAGCAGAGAATGGAGAATTAATTGATTGTTCCATCAATAACTCACTTGAATTTGCTGCTGAGTTCAGAGGTAAACACTTCAAAAGAACTTATTTAAACTGAAATGTTTTTTTATCTTATTAATGATTTGCCTTAAGGTATTCTTTTAATGTACAGGAAAATTTTAAACCTTAATTTTGCTTTTGGTGTAGGCCACTATTACAAAATGGCAGGCCAGAAAGAACTTGACATGTTCCTCTCGGAACCAGAGAAATATGTTCCTCCCTTGGCACCAAATAAACTACCAGAGCCAGAACTGCTTCCCCGTCGAATTTCAAAAGCAGAGATGCAGGGAAGAGAAGCCCAGATTCTTGGTTATTGTCCAGTTACTTACCTTGATGGAAAGATGAGGTCAGATATTACCACTATGTTATTAATGGTGTACATTTTTAAGGGCCCACTTGTAATTTAAATATGATTTTGAGTGTTTTGAGAAGTTAAACATTTTTTATTGAAAATATTATTTATAATAAGCATATGTTACGCATTATCAATGACATTAAATTGAAGAGTGGGGATGGTTTAGTCTTGTAACATAGACAATAAGTTAATACAACAAGTTATTACAATTAATGACAATCACCAGAGCAGAAGCAAAAATGCCAAAAATGTATTTTAATACTTGCTTTGCAAAAAAAAAACATGAAAGTTTTCAATAAAACAGGATTAACAAAAATAGGGTTACCCGGTATGTATATTCTATATTAAACATAGACCAAATTTTTTTTTAAAATATTGAAATTTGCAGATATGATGCACTTATCCCTGGGAGTGAGGAATTCATGGCAGAATACAAGGGCAATGTGTTCCTTATGCAAAGTGAAGAAAAACTTTTTAAGTTTATGAAGTAAGATTTATTTAGATTATTTAAATAACTTTGTAATGATTAGTGATTAAATTAATTTGTATATTACACTTAAAATAATTTAACCATTTATTTTTGTGTGTATTAAAAGCAAAGTCACAGATCACCATGCTATACTTTGTATGTTTTTAGATTAATATCAAGCAATAATCAGCTATTCATATGGGTTGATTTTGATATTAGTAATGCAATATGTGCACCATTGTCATACAAATCAGTGAGTAAATATATCACAGGATGTCATTTAAGTTAACAACCTTTTCATTGGATTTGGGAATGTACATAGAAAGTGTGCTTTCCAGAATGTCACCAAAGATCATGTCAAGGAAAAGATGAACAAATTGTGAAAGACTCGTTGGATTATTTCATATAAACCGAAACTTTCATTCTTTAATTTACAGAGCATGGCAAATATTCAGAAAATTATTTGGATTGACAGTCATGTGTGGGGGAAATGTCATATGTGAGGGGAAATGGGGGGGGGGGGGGTTAGGGGAGCAGAAATCAAGGGTGCTCAAGGCTCCCCTGGTGAAAGGAGATGAGTTGTCTGGGCCGGGGGAACCCTCTTTTTTTCTGTACCTTTTTCGTTTTCCACAGGTTATTTCTAGTGAATAAATAAAACAAATATATGTTAACTACACATGGGCTCATCGAAAACTTTTAGACATGTTTGTCTAAAAGGCTGTTATTCCTTTCTGAATTCTTCTTGTTTCCTCTTCTCTCAGGTTACCAGAAAAGTATTCCAATATGAAACTTCCTCACAAGCGTCCACCTAAACCAGAAGAGCTCCCATTTGCCAATCTTCCAATGCTGGGTTTCATGGAACAGACTTGTGCTGTTGCCATGGTGAAGGCCCTGACAGCAGCTGGCAACGTCAAGCCAAAATATCCCTTTATATCATCAACAAGATCAGCTCTCATCTACATTGCCTACCATCTGAAAGGTTGGTGCACAGTGTTTACATTTGTTAATAATGATAACTTAAATTGAAAAAATGACCTGCACAAAGTTTGTGTAGAAAATGTTCAATATTAAGTGTGCAACATATGCTAAGAACTGGAACACATCATCAGAAATGGAAATAGCTATAACATATAGAAAATTTAACTAGGAGTGGATCATGTTTAAGTCAATTAAAGGCTTACCCTAACTGCAAGGAATAATCTACTCTTAAAAAAGCTGTTCAAAATGCGCTGGAAAAAAAATGTGTGTTTTTTTCTGTTATGTTTCAATGGAAGGCCTTTGACTGTGACTTTTTAAAATTTTATTCTAGCAAAAAAATGAAGAACCCTACAGCAAAAAGCTTGTGACCACAGCTCTGCTTTAAATTTGACCAAACTTGCCTTTTTCAAGTTTGTAAAAAATGTTCCATGCAGAAGGGTTTTTGGTTTTATCTCACTGTATTTTCATGATGAAACATATATTCTTAGAGTCATTGGGAGTCATAGAAATGGGGCAACCACATGAAGTGGGATGGAATGGACAAAAATTTGATGGATTTTGGCACGGGTGGGGGGGGTTTTGAGATGCATGATCTTAGTAAATGTTCTAGGGCAGGGATTCTTAACCTTTTGCATCCCCTCACGATTTCAAAACATTTCACAAAACCCCCACCCCTAAATGAATTATATTTGAAAAATGAAAATAATTTAATAATTTAATTTTTGTAGTTTTATTTCTTTAATTAACTTGCTATATATATGAAACAAAAAAATCACTTTTACAAATAATGCACAAACAAAATTTACAATAAAAAAACTTTACTGCTGCTAATCAAATTGCATCAAATTTTTTTTTAAGTTCCAACAACTAGCAATAACAGCAAATACAATTTTCTGGTCCACTGAACCACTTTCACCCCAGGTTAAGAACGACTGGGGATTGTTTCTGGCATAAGTGCAGTAATTCGATATCCATGAGATTTTATTTTTGTATGGTTTGACAAGAAAAGTTTTGTACGGAGTGATTTTTTTAAATTTTAAATTTTAAAATTTTGTTTTTGGAGTGTGGTGCAAAGGCTTGTGAAATAATATTTGAGGATGGTGAAAAAACTTTGTGTGATGATTTGTGTTGATGGAGGGGAAGGGAAGGGGATCAAAAATTGGCAAAATTTGAGTGACATAATTTATGGATGGCCTAACTGTCCTTGCTAAAAAGAAATATATTTGTTCTAGCAAGTACTGAATTGTAAAATAATAGTTAATTCATTGTTATTTCATTTTTTTTTTAAATTTAGCATTCAACCCTAAATCATCTCCTTACATTCGTAAGAAGTATAAACAGAAGCTGCAACAGTTTGAAGAGACATGTGAACTCATAAAATATCTTGGAAATAATATGACTGTTCGCTACCGAGATCCTAATGAAAGACCTAAAGACTTTGATAACAAACTTGAAACATTTTTTGCTCTGAGAGGGGTTGAACCTACACCAACTTGGATCACATAGATTGAGCTTGTGAAAATAAAGAAGGACTCCAAGTAAAGAATCTTCACTCCAGACCATGTACTTGATTTTCAACTATGCTAATTATTAAATATTTAATATTGTATGACGATTTATATACAGAAATGTACAAATATAATTGAATATTTTTTTCTGAAACTTTACATAATACTGGCATAACTGTGATAATGTTAAAATTGTCTTATAGCCAAATAGTTTGGCAAAAATAAAGCTTTTGTTTGAATTTAAATATTATTTCTCAATTTATGGAGTCTGTATATAAATTTACAAATAAAAACTTTTATCTTAGATACTTTTAGTTAATTTTGATACATGTTTATGCTAATATCCTAATCTGTTTTCAGCGTACAAAACTTGTTTATTTTTTCTTGTTGAATTATTTTTAAAATAAATATTGAGTTTTTTCATGTTTTCAAATATTGAGATTTTATTAATAACAACTCTAACACTGGTTTACAACTATATATTGCAGTGGGATCATTAAGCATTATTTTCTAAAACTGAAACTAGTGGAATTAATTTCCTTCATACATTTTTGTGGGAAATGAGGTACTGTGGACATTTAAGGGGAACAAATTTAATAGTCATGAAATGATTATAAGATTAATGCAACACCTGGTGATCAAGTTGCATTATTAAAAAGGGTTTTCATTTAATGTCTTTCAAATACAATGCTTTTTTTTTTTTTTTTACATTCATACTATAGACCAGGGGGGGGGGGGGGGGGGGGGGGGGGGGGGGGGGGGGATGGGAAGTGGGAAGCAATGTGATGTCCCAAAAAACGTGGAACATTATTGAAACAAACTTGCACTGCAGAACAAAACATTACAGATATTTTTAACATTAATTTTTTTATAACATTTATAATTATTTGATTTTTTATTTATTTTTAAACTTTGATCACCTGGTAACACCTACAAAATAAGCTATTTCATTAACTTAGAGTTTACCACTATTTCTTCTGGAAACCTAAGCAATTTTAGTGGAATCCTAGTAGAATGATATTTTCTAGATGGAGCATTCAATTCTAACATTAAAGATTTTTATTCATTTCCTGGTAATCATTTGGATTAATCCTCTTGCTTTGAGAAATTAATATTTTCTTTTAATGATATGCCTACATTTTTTTCCTCTGAAGAAATGTATTATTTTATTTTTCTCATTATTGATTTTACTATAAATTGTGTCAGTTATGTCATGAATCTTTCCTCATTCAGACCAGGAAATGCAAGTTAAAAAATAGAAAAGAGTAGGCCTATACCTGAATAGTTTACAGACAAGTGTGGATATTTGGAAGCCAACCTTTTTTTTTTTAAGTTTGATTATATTTTTATGCTTCTGCCTAAATTTAAACTCTTAATTTTTATTATGTGCTCCTAATTTGATGGGAACCCCAAAAATGTAATAAAAGAAATGATATCAACTGATTTGTCACTAGATTTCAAAAGTGTTTTCCTTAGTTATTTGTTCTAATAACCAACTTTTACTTCTTCCTTTTTTTTTTAAAGATAATATATATTAAAGCTAAAGATATGCTGGAGCTTAATTTATGCGTTAGACGACCCCCCCCCCTTTCTGCACCCACCCTCCTATCGTTGATTACGTGGCACATGGTAGTAGGGCCGCCCCTAGCCCTTGGCATGGGTAAATACCAGATCGGAATGAACTCGTTAGTTAAGTAGGTAAGCTATTCTTGATATTGCCTTATTGATGTTTAAACCCTGGGCAGCTGTGTGAAATACCCCGACACACGATGTCGAAGTCCGTAGCTATAAACCACTATGCCAAAAAGGGTGTTAGCCAGCTGGGTCGCGCTAAAGGGGGTGGCGAAGGGCGCAGCCGCCCCGGGTACCAACACTAAGGAGCGCCAACGTAACGGCTTTTCACGGAGAGATGAAAATCGCCAATGCTAGTACACTCGTCTGTATAAAGAACGTGCTTGAATTATGGCTCACTCCATCGCTATTTTTTGTTAAGCTAATTCATTTATCTTTTTTAATCATTTAAGAAATTGTCATCCAGCTGTGAAACGAATGTCAACACTTTTAAATTAACTTCACGATTCTCAACATTTCTATATCTACACAAAAGTATACAATATTTTATTGTGTGTGTTTCATAATAAAAGATTACAGCAGACGACCGTCTTCCAATAACCGATAATAGGAATACTGCTGTTGTTGTTTTGTTTTTCTAGATGCCCTAATCTTTAGTTACAAATTTTGTGCACACGGCTAGGAGTATAGACGTAGCCTACAAACAACAAAAAACAATACCGACCCCTGTCGCACAAGACAGGTAAAATCAAGATACGTAGGCTTACTGTCCATGCAGTGGCCAGACTGAGGCTGTACGCTCTGCAACATTGGTAATTAATTTTCATCGTATAATGTATAATGGGTGTCTGAAAAGACAAAAGTGACCTTGATTTTTTTTCCACGCCCCTGTCATCTTTTTGTGTGCGTGGAAAAGAACTCTTTTTTGCAGAAAAATTCCGATCAGCTACATGTTTAATGAACTGAACAATAAATAACCATCTACGTGTATAACTCTACAATAGAATGTATTATGTTGTTATATTGTATGCTATGCAATAAATATTTCTAACTCAACCTTTCTGTTATCAGAACAATATAAGGTATTCGAACATCCTCGGCCCCAGTTAGTTCTGGAAATCGACGCTCTACTGTATCATTTATTGAATGGTATTTTTTTTCAAACAAAAAAAGGAGGTTGGGGTGGGGAGGGGGGCGTTTTCTCTTTGGCACCGCTCTGTAAACCAGTTCATTGAAATGACAGCTGCCTGGATAAAATCTGGAACCTCATAGATGATTTGAACATTCTTTTAGTACCAGGCGTTTAAAGTTTAATCGTTAAAAATTTCTGCTTTCACTGCATCGAGCCAACTAATTGAAGTATGAGTATTCACATTCTTCGATCAAGTGAAGGAAATTGATGTAATGTGTAGCCTTTAGGTGAAATCGCCAAATCGCAGATCTAGCAGTAGAAAATCATTCTAGACCCAAGAGCAAGTAGATTAATTAATGAGTTCCCCAATCCGTCCGATTTAATCATCATGCTTCCCCGGCTATTACAAAATCTAAATAATCACTCTTAAAGTAAATAGTGTCTCCAAGGAAGTGAAGTTCTAAATTATATTACGACTAATTTTTGCGCTCCGTTTAAACTTCAGTTGTTTTGTCCTTGTGTTACTGGTGCGAGGATACAGAACAGAGCTCCATTGTTGTTCAGGGAAAAAAAAACACGTAATATACTGAATGCTTAGAATAATTAGTCGCCTCAGTAGGGTTGATGTCACCCAGTGCCGTAAATTCAAAGTGTCACCCCGTCCAGACATCACCATGGGCCATGGACCTCTTACGAGTCTGATCTCGATAGTGACACCCTGCTCCGGTGACCACCTGTTCTGATGGCAACCTGTTCTTGTAGCACTCTACTCTGGTTGCACCCTACTCTGGTTGCACCCTGCTCTAACGGTACCCTGTTCTTGTGGCACCATATTTTTTTGTATTTAACTAAGATCGGTTATAAAACAGTCTGCGGCGCACTCTTAAATTTGCCTTCAATTGACGATGTCACTCTAGTTACCTAGTACATTGTTTATGTCTTTCTGGGGGTGAAAGCATCTAAATCATGACCAGCCCCTGGAGTCAGAAACTCTAGCTACACCGTGGATCTCTCCAGGTGCTCGTGTGCCACTTTTTTTTTAATGGCACCCCTTTTTCTGGTGGCACTCCGCTCTTGTATAACTACCATCTATTTTGAAACCGACGTCTGTTAAATTTACAATTCGTGTCCCCACCACCCCCAGATGGTACCTGCGGACAAGTAGATCTGTATGATTTCAATAAAAGCAGCACTTCACGGACAGGGGTTTTTGTTTGGAGATATTGCTTATTGACTTATTAGACTAATTAACCTACTAACGTGTGTGCGTGTACTTTGTATTACAGTTGTACCATGCGTTCAGAATATGTTTAATACAACTACATAATAGTCCGTTATTAGAGCGAATTAGCGATATTTTGAACAACGTTTTTGTATACATCTTTAATCAGACCCGTTGTAACATGCAAGCGAGACTTGGACCCGTTACAAAAAGTGACAGAAAAACTATTAAACGTATAAGAAAGAAAAGTTCTTTGGAAAATATACGGAGTAACAAAGGATGAATGTGGATAGAGAATAAGAGCCAACCAGGAATTGTATAGTCTATATCAGGATCCCACGCTAGAGGCAGAATTTTTTTTTTTTTTTAATGCAGGCTACGCTGGGCGGGGCATTTAGAAAGAATGCCAAATGACAGTGGGGTGAAGAGGGTGCACCACCAATCCCCAGAAGAAAACGGATCAAAGGCAGACCTTAGATAAATGGATGATGGGGAAAAGATCTACAGCAGCTGGGAATCCAAGCATGGATCCATGGAATCCGAGTGGAACGGGCTGGTGAGGCGGGCCAAAGCTCTACATGGCTGCATGCAGGGCTGGATTAACCATTAGGCAAACAAGGCACAAGGGCACCAAGCATTTGGGGGGCACCACAAGTCCTCAAGAAAAATGCGTATATTGTTTCGGTAGCGTAATTGCATGGCATAAGCAAATCGCAAATGTAATATTGAATGGCACATTATTTAACCTTGGTCCCACAACCCAGGGGTAAAATACCCCCACCCAGTTTTTTTGCTATTTTTTTGTTATTTTTCTTCAAGAACTGAAGAACTGATTGAAATGATGCCCCAAAAGGTCCATGCAGTAATTTTAGATGAAGTAAAGGCTTCCGGTTATTTCAGCTTGTCAGTAGACTCAACGCCTGATATTTCACATATAGATCAATAAAGCGTTGTTCTTCGATATGTGGTAGATGGAGAGCCCATTGAGCGCTTTTTTTACTTTCTTTGAGCCGCAAAGTCACGCCGGTGAAGGTATGGCTAAGCAAGTGTTGCAGAACTTATGTGAAGCTTGCAATATTGATTTTTTGAAATGCAGAGGTCAGTTCTACGACAACGCAGCTAATATGTCTGAGTGCTACAAGGGCATGCAGGAAAAAATTCTAGAAGAAAATGAGTTTGCTATATACATACCATGTGCTGCCCATTCACTAAATCTGGTAGGCAGAAGTGCCGTTGGCTCTTGTTTAGAGGCAGTAAACTTCCATACAGTGCAACTGATCTATACTTTTTTCTCAGCTTCAACCAAAAGATGGAAGATTCTGAAAGGATGCCTTGTGAATGAAAAGCTGGTAAAGTCCCTTTCCGATACCAGATGGGAAGAACATGCTGTTGCAACTGAAGCCATTCTAAAACCTCATCCTCAGATTATAGAAGCGTTAGAACTTTTACAAGAAGACCAGTCACAGAAGGGGGGCACCAGAAGAGACGCAGAAAACATTGCAAAGAAGATGCAAGAATTAGAATTTGATTTCATGCTTGTCTTTTGGGAAGAAGTGTTACAACATTTTCACAGGGTCAGTCAAGCGCTACAAAATGAGCACGTCAACTTGAAAACGTGTGCTGATTTGTATTCTTCACTAGCAGATCACTTGCAAGTTGCATGAATCTAGGAATGAATTTGAAAGAAATAACACCAGGTGTGGATTATGAGTCGACTTTGACCCGTAATCATAAACGAAAGACAGTGGTCATTGAATTTGATGCCCCTGAGGTATCTCAGAATGTCAGAGACAAATTTCGTTTGTCTGCTTTCTACAACATTGTTGACAAACTTGAGACAGAGATGAGTAGACGAGGATAGGTATATAATGATCTAGCAGTTCGATTTTCTTGTTTGGACGATGCACCACAAACATCTCTGGGTTGTGAAGGTCTAATAATGCTTATTCTGAAGATCTGATTCTGAACAATAATTTATATACTAAACTACAACAGTTCCACTCATATATTCGCCACAAGTTTCGGGCATCAAAATCTGAGAACATCACGTTCAGTCATGCAGAACTCTACAGAGTAATAGTTAGAGACAACATCGAGTGTGCTTTTCCAAATTTAGAAATTGCCTTGCGTATATTTTTAACATTAATCGTTACGAACTGTTCAACTGAGCGCTCTTTTTCTCAGTTGAAACGTACAAAAAAAAAAATCCAAGAAGATCGACAATGAAACAAGAAATGCTTGATTCCTTATCTTTGCTGATGATTGAGGCAGACTTGTTGCGCAAAATTAACTTTGATGATGTACCCAAAAACTTTGCCAGACGTAAATCTAGAAAAAAGAACTTTAAAATTTAAATGTGTGCCCTCTCTGACTTTCTTATGTATCAAAAAAAGTTACAGTATTTTCGTCTACTATTATTACAAAATTAATTAACTATTAATTTTAATACAGAAATACCTTATTGTAGGTTTTATATAAGAGATAGTAGTACAAACATATGTGTTTACATTTCACAACTGTTTTTCTTTGTTAGTTTTTTTGCATAGTATTGAACATACCAGCAGTCAGTGGAGGATGGGGGGCCCGGGGCAGTAGGGGGCACCCACGTGGGTTTGTGCCTAGGGCACCAAGATGGCTTAATCCGGCCCTGCATGGTTGTAGTGCCACGGCCACAGTGCCACAGGGTTGGATGGCCACAGGGTTGGATGGCCACAGGGTTGGATGGATTGTTATCTGTGTTTTAAAAATAGGCCTACCTGATTGTTGGTGATGTCACAATGAAAACACAAAAATAGTACATTTAATCATATTTCGGGGAAAAAAACTAGGTTTTGATATCAAAGTTTTTTGTTATATGTGTTCAAAAAGCTTTTGAAGGAAAAATAACAAATATTTCGAAAAATATCGTAAAAGAATTATAATTGTTCCCCTCCTCCAAAGTCATATTATCAAAAGGTTACTGTTAGTAAATACCACCCAAAGTACCGCCCTGGGTTGTGGTCACCCCCTTCACCTACCCCCTCCCAGGTTCGACGATCAGCCACTAGTGAACAGACTCCTAGATATTTTAGATAATTTTATCAAAATGTTCAGCCCTGTCCAATCCATAGACGATTTTTTTTTTCATCACGATTAGCCCTGTGATACGGGGCCAAGACATAGGCGTGGACCTTGGCAAGGAGTGATAGTTATGAAGTAGGACTACATTCGAACAGCTGTATTGTAGGATATGATGGGTGGAGAACAATGAAACTACTAAGAGCGTTATTATACAACAATGTTCATTAGGCCTACTTATAAAAGTTTAATATTTTTATTATGAGTGAAAATAAAAATTTACTGCACATTTTATATTACATTTAAGGGTCTTTATATGTTTAAAAGTATGGCTTTAAATTTTTTATAAAATTGATGAATAATTTAACAATTTAACTGTTATTACTTTAAAAAAAAATAATATAGGATTAACAATTAAAATTATTTAAAAAAACAACAATCCATATACTTTTGGGGGCATTTGTAGTTACTCTTAAAAATCACAAAACCCTGTGTGTATTTTTCTTACGAAGATTCAACTGTTTCCCAGTCAGCAGATTCTCTTGAGTGAGACTTTAAAAAATTATTTGAAAAGTTTATCAACGAAAAAAAAAGTGTCAAAATTAAGAGACGATTCGAGCATAGATAAACTTTTAAAACCAATGATCATATCCGGGTGTAAACATGGTATCTTAACAACTGGGACGAACAATAAAAATGAGATAGACTAGATTTATTGTTCCAAACCACTGCAGAGGTGTACCTCTTTTCATCTTTATTTCTTACGGAACATTTAGAATACATTTTTCCTCGGCATATGAAAATGTATGTGACATATTTAATATTGAAATCAAGCATTGTATTCCTAACCATTTCTTCTTTCTTGACAAACAAAATATCTGTTACTGGACACTCAGAAAAAGAATATTCTCTATTATTGATTTCTTTTGATGGATTCAGGTGGGATTATCTTTCAAATATGCGACCAGACAATATACCGAACTTTCAAAGGGTAATTTCATCTGGTGTTCATGCCAAAGAAGGATTAAAAAATGTATTTCCCACCAATACTTTGCCAAATCATTGGTCAATGGTTACGGGCTTGTATCCAGAGAGCCATGGTGTTCTTGATAACCATATGAGGGATCTGAATATACAAAAAATATTTGTGCCACTATATGAAAATAACAGTTATCAAAATGATTTTAGATATTATGATGCTGGGGGAGAACCAATTTGGGTGACCAATCAGATTCAAAAAGAACATGGTAGAAGCGGAAGTATTATGTGGTGGGGAAGCGAAAATTCAGTGAAATGGGTAAAACCAACATTTCAGATGCCTTATGACGACATGGTCGCATTTGAAAAAAGAATTGACACAATTATACAATTGTTTAACTCTGAATATCCTATCAATTTGGGCCTTGTTTACTTTCCTGAACCTGATCATACTGCTCATATTTATGGACCTAATTCGGATGAGGTAGTGAAGCAGATTTTGAATGCAGACCATATCATAGGATATTTGCTAAAGAAACTGGAGGATAGTGACTTATTAGATGATTTAAACATAATCATCACAAGTGATCATGGATTCACAAACATTTCGAAAGATACAGTAATTAATCTTGATAATATTATTGACTCATCTCATTATGATCTTTTAACTCATGGACCTATGTCTGCTGTTTCTATATTTCCTAAGGAAGGTAAGAAAACTTAACTTTGTATGCTTCACAATATGTTATCAGATGATGTACTAGATGATTTTTCCATTTTATTCTCCAAAACTAATAGTAAAGACTGCAGCTTAGGACTCGTAATCAAATCCAAGTTTAGTGTTTGCATGCTTTTGATTTGAAACTGTTGCTTATATTATTTATGCTATCTAATAGGTACATCCTGCATTGAGTAATACATGCTTTAATAGACCTTGACAGTCTGTGCACAAAGAATTTTAGCTTAGTTACATGAAATATGGAATTCGACATCAACAAAGTACTTATATTAACAATATGTACGAGACTATCTAACACTAACAGGAAAAATAATTATTAGTTTTTAAAAAATTGTGATTGAAACTGGTACAGAATATCAAACTACCCAGGACAGTGTTGCTCAACTGGGACAATCATGATCAAACCAGAACATAGAGTAAGCCTAATTATTTGCAGCTAATTAGCCCAAACCATGGCACAACGGAATTATGTGAAATTTGTTTTTCTTTCCTGCACCCAAACCCACTCAACTCCTATAGTAAGTTGAGAGACAGACTTGGTATATTTTCTTTTCTGTTAACATTGTGGGGGAACCATGAGTTAGATCACTTTTACAAAGCACACTAGTTCCGAGGTGAGCTGTTTTATTATTGAACTAAGTCATTGCTAGCACCAAGAGACAGTTTGGGAGTTTACAGATGGTGTATGTTATTGTTCAAATTTTTCCACCCAGCATGACACTGGTATAAGGGTAGAGCTTATCATTTTGTTGAGCAACACACAGAAAAGGGTGGTTTGTTCTATATCAGTTAACTTCCAGGCATACTCAGGAGGATAGGGCACATTTGAGAATGTGAAAGCGAAAGGCCCCACAAATTAGGCAGATGTAAAAGGGAGAAATTAGGGGCAAAGTTTAAAAAAGCGCTTTAAAACTCTCATTTTAATCACATTTTAAATGTGATTGTTTCATATTATAATTCTTTATTTAAATTTACTGCTCTGCTATACTGCTATACTATACATAGTACTTGTTGTTTTATTGAAGTTAATATATTATTAGTTAGTACAATGATAAATAATATAACTAAGACTAAAAATGATTACCAAAAAAATTTATTTGACAGATCTCTGACACAACATTTGACGAACAGAAATTCAAGTTCTCTGTAAATTTAAATGCTGTCAGAATATAAAATCTTAAATTTGCTGCTGGGGGAACAATTTCAACAAAAAATATATATATTTATGTGCATTACTAATTATTCATATTTATTTTACACTTGTTGCAGGAGACTTAGAGGAAGTGTTTTCTAATTTGCATGATGCATCCATCAAGGGACAATTTAATGTATACAAGTCAGAAGAAATTCCTGATCGTTTTTATTATAAGCATAACCCAAGGGTACCACCTATCTTAGCTGTAGCAAAACCTCCATATTCCTTTGTTACAAATGGAGATAATTTTACTCTGGGTAAATATTTTTATTCATTCCAAAATGTTTTAACTTTAATGCAGTTATTTACATTATCTTTAGTGTGAAGTTTTTAAAATGTTATTTTGATGGGAGCACCTCCTATTTAGAGCATTGTAATTGTAATTGTTTTTATTTTAAAATTATGAAAGTTTTGTTTGGTTTCAAAGTCTTATTACAAATTCTATGATGAAGTCTATTCATCAAAGTACCTAAAACCAATTAAGTTTTTAATTTGATAACTAAATGTACCCATTTTAAAGTCATAATATATTTCTTTATCTCACATTAATTACTTTTTATTCTCTTTTGCAGCTGGGAACCATGGCTATGACAATGAAATTTCTGACATGCACCCATTTTTCATGGCTATAGGTCCCTCTTTTAAAAAGGGGTTTTTAGTTGATTCGTTTAACATTGTTGACATCTACCCTTTGATGTGTCATATTTTGGGTCTTCATCCATCTGCTAACAATGGCAGTATGAAAGTTGTATCTCTACTGCTGCATGATGGCCCAGAAAACACCATGTGGACTTTTGGTACCTGTAAGTAATAAACATTGCTTAAAAAATAGTAAAAGCCTTTTTTTTTCCTGGAATATGAGTTAAATAGTATTGGCTACCAAAGTACTACTAAATATAACAATACTATCATTAAATCTGGAAATATTATACTGGATATTTACACTTTTTGATGATGCTAAGAGATGGAACACTGAAGGAATTTTATTCATTTAGATACCGGTATGCATATAATTTTGTAGGCTTTTTCAGTGTGGAATAAAGTAGGACAATAAGCTTCTCAAGTAAAATTAGGATATGCCCAAAGCAATGTTTTTTAAGAGCAATGGAAATGTTCAACTATGCCAGGTGCATACAACATTTTTTCTTCGTGAACTATGGTATTTCATAGCATGACTTCATACACTGTATTAACTAACATAAAAGAATACACATTATTTCAAATGTGTCTGGGGGTGCTGGGTAACAGAGAAAGGTTTGAGCTTGAGAATTTTGGGGGTGAGATGGAGATATTTAAATTGTCTGTGAAAATACTGAATACCAACTATTGGTTTTCAAATTAAGACAATCTTACTAATCTATTCACAGCTCACAACAAAACAATACAATTATTATGTATGATTTTGATCTGTAGGAGTGTTAATACTATTGTATTCTGTTTTGGGGCAGAGCTAACGCTCTAATGGCCCCGGCAAGCACTAACAGGCGTGCCGCATGTGCAGGGCATCGCCGTATGTAACTTTTATTGATTGTAAGTCCTACATCATTGTACCGTGAGAACAAATATTAGTGCCGTGCGAAAAATCATTGCCCTATGCATAAATAACATGATCTGTTACACCGTAGATCAGGATTTGTATGTGGATGTCTGGGGTGTTCCCAACCCCTCCATGCATTAGTGTCAGGCACTTGGCTAGCAAGGGCACTACTGTCTCCGGCACCTGTCGGCAATGACAGCGGCTCAGATCCCAAAGAGGATGCAATCTGCTCAGTGTGTAGGAGTGTTAATATATTGTTGTAGCGGATGTAAATAACTTCAGTTTATTTCTACATTTGGTGACTAATTTTTCAAAATTTTTAAGTACAACAATATAAGTAGCGGCATATTTATACATTGAATAAATTAAGTTCTAAATGGTCAAGTACACAAAAATGTATTTCCATCTTAAACTCATAAATGCTTTATTTAAATTTCAGATATTTTAGTGCTCATTGTCATAGCCAGCATTGGAGGTGTGTTCACTGTAGCAGCATGCCGTCAACATCGATATTTAAAGCGCAGGATTTTACAGCTGAGACTATCTCCTCTTCAAACATCAATAAAATATTCCACACCACCTACAGGAGATGCTAAGACATCCCTGCTGTCTGGCGATGATGAAGATGAAGATGATTTTGATGATGCACATGATGATGATAAAATGTTAGAGATTGTTACGAACAAATGGTAGAGTGCTTTGCATTTTCAAAAGTAAAATTTTTTATGTACCATGGTGGATATTAAGGGAAAATTGCTATGTATGCACTTTGAAAATTTCAGAGATTTCAAATTTTTCCCTTAACTTAGCTTATACACATGATTTACTGAATCTGTAGTAAAAGTTTTTCATCATTTGAAATTCATCCGAACTCTTCATTAAATACAAAATAGGAAACAATGTCACTTGATAGATTAAAGGATATTAAATATAGGATATAGGTTATTCAAGAAGCGTGCTAATAGAATTTTACATCTTAATTAAAAATAATATAAATTCTGCAAGAATACTGATTAGTATATATTTATCTTAGAACTGCAGAGTTCTAGCTTGTTAAATGAATAAAGATGGAGCTTAGTTTACTTTAGATGAAACTTTGAACTCTGAGATAGTTTAAATAAATAAATATTATGAATTTTAGTAAATGCTATTATTGGCTTGCATACTATAATGTTGATTTAGACCAGGGTCAGATTTTAAAAGTATGCTTAGCATTTGAAGTTCTGAATGGAATATAAAAAAGTTTGATGAGGGGCATCCATACATAATTTACTGGAACATAAAAAAAATTGTAAAAAAAAAAAAGGTCAAATTTGTATACATCCCAACCCCATGTTAATCTGCTGTAAATTTTTCAAAACCCCCATCTTTACATACAAATTAGAATTTTTCACACGCACATCTCCTTTAAAGCATATTTTATGCATTATTATGGCATTCCTCTGAAACTAAACAAAGTCATCCTAAACTGCATTCAAAGTAAGTTACAGGTTCACTCCCTGTTTGGCATTGATCATTGGTTCTCAGACTGTGCCATGTGGCACCCTGAGGAGCTGCAGCTTCCTTGCAGGGGCGCAGTGAAAATATTACACAATGGCATGATTGTATTTCCATTTTCAATCCAATGTGACATGACATGGTAGCCATCTAGTGGGCCTGGTGCCATCCAGTAAATCACCTGTGTAATTACTTTTTGCTGAAGCTCCTACAAATGGTTACTAGATGCAACGCATTTAATTCAGTTCAGTTTTAATTGTGTTGATTTAGTTGTTTTTTTTCTATATCTTTTACTAAGTTATCATTGATAGATAGCGTAAAAGACATCTGCTCTTTAAGAAGATCATTCTTAGAAATGTTTGTAGTTGTTTTTTTAGAGAATGTTATTATTTGTTTTTTCAACTCTAAACTAAAAGTACACTATTGCTAAGAATTTATTTGTTTATTTTTTTTAATATTTTAGATTTTTCCATATAATCAGATTGTTTTCAAATTTAAAAAAAGAAAATATTCCAATTGTTTCTATTGTAAAAAACGAGTTTTTGGGTTACTTCTGAGCAACAAAGTGTCAATTTTCAATCCTTCAAAATCTGATTGTAGAACGACTCATTCATGACACAAACATATTTATTGTATGTTTTTCAATACAGTTAAATGAACCGGTTCACATAATACATGCTAAAATGTAGCTAGTTTTTTTTCTATTTATTGGATTACAGAAAATAATTACACTATCAATATCAATACTGACATTTTGGCTTATGCAAAGAAATTTGTTTCATGTTTCATTATTTAAGAGGATGGCTTGCACTTTTAAATTAAGTTGAAATTTAGGAGAGGGTATATAATATAAAGCTATAAAGATAAGCAATTCTTTGAATAAAAATAAAAATGTAAAGCTTTCATCTTTGAGATAATTGTATCATTTTATATAGAGTTTCACAATAAGCAGACATTTAAATATTCTTAAACTGTTTAATATGTTATAGTGGCCATCTACATGTTATTCATGCACTGAGGTTAATGATTTTTGGAGATTTTTCAAAGCGGTGGAGGGGCATGGAAGAATGTGCAAACAAATTCTGCAATATTTATCCTGATATTCTATGGAAGTCATGATTTCTAATTAGATTCAAAGGCCATAATTTTTGCAATATTTTGTAAATATTGTCATACTGTTGCACTATATGTTTTCACAAATAACTTGCTAGATATCACAAGAGCATTAAATAGCCTTGTGAAATACAATTCCACTGTTATGTTTTTTTCCGGGCATGTGACCTAATCTGTGACGTTAAAAGACATCAGAGAAAATTGAGGACATAATTGTTAAGGTGGGAGGAGGGGGAATTCATCTGTATGTACATAAGGTGTAGAAGTTCTCCAAAAATGTAGGGGTGCAACAGGGTGTAAGGGGGAGGGGGGTATGAAAATTTGACTTTTTTTTTGCTTATGTAATTTATGGAGGGCTCCTTAGACAATAAGTTTAAAGCTGACAGTAAAGTATTTAGATATTTTTACTACATCGGATGAGTTTGATGCCACGCATGTAGAGGAATCTTTAAATATTTGTACACTGTGGAATATACATCAAAGCTAGGCGTATAAATGTTTAGTTAGAGTATCTAAGAAATCAAATCGCGGTTTATCATTTCCAATAACTTAACTTAAAATATTTTTTCCCTTGTTTCAGGAGTTGTTGTTCTTTTACATAACACTAAACAAATCAATACCCACTGAAACCTGTTAACAGTTTTGCCAAAGTTTTATTGGTTATGTTTGGCTTTGTAATTTAAGTTTAACAGAATTCATTTAAATTATATTATTGAACATTATTTTTTTATAAAGTTTTAATCACTTATCAAACGACTTTGTTAAGGTTCATGTTTTAATCTTCAAAATTTGTAAAGTGTCTGTCCCTCCAATAGATATTGAAATTATTTGCAATTGATTTCATACTAGTACAAATATGCTTGTTATTCAATAAAAATGATCTCTAGGACAAGGGCGAAAATTTCATATTAGGCCTTAACAGGGTATAGTTGTTGCACAGAGTCAGGGTATTTTGAGAAATATGCCTACAGACAGTCCTGCAGCCTACCTGCCGGTCTTTAAACAATAGGGCTACAGACAGTCCTATACCGAACGTGTGGCTCTTTATTGATTAATACAATAGTTGCCTCTCCCCTAAAAAATTACCTGAGTTCACACGACACGCATGACAGCCTTTTTTTTCCCACCTGAACTATTAATATAAAATGTGGATGGGGTAGGGGGGGGGGGGGGGTTTCGAAAAGGAAGCAGGACACGCCAGAAGAAAAATATATATAAGAGATACATTTTTTTAAAATTTTGGGAGAGGGAGGGGGGTGGGCGTTTCGAAAAGGAAGCAGGACACACCAGAAGCAAAATATATATAAGAGATACATCTTTTTAAAAATTTATTTTTACAAATCAAAGGTTTTATTCAGGTCAGCTTATGACTTATGATTAAAGGTGAAAAGACCCAAAGTTTATAAGTTAAAACAAAACAGCTACCTAGCATTTAGGCAATGAATCCAAGAATCTTTCTTTGGCAGTCAAAATATAATTAATAGATTGTGTGGTTTAAGTTTCAAGATATGATATTCAAGTGTTGTAAGTTATATATAATTTAGATATTACTGGAACATTATAAACAAATTTGTTTGTATTGACTGGATTGATCACTGTAATACAAAGCTATCAATTGGACTACTTCACAAAAAATTGGACTACTTCATTTTCAATTTGACTACATCACTATCATTTTGACTCCAGTCACCTTCAATTTGACTACATCACCATCCGTTTGACTACTACACCATCAATTTGACTACATCCCCATTCGTTTGACTACTGCACCATCAATTTGACTACATCACCATCTGTTTGACTACTACACCATCAATTTGACTACATCCCCATTCGTTTGATTACTACACCATCAATTTGACTACATCACCATTCATTTGATTACTACACCATCAATTTGACTACATCCCCATTCGTTTGATTACTACACCATCAATTTGACTACATCACCATTCATTTGATTACTACACCATCAATTTGACTACATCACCATCCGTTTGACTACTACACCATCAATTTGACTACATCCCCATTCGTTTGATTACTACACCTTCAATTTGACTACATCACCATCCGTTTGACTACTACACCATCAATTTGACTACATCCCCATTCGTTTGACTACTACACCATCAATTTGACTACATCACCATCTGTTTGACTACTACACCATCAATTTGACTACATCCCCATTTGTTTGGCTACTACACCATCAATTTGACTACATCCCCATTCGTTTGACTACTACACCATCAATTTGACTACATCACCATTCGTTTGATTACTACACCATCAATTTGACTACATCCCCATTCGTTTGATTACTACACCTTCAATTTGACTACATCACCATCCGTTTGACTACTACACCTTCAGTTTGACTACATCCCCATCAGTTTGATTACTACACATTCAGTTTGACTACATCCCCATCAATTTGACCTCTTAACCATCAATTTGACTTCTTCACCTTCAATTTACTTCTTCACCATCAATTTGACTTCTTCACCTTCAATTTGAGTCTTTCACTATCAGTTTGACTCATTCATGTATACATGATTTCATATTAATTTGGATTTTTTTTAGTTGGGAATGCAACAACTATTTTATATGTTCAACTGAAAGCTTCCTTGTAATATTTTAACATTTATATCATTGTTATGAAATGTTTGAAGCTGAAAAACATTATGTTAAAGTTTTTAGATTGCTACGTTGTTATTCATTACGTATGAATATTCATTGCTACGTTTCACTTATTCTGCAATTACATTTACATAACTTTTCAAAAATATTAAATTTATTATTTTGATATCAGATTTGTTAAAAAATAAACTTTTAAAAATGTTTTTAAAAATGTATCTTCGGCTTTTAATCAATGTATCCTTAATAGTTTATAGTTTAGTTTATACTTTAGTTTATAGTATAGTTTATAGTTTAGTTTATAGTTTACTCTAAGGTTTAAAATTAAGCCGGTGTTCTAAAAAAAATTATATTAATAATATGCACATTTTTTTGTACACTTGAAATGAGCTTTAAGAGAAAAGTGACTAGTTAGTGGTGGGAAAATTGCAAATGCTTTCAGAAATCACTTTAGTTGATTTTATAACAGAACTCGGTTAAACACAAGAGAAGGGCGCCACCAGAACAGGGTGCATGAGCTCAGGCTGTCATCTGAAAAGGTTTCCATCAGAGCAGGATGTCACTGGATCAGTGTGTCACTAAAGCATGTAGACAGAGGAGGTCAATGGAGAGGTCTCCGCAGGGAAGGACACCATGAGTTCAAAAAAATATATATCCCTCTATTACGCAATTTTAGTTTTTTATGGAAAAAATTTTTTTGATGGCATACTTCATAGTTATTGGACTTAAATAAACATAATATGCAAGAAAAATAATTTTTTAAAATGAAATAATGATTTTATTGGTATGTTGCCATATGGCAACAGTGCGTCTTAAAGGTCAGAAAAGTAAAACTGAACAAGAAAAGGAAACGATAACAATAATATTTGTAAAAGGTGAATATTTAATCGTTTACACAAACAATGGTTCTCAGTACTTAGTTTACAAGCATATCTTCATATTATGCTTTTATATCATGAAAAAGATCATTATAAAAATCATATTTTATAAGCATTTTTTACACAAAAATATAGAAAATCATGTAATCAATATATAGAGCATATAGAGGGACAGTAAATATTTATATACATATGTGAAATGCAGGTTTAATGCTGGTGGAACTGTTTGAAGCAATGTCAACTTTACATTATGCACATTTTATTCTTGAAAATTCTTTTCAACCTGGTCTCTTGCATCTTCCTTTGTTTTCAAGTGGCTCAGGAAAGTGCCAAATATAATCAGCTCTTACTGGTAAGGGTGGAAAAGCTGCAATAGGACCACTCAAATTTTTAGCTGTAAGTTGAGGCTCTATATCCAATAAAGGACTGCCAAGTTTCCTAAACCCTGCTTTACCTTCTTTCATTAGGC